TCCTCCCAAAAAATAGTTGTTATGGACGAATTTCTTGATACAGACTAACAGCAATTGAATCTATTTAAAAAAATTAGAAATGGCTTCTTTTTTATTTTAAGTGTATCATCCGTACCTTTTATGCACGAACATAATAAGACCCGAAAAAGGGCACTAGCCGACCTTGGGAAGCTAAAGAATATTTTTTTTTAGCACAAAAGTAATAGAGCAAGAAAAAAAATTGGGTACCTTTTTAAAAAAACATGTCCGCGACGCGTCAGCCAAGTGTAAGCAACATGGGCAGCATTCTATTTAGGACTTGGGTTACAGCGTCTTTCAAAAGGAAAAAAGATTGGTAGTTCAGTAAATTAAGGAGCTTAGCAACCAGAGAGAAAGACACTTTCCTACATTTATAAAAAAAAAAAGAAAAGGAATGAATGAGTTGAAAGAATAACAACAGCTTTTATTTCTCTTACTTTATTTCAACGATGCTTCCCATACAGAGAATATGTTTGCATTAGACACTAGAATAGAGAATGTTATTTGAATGAAGAAGTATATAAAAAGTTTAAGCTTACCACTTATTAAAAATTATAATCATATGGGAAAAAAGTGTTAAGAAAAAAAAGAAAAAGGAAAATAAACAAAAAAGACAAAAGTCTACCCTAAAAATGAAAAAAAAAAGTTTGTTTTGATGGGAACCTGTCATTTTGCTTAATTAGGCAACCCCACATTTAAGAAAATGAGTCACGCACGGCTGTAGGTAGTACATGAACTTCCGCCTAAGCCCAAACAGAAATTCTTACCGACTGCGGTAAAAGCATCATATTTTTATAGAATCGTCTCGGGTAAATATCTAGCTGCTATACAGTTCTAGGTTGTTTTACAGGAAGTTAAACCAAGAGTATTTTAAGAAAAAAAAAAAGGAAAATAAGGTCCTTAAATGCTTCTCTTTAGTGGAATTCTTATTGGATAGATATTAAGAGAACAAAATACATGAAACTTTTTATAAGCTTTTCTTAGGTGGAATTTTTATGGTGTAAGCACCAAATTACCACAGAAGGGTGAAGAAAAAGCAAAGACGTTTATTGAAATAAAAGCATTCCGATTTATTCAGGACAGAAAAATAAAATAAAAGACGATTGTGAAATCCAGGAAGTTGTTTTAAAGTTTATGAAGGACGCAACGACTTCCTTAAAAAGTTTGTTTTTGTACCCGCTACCATCCAGAAAGATTTAGTTTTTTTGTTTTTTTTTTTATATACGGTACATATTTAACTTGATATATATATATATATATATATAAAAATTGCAAGCAAACGACTTGAAGAAAAAGATTTGCAATAAACAATACAAACAGATACCAAAGAAAAAAAAATATCTTTGACGTTGACGTTAACATTTTTTTTAACGCACTCGCTTTAGCCTCCCAAGTTACGACATCATTTTGATTATTGAATATAGACTTATGTAGGGTTGCCCTGGTTACTAGCTTGCTTTTAGTGAAAGCTGTATTTTACAACATATGAGCTATTAAAAAAATATCAAACCATTGAAGAGGAAAAAAGAATTTCCGAAAATATACCAACCTGAGTGGACCAGATGGTGGACACGGAAGGTGGTGGACAGCGGAGTTGGTCCACCAAAATCAAGTAATTTCTCGTCCAAGCACTGAAAAAAATAATTGTGGGTTACTTCTCAGGCTATTTGGTCCACCTTTGTCCCACCTGGTCCACCAAAATCAAGTAATTTCTCGTCCAAGCACTGAAAAAAAATAATTGTGGCTTACTTCTCAGGTTATTTGGTCCACCTTTGTCCCACCTGGTCCACCATCTGACATTAAAATCCTTCCAACATATGTGTCTGAGACAAAGGTACATGAGCTTCCTTTTATTTAAATAACTAAATAAAATTGATTGATTTTAAATAAATGTCAAATCATCTTATAGTTCAGATAAAATGTTATTCTATATCGTATCAAGAAACTTTTCATTAAATAGGTTATCAAGTAAGATTGTTTTATTATTTAAAAATTGAACATTTTAATGTTTGTTCTTCAGGTTAAAGCTTAACATTGACAAATAAAGCAATTTGACATGTATTATTTGATGCCACTTAACAAATAAAGAACTAAATAATATTTCAGTTTCATCGGAACAGTATCCAGCATCAACAATGACCAGTTAGGTTGATCAGTTAAGATTTTCTAAACAAAGAAGAGGTTGCTAAACTCCTTTACTATTTGTTCAAGGTTCTTGTACATATAAGCTTTACGTGTTTATAGTGTTAGTCCCGAAAACGATTCGTGACATACATCTTGTTTACTGAGTGCTAACGGCTACGTTGTGTAAATGAACTGTAGTCGAAGTAGACGTAAACGGGTTAGTTATTCCTGATTCAACTGTAGCCACTTCTTACCAATTCATACTTGAACTGGAGTTAATTTGTCCATGTCTTTTTAGGAATTAACGCAAAGACCTAACTTTTGCTTTGCAGATAAAAAAAGTCTCGTTGAGTTGAATTCAGCTGCTTAATCTTGGTGTCCCTCCTTTTATAAAAACCAGTAATTACTTAAGTGTAAGGTATACATCGTCTCGTTTCTTTTTCTGGCCAGACATTATTATTGCTTTAAGTTTATGGGGGGTTATTATGTACGAACAGAGGTTGATTTTAATGTAAAAAAAAAGAAAAAAAGTAAAAAAAAACATTATAAAAGAGCAGGTAGGACAATTTTTTATTATACTGGCAAGTAAGCTTGTGCGCTTAAGCAGTGACTCTCCACCGGTGCTCAATGAATTAAGCAGGCAGTGAGACTCGGGGTCAAATACCGCTGAAATTGCTTTTTTTCTGTCCCCGCTCACGCGTTCCTATTTTTTTTTTTTTTTCTCAGTAGCTGAATTCCCAAGACTACTCACGGGTTTAGAAAAAAGAATACACCCGGTTTTTTCTTTGATGAAGCAGTCAACCATCAAGTTCTCATGGTGACCACACTGAAAAGCAACCGATCAAGGTTAAGCCTAGCGACAGCCATGGGTTGTACAGAAGCACAATACTTAAATATAAACAAGGTTCGATTGTTTGCTGTTAAGGCTTAAAAAAAAAGGAAACCAACTCGGCTGTATTTTATGTAGCTGATACAATGATGAAGGACGTAAAGGACAAGAAGACTTTAAAGACCCTGTTTCTCTCTCTTGATAATCAGACTGATAATACCATAAGAAAAAAAAAAAAAAAAAAAAAAAAAGCATGATTAACAAAGGACATGGTAGACGATGTAAAGGCAACGACACTCTCTTTCCCCTCAGTATTTATACACACAAACTCTGTATTTGGTGATGAATACATGTGTCAAATTAAATGAATTCCCAACATCGTCACGTATGATTTTTGCTTTTTTTTTTGTGATACACAAATTGGCTTACACCGGATAGTTTGACTATAAACATCCCTGTTGCTCCTTTGTGGCGTGTAATTTACTATTCTATTATACTACTTTACCACCAAATTCCCGTGTATGTTTTCCATTCCCTCCATCCACTAAATTAAAAGCGACCCATTTTTATTGTTCTTACATCACGATAAATTAATACGGAATCCATCGGTCATAATCACCAAGTGATCTTTAAAGAGATAAATAAACTTCCAGATAACATGATAAAATAAATTCATGCCATCTTCCACGAGTGTATATATAAAAGTCTAGTCTTCTGCTTCAGCCATATGCATGATTTAGTAATAAATTGATGTATGGGTAGCTCTCATGTTATAGGGTTTACATCCAGGATTGAGATCGATCTTTAATTAGAAGGGCTTTATAAAAGAGTAAGTATCACAATCTCATTTAACACAAAGAATAACTCACCTCCAATGATTTATATCTTGACAACCTACTAGTGTGTATATGTCTGTTGATCACACATAATTCAAGTTTAAATATGTCAAAGAGGTGCTACGGCCAAAGTTTTGCAGGAATTTCAAATCTTTCTTTGCTTTGCTTATGTTGTTGTTGTGTAGCTGTCCATCCAGTGTCGATATTATGTTCTTTAAGCACTACCCATCATGCGTAGTGGTGGATAAATACAAAGGAGAGGAACAAATTACGTCGATTTAACACATACTGATTGATGAACGTCGTTATCCATGGGAACGGAAAAGGTATTGGTGCATTTTCTTTCCTTTGTCGGTCTTATCCTTTGTTGAATTTACGCTTGTTGAATATCTTCTTGGTGAATGTTTAAAAATGAGCACCTAGAACTTTCTCCAAATACTGAAAAGGTGGAATATACCACCTGAAGTGCGGGTGTAGCTGAAGCTGTTTCACGTCATCAAGTCGGACATGCATATTTATCGACCATAGCATAAAGATTACTAGGCTAGAAATTCAACGCTGACTTTCCTTCTATTTTTGAGCACTGCGCAAAAAACCGCTGAGGAATGGCCATCATCCCAAGAGAACGTGCCAGATCTATTTACGAACAGCACTAGTGTACGGTTGCAGTTTTCGTTTCTATGGTAGACAGCCAAGTGTCTTGACTCGACAAAGTCCTTCTGCTTTAGCCATTTCTGGGCATAACAAAGATTTTTCAAAAGCTGATAAAATTATTTGAAGACGGCCTGGTGGATGTCCTGTTGTGACTTGACTATTCAAGCGCTAACAAAAAAATAAAAAAATAAAAAAATAAAAAAATAAAACCGCACCTCTTTTATTTTTTTTTTTTTTCCACCTTCTCCCACAATCTCGCAAGAAGAGTGTAAGAAGTTTTCCAAAGTTATGCCACCTTTGAAACCAGGTTAAACAGGTAATTATAGAAGCATGGATGCTCGCTTTTCTTTTTGTTCTAATTTCGTTTTTTACCTTCCCAAGGTTTAAAACATCTTGAGCCGTTTATCAGGTATTTGGCCTTCACTCTGATTTATGTTTAGCCTGTTGATCATACTAGTGGATTAAAACCGTAATAATAAAACCAGCAATTTGATCTTGAGATCAGAAAACTTATAACTGCAACAGATGGTCAACAAACTCTCATGATAGTTACCATCACCTTTGGGAAAGGATCGGCAAACGATAGTTCGGAATTCTAAGCAATTTTTGTGGGTTGTCTATAGACGATCAAGATATTGATGAAATTTCATTGAGGATTATGAAAGAATTGAATGCTGAACTTCACTTTACGAGGTATTTATTTGCAACAAGAAGTACAATAGGTGTAATCGGACAAAGGAGAGCCAGAGAGACAAGATCCGAAAGTATTGGTGAGATCAAAAATACAGCAAATTCAAGAAAAGAAAAACAAAAGGTGGATGCGAGATCAAGTATAACATGAGAAGCATAACACGAGAGGTCAAATGAAAACGACGCATAAGGAATACTTTGTGGATAAGAGTGTAATATACAAGGAAATAGAGGTATGTTTCGGCTTGATGATATGAAGATGACAAAAAATAAAAAAATAAGGTGCTGAAAAGTAATGGAGCTACCAATAAAAATTAAGGTATATGGCTACTGTAAATCTATTTCAAAATGTTTGGGAGATTGATGCGAGAGAATATAAAAGGGTGTAACCTGGAGAGTGCAAATTATGTAAAAAGATTCCTCACAGGGCGTAATTAAGAAAAGTGGCAACAGAATTAAATTTGTATGTAAAAAACGAAAATTTTATTTGTTTTCTTTTCTCTATTTGGTTCACTTAAACTGTGCTTGAGGCGGGGGGGATCTTTCAATTGAAAGTACAAAAGCCCTAATAACTGAATCCAAGTTATGACAATTGCTGTTCTTAATACAAGCAACTTTGACAGGAAGTCAGCAAGCATATTGGTAAAAAAAAGGTAGGGCATTTAATAATACCTGCATAAGATTTTACGATACCGTCATTGTTTTCGTATTCTGTAGGTTTCTTTTCTTTTTATAAAATTTCTCTTCTTCAATGACCAACCAATGTTAAGGTCAAGGTTTTGAAGCTTTCCGTAGACTTTTTATGATGAACACACTGAGTCTCTTCTAAAAACGGCTGGGAAAAAAGTGCTTTGAACGTCAGTTTAACTGGTGTTGTTATCCTTATTGTAGTAAGAGTAAAAAAAAAGGGGGGTGTTTCGCTAAGCAAACAGTGGGCTTATTTTATGTCTTCCCTCCGGGGAGATATTGTGCCGAAAGCTACAGCCAAAGTGAACGTAGTCACAGCCTAGGATCGGAAACCGTTTGGCTGTCCTAAAAGATCACATGCTGTAGTGGCTGTCCCTTAGGCGCCTTACACTCTGTAAAAATAAAACAAACTCTTTTCTCTAGAAATCAAAATAAATATTAAAACTTTTGAAAGTGTCTGCTCCTTTGCCAACATGAACACCCATTGTCACCAAAGAAATCACTACCAGTTTTATTAAAAACTTTCCCCTCGAACACAAGTTTGGGACACTAATTGTCAACGTCAAAAGGACAATTGCAAATATAATTGCCCTTATTTTATTAAAGTAAGAACCTCCAAAAATGAGGGAGGGGGGGGGGGGAATTCTCATACTCAACCTATCGAGAATGAACCTTTACGAGTTCAGTACAGAAAATATTTTTTTGAGCAGTAATGGAAATAAAAAAAAAGCACGCGTCTGACTATGCTACAGGGCATTACAAGTATCACAAAACCCAAGATTAGAGCGTTCCCTTTTTTTTTTCTCTTTCAGTAGCTGAATTATCAAGACTACTCACGGGTTTAGAAAAAGAATGCACCCGGTTTTTTTTATGAAGCAATCAACCATCAAGTTCTCATGGTGACCACACTGAAAAGCAACCGATCAAGGTTAAGCCTAGCGACAGCCATGGGTTGTACAGAAGCACAATACTTAAATATAAACAAGGTTCGATTGTTTGCTGTTAAGGCTTAAAAAAAAAGGAAACCAACTCGGCTGTATTTTATGTAGCTGATACAATGATGAAGGACGTAAAGGACAAGAAGACTTTAAAGACCCTGTTTCTCTCTCTTGATAATCAGACTGATAATACCATAAGAAAAAAAAAAAAAAAAAAAAAAAAAAAAAAAAAAAAAAAAAAAAGCATGATTAACAAAGGACATGGTAGACGATGTAAAGGCAACGACACTCTCTTTCCCCTCAGTATTTATACACACAAACTCTGTATTTGGTGATGAATACATGTGTCAAATTAAATGAATTCCTAACATCGTCACGTATGATTTTTGCTTTTTTTTTTGTGATACACAAATTGGCTTACACCGGATAGTTTGACTATAAACATCCCTGTTGCTCCTTTGTGGCGTGTAATTTACTATTCTCATATACTACTTTACCACCAAATGCCCGTGTATGTTTTCCATTCCCCCCATCCACCAAATTAAGAGCGATCCAATTTTATTGTTCTTATATCACGGCAAATTAATACGGAATCCGTCCGTTGATTAAATGTTCTAATCACCAAATGATCTTTATAGAGATAAATAAACTTCCATATAACATGATGAAATGAATTTATGCCATCTTCTATGAGTATATACAAAAAAAGCCCAGTCTTCTGCTTCAGCCACACGCATGCTTTAGTGATAAATCGATATATGGGTAGCTATCATGTTAATGGGATTATGTCAAGGATTGAGACAGAATTTTGATAGTATCACAATTCCATTTAACACAAAAATAACTCACCTGAAACGATTTACATCTTGACAACCTACTAGTGTGTATGTGCCTGTTGATCACACATAAATCAAGTATAAATATGTTATATAGGTGCTACGGCCAAAGGTTTTGCAGGAACTTCATCCCGATTTAATTTGAACTCATTCAAATCTTTCTTTGCTTTCAATATGTTGTTATTCTGTAGCTGTTCATTTATTGTTGATGTGTGCTGTCTCTGTCTTTTAAGCACTGCCCATCATGCGTAGTGGGGTGGATAAATACAAAGAAAGGGAAAAATTATGTCACTTTAACATATAATAATTGGTGAACGTCGTTATCCATGGGGACGCAAAAGGTATTGGTGCGTTGTATTTCCCTTGCTGGTCTTGCCTTCTGTTGAATCTACGCTTGTTGAATATCTTCTTGGTGAATGACTAAAAATGAGCACCAGAATCTTCTCCAAATACTAAAAAGGTGGAATATTCAACCTGAAATGAAGCTGAAACCGTTTCACGTCATCAAGTCGTACAGGCGTATTTATTGGCCACAGTATAAGGAGTGCCACGGGCTAGAAATTGTACGCTGACTTTCCTTCTATTTTTGTACATTGCGCAATAAACGACTAAGGAATGACCATCGTCCCAAGAGAGCGTACCAGATCTTTTTACGAACAGCATTAGTATACGTTTGCAGTCTTTGTTTCTATGATAGACAGCCAGGTGTCTTAACGCGACAAAGTCCTTCTGCTTTGGACATTTCTGGGTATAACAAAGATTTTTCAACAGCTGAAAAAAAAAAAAAAAAAAAAAAAAACGCATCTCTTTTTTTTTTTTTTTCTCCCCACAAACTCGCTAGAAAAAGTGTAGGAAGCTTTCCATTTTTATGCCACCTTTAAATCCAGGTTAAACAGGTAATTATGCAGGCATGAGGGCTCGCTTTTATTTTTGTTCTAATTTCGTTTTTAGCTTCCCACAGTTTAAATCATCTTGTACCGTTTATCAGGTATTTGACCTTCATTTTGATAAATGTTTGGCCTGCTGGTTTAGACTAAAGGATTAACACCGTGATAATAAAACCAGCAACTGGAAATTGAGATCAGGAAACTTATAACTGCAACGGACGACCAATAAATTCTCATAATATTTGGGAAAGGATCGCCAAACGACAGTTTGGAATTATAGGCAATTGCTGTGGGCTGTCTGTCGACAATGAAGATAATGACAAAATTTCATTGAAGCTTGAAGAATTGAAGGCTGATCTTCACTTTACGAGATTTTTATTTGCAACAAGAAGTACAATAGGTGTAATCGGACAAACGAGAGCCAGAGAGACAAGATCAGAAAGTACTGGTGCGATTAAAAATACAGCAAATCCACGAAAAGAAAAACAGAAGGTGGATACGAGATCAAGTATAACATGAGAAGCATAACACGAGAGGGCAAATGAATACGACGCATAAAGCATACTTTGTGGATAAGGGTGTAGTATACAAGGAAATAGAGGTAAGTTTCGGCTTGATGATATGAGAAGAACAAGAAATAAAAAAATAAGGTGCTGAAAAGTAATGGAGGTACCAATAAAAATAATATATATGACTACTGTAAACAGTTTGAGGGATTGATGCGGGAGAAGATAAAAAGGATGTTGGCCAAAATGGTGTAATCTCGAGAGTGTGAATTATGTTAAAAGCTTCCTCACAGGGTGTACTGTAAAAAAATGGCAACAGATGTAAATCGGTACATAAAGAACAAAGAATTTGTTTGTTTTCTTTTCTCTGTTTGCTTATCTTAAAGTGTGCGTGAGGCGGGAGGGGGATCTTTCAATCGAAAGCACAAAAGCTCTCATAACTTAATGTTATGACAGTTGCTGTTCTTAATACAAGCAATTTTGACAGGAGGTCAGCAAGCATATTGGTAAAAAAAGTTAGAGCATTTAATAGCGCCTACATAAGGCTTTACGATATGGTGATTGTTTTCGTATTCTGTAGGTTTCTTTTCTTTTTATAGAATTTCCCTCCGTCAATGACCAACCAATGTTAAGGTCAAGGTTTTGCAGCTTTTCGTAGACTTTCTATGTTGAACACACTGAGTCTCTTCTAAAAACGGCTGGGAAAAAATTACTTTAAACGTCATATTTAATTGATGTTGTTATCCTCTAGCAAGAGTAAAAAAAAAGATATTTCGCAAAGTGAACTGTGGGCTTATTTTACGCCCTCCCTCCAGGGAGATGTTGGGCCAGAAGTTACACTTAGATACAGCCAAAGTGAGCGTAGTCACAGCCTAGAATCGGAAACCTATTGGCTGTTCCTAAGAGATCACATGCTGTAGTGGCTGTCCCTTAATTGCCTTACACTCTGTAAAAATAAAACAAACTCAATTCTCTAGAAATCAAAATAAATATTGAAACTTCTGAAAGAGTCTGCTGTTTTGCCAACATGAACACCCAATGTCACCAAAGAATTTACTACCAATTTTATTAAAAACTTTTCCCTCGAAAACAACTTTGAGACACTAATTGTCAACGTCAAAAGGACAATTCCAAATACAATTGCCCTTATTATATTAAAGTAAGAACCGCCGAAAATGGAAGGGGGGGGGGTTCTCATACACAACCTATCGAGAATGAATGTTTACGAGCTTAGTACAGAAAATATTCTTTTGAGCAGTAATGGAAACAATAAAAAACTCGCGTCTGACTATGTAACAGGGTATTGAGCAGAAATTCTAAGGTATCACAAAACCCAAAAGAACAAAACTTTGGGGGAGGGGTTTTGTGAGTCTGATAAATTAGTTTTAAAAGATTTATCTCAACTATGAATGACTGACACAATCCAACAGGTAGCATATACGAATTTTATATTTGGTATATTTACAGTGCGTGTAACAGGGCCTCTTGAAAAAATCCAACTCTTTGGGATAGCCAAAAGGTACCCGATCCTAAATGACACAGAAATTTTAAAGTGGCCGTATGTGGAAATCGATGTAATGATCCCGTAAAGAAAGACCATAATGAGATGTCAATAACAATAACATTCATCCTTAAACTGTGTATATCTTGTAGCACACTGTTCAGGGGAAATTGTAGTTCTTAATAAAGGTAGCTGTGGCACCTCATTGTGGCTAATGTAACCTTCACATATTTTCATATTAATGTTATTTTTTAAATGAGTATGCCTTATACTTGTATGAAGGATGATATGAGATCTAGCCTATACATAAAGTAAATGATCGGTATTTAATGTAAAGTATCGATAAAAGATATATTTAGGATTATCAAATTGAAGATTTAAGAAGTGTAGATCGAGTCATATATTAAGTATATAGCCTCAATCACGACACTGTACCTGTGTCTATCATTGTGCCTGATTTTTTCTTTTTAGTATTTCGGGTCTGTGATGGACGTTCTGATGTAAATGATGAACTTATTTTAAAGGGAGAAATGGTCACTTTACCTTCATACAGCTAGACATGAAAAGAGTGTCTGAGCACATGCTAAAAAAGCTATTGGTGATCTAATAAAAAACATTATATACTAATAACGCATTAGTATACGCATATAAAAAAAAGTAAGTGGTTATAAAATTGATAACAAACTCAAGAGATTTGTTCAACGAGTAAAACCTTGCTTATTTAGGGGAAATGAGTTACGCAACCCAGCCTTTTCACGCTTGAAGATTGTACTCAGATCTTTTACTCTTTACTGCCCTTCTTGTAATTGCAACCCAGCCTTTTTCTGCCCCCCCCCCCTCAGATTTTTTTTTATTCCTTACTGCCCTTCTTTTCATTGCAATCCAGCCTTTTCCCGGTCCCCAGATTTTTTTACTCTTTTGAGAGTCGCGTATCGAGCGAGGGAATGCAGTTTGCCCAGTCGGGTGGCTTGACATGACTTTTAAAATTTGAATAGCCTCAGGCAGACAAAATTTATTTTGTCTACTACTTACTTCCCTGCGTGTTTTTTATTTCACTAATTTTCTGCACAATGTAGCTTTTTTTAAAAAAAGCATATTCAATACATACAGAATATTGTTTTATGGGGTTTACTATTACTTATATTTTTTTTAGGCAGATACATTCTTTTCATGACGAATAATAATGAAGATAAAGCCCCTACCCTATAGCTGATTTTTTGTTTGACTCAAATTTGTTGTGGTTTTTGCCACCAAAGTTTGCTTGAATTGTCACCAACTGGTTTTGTTTTGCTTTTTTCTTTTAAATTTTTGCTGCAAACAAATTTGTATGCAAAATGAATAACAGTTACCAACTGAAATTGTGTTAGAGTTGTTTGCTGCTAATAATTTTGTACGCAAACAATCAACTGAAACTAAACAGATGTCTGTAAGTATTTCATGCAAGTGCTTTTTGCTGTGAATGTAGCTCAGAGCTTCTTGGTTTGGTGCAAAGAAGGTCTGTTCTGACAACCCCAATGATGTTGAAGCGCTAAAGGGAGAAAAGCTTGGAATTTGTAAGAGTTCACTTTGGTTTCTGATTTTTATGCAAAATAATTAGAACGCTGGTTGCTACTGATGGGGGACATAGGCTAAATATAGCTACAGAGTAAATAAGGCTTTCTAAACTCAAATATTTATTGAAATGTCTTTTGTTTTCTTCATTACCCCAACTTCCCTCTTTAGTACTTTAGACGTTAGTGCAAAGCGTAATGCTTTTGTTTTTTCATCTAGCTTAATAAATTTTTAGTGTTGCTGCTTTCACAATTTGCTAATGAACGTTTCTAAATTATACAGTAACTAGTTTTATTCATTCAAGGGATGGAGCTGCTTTTCCTTTTTTGTAGAATATGAAAGTATATTGCGAACATGTATGTAAGTTTGGCTTCATTCTACGCTCATCAAAAAAACAAAATATTGCAACCTTACTTACTCGTTACTCTTAACTAGATGCGTTTTTACTCAAATTTATCGCCCCTCCCCCTTCATGGCACTTGCGTTGTATTTAAATAACTCTTAGTATTTACCTGTATCCTTCAGGCCCGTAGGGATAATTGATTTGACTCAGTTCAAGTAAGCTTTATTTTATTTTATACTGTTTAGTCACGTATCTAAACTTCTTTTTAATCAAAGCATTCATTCAAAGTACTCTATATCAGCATTAAATTATTTTCGATCTTGTTATGAAACAAATGACTACTATTCAACATATTTATTGCCATCAACAGGTCAGTTTTATCGTTTTTTAAGGTAAGCATTGATATTTAGTTAGGTTTGTAAGTGTAGTTCGAAAAAATGATGTCGCACGTATTTTTAGTCGGTACATGATATCTCTGCCTCCGCAATAATCAGCAGTAGAAGGGACGTATTTGACCGGAAATCAATTGAATGTATAATTAAAAATTCACATTTAACAATGTACTTCTATTGAATGCAATTATATGTATAAGAAATAAAAAAGAGGACGCACCATAAAATCCGTAACAATTTAATAATAATTAGTTGTTTTGGGGTAAATATGCAGGGAACAAACAAAAAATATGGCTGTTTAACGAACAGAAATTTACAACTCTTGTACGGTTGACGACAGAAGCTGCTTAATAACTAACAATAAAGTTGTACGTTTTACGAAAAAGCCTGGTTGAAAAGCAAACTCGTCAATTTATACGTTTTTTTAACAGAGTTGTATGGAAAGCGTTGATGCCAGCTATTTATCAAACAACTATTTGGCAGTAGCACTTGTTGATTTTGTCAACAAGTTTTCCGCCATAGTGCAACGAACAAAGAGAGACGTGAATGGGTAGAAACATGGTCAAAAAAAAAAAAAAATGAGCTACACTGATAATTGTATTTTTATTGATGAGAGCGCATTCGACATTAATATAAGGTCGCCTACAACAGGATCAACTCGAGGTACTCTTGCCATAGTTACAAGTCCTTCTGCACGAGCAATCAGGCATACAATTCTAGGAGCAATTTCAACACAAAATTATTAATTTGGAAATTCGTGTTCCCTTTACGCTAAAAAGACTAAAAGTCATGGGAGCCCAGAAATGAAAGGCAACTGCTGTAAAAGCAAAAACACTTGGAAGAACAAACGCAGGTCATTATACCAACTTTATCCATAAAGAAAAAAAAAAAACTAAGGATGAAATGGACAAGTATTCCTAGTTTAAACGGTCTTACATAATCACGGATAATTCTCCAATTCATGGAAAAAACGATAATTTCAGCCAATGAGGATACAAATGTGTTTGCCTTTCTCCTTATTCTCCTGAGCTTAATTTTATTGAGTAATTCTGGGCAATTGTTATGCTTTAGAAGGCCTTGAAATCGTTTCCTTTCTTTAATTCCACAAGTTTTTCCAAGGTTGGCACATTTGGACCCTGTACAAAAAATGGGTTGTTTATGGTTGTTCGAAATGAATTAAAACGAGAAAAAAAAAAAGAGCTTTCCATGATTTCTACCTTTTTTTCTGCAAAACTATCCTCTTTAAGCCTACTTTTGCTACAAGGTCCCTGGATATTAAACTTTTACTTAGACAACCCTATACCCAAAATGCGTAGAAAAATTATGCGCATCTTTTAAGCTTACTTTGGAAAGGATTCAATTTGTAAAATTCATACTTTGTCTAACAAAAACTTGTTTTTTTAATTATGCGTGGAATATAATTTTTCTAATAACAAAAATGCTCTAAAAACAAAACCAGTGTAAAGAGCATTAAATTTGGGATACAGTTATATAGAAACACTTTGCATTTAATCTACAGGAAGGGTATTCAAAAGGTTGATTTGTTAAATTTGTGATTTTCCTCGAGGTATACCCTTTGTGGTTTGGCCAATTTTAGGTGTTTTCAAAAAAATCTTAAAATTAAAATTTAATGATTTGATATGATATTTTCAATAATTCTGAGCAATTTTTTGGCTTGAAAGAACGTACGGGGATGACAGTTTACTATACAAAAAATTCAATTCAAAACAGCTTGTTAGGCAAAAAAAAAAAAAAGGAGCAGGAAAGAGTTCATTGTCAATATTGGGTAAATTATGGGCAGCTTTTTTAAGCATGAGAACATGAAATCACATTGAGCGCATCTTTTTTACTATAATAGAACAGAATTAAAGTCTTGAATTTAATGATTTTATCTTGGATGATTGTGGTTAACAGTAAAATGATGTTTCGTTGTAAAAATAAACGATGTTGGGGAGAAAGGCTAAGTTCTATTCTAGAATTTACCATTTTTGATGGCACAAAAGCATGAATCTATATATTCTAAAGCTTTTTCTTTTAAAATCAATTTTAATAAAAGCGTCTTCCCGCGAGAGTTTGCATTATCCCTCAAATTAACCATTCTATTTTCTTCTTCTTGAAAAATAAATGAAAACCAATCGCGAGTCAACATTTTTGCAATTTACATTGCAATTTTACTCCTTTCAAACTTTGCGCGCGAGTGCGACGGTCATTTTGGTGCATTCCCGACGGTCTAATTCCTATTCCTTGCCGAGATATGTCTATTTTTGTCTAAAAGCAGGCCCAAAAAATTATCTTAAGCGCATAATCAAAAAATAAAAAATATAATAAAAAAAATTAGTTTTTGTTAGACAAAGTATGTTTTTTACATGTTGAATGTTTTTAAAAACTAGACCAAAGGATGCGCCTGATTTTCATTATAAAGTATGTCAAAACTCTTCACGCGAGAGTTTGCATTGATGCTTAAATGAACCATTGTATTTTCTTCCTCTTGCAAAATAGATGAAAGCAAATCACGAATCAACATTTTTGCACATTGTATTACCGTTTTGAGTTCTTAAACTTTGCTCGCGAATGCGACGGTCATTTTGGTGCATGTCCGACGTCTCAATTCCGTATCCTTCCCGAGATATACGGATTTTTGTCTAAAGGTTGCCCAGAAGTTAAAAGTTCTCTAATTTAAAACCTTGATGACTGTGCTAAGTAATCCGGCTTCATGGAAATTTCTTCATTATAACACAACTCTTGGCTCCGACCAATGAGAGATCTGAGAATTTAAGGAACAATAATAAATCAAGGGCAGCTATCTTACGATCTTCAATAAACCAAGCGAATGGTCCATCATATAAAACTACGATGGATCTGAGCTGTCAAATAAAAAAGCCACAATATATTCAATCTTCTATAAATATCAGGGCAAACCTGCCCGTCTAGTTAGCTCTTAATCAATTTTTATACAAATAAATCGACAAGACTTATAATTGTATTCTTTTGTTCTTTATCTAATTTTTTCTGTAGAACTATTCTCTCTTAAAGTCTATTTTTACTACAATTATGGTCTGTGATATAAAAAACATCCATAAAGACCGTTTGAATATGTTTAAGTTATAGATAATCCATTGAGAGATCTATTAATATTAAGTTTCTCTGTCTTATAATTCTTGATTTAATCTGAGAAGATTCTTTTCTCCATCAGTGATATCGTAACTCAGTGGCATAGCATTATGTATCTAACTGTCATTCGTATATCATATTTAGGCCAATCATGCAATCTTTAATATAGAAGTATGTATTGGTAGTAAGAGAAGTGGTATAACAGTATACAAGCGTATGCTGATATGCAACATCAAAGGTTGTTTTAATTTCATACTTTATTTATTTAAACGATCTGCGTAATTATTTATAAGTGAATCTTACCCAGACACGACACTTGTATTCTGACTTTTATGAAGGGCAATACAAAAATAAGCATGGATCGAATTATTGCACAAATGAAAAGTGCAAAATTAGAGAGTTTGATCTGGTCGATAAAGATAAATCAAATACTACACATAGTTCATAGTTTTTGTGATTAAAGAGAATTAAAAGAGTCGTTGTTCTGCACCAAATCTCAGTGTCGAAAATCTATACAATCAAATCCACAATAAATAAAGGATTGGATGATACACACAACAACTGATGCAACGGATTTTCGTCCCAGAATCAGAGGATCAAGTGCCATTACCTTTTTTCACACGTGAGGTGAGTAATACAAATAAGTAGGGAGTCGATTTAGATAAATAAGTCTCACTTATACCAACACCTTTCATCCAGAAAGTTTATCTATTCCAAGGTTTGCAAGTAGGCCAATTTGGCTGCGTTAATTTCTCCGGTGCGAATCGGCAACTCAATTTAAAAATGACAGTCTTCTCCTGGATTTATATCATTTTTTGAGGCTACTCGTCATTTTCCTTCTTTCTTCATAAAAGAAAATCAGCTATAACAATGACTACACTAGATGAAAATATGAGAGTTGAACATTTTACTTCAACACCACCAGAAAAGAGAGTATCTGCTCATTCACACATCAGAGGACTTGGACTTTTACCAGACGGAACCGCGCTTGCTATTAAAGGAGGTTTTGTTGGACAGGAAAACGCGAGAGAGGTAATTTGGCACAAAAAACGAGACGAAAAAAAAGCATTACAGGGACTAAACAGCAATAAGGCAAGTGGGATCGTTGTCGAAATGATCAAGTCAAAAAAAATGGCAGGCCGTGCTATCTTATTTGCTGGCGCACCAGGAACAGGAAAAACTGCCATTGCACTTGGCATCTCACAAGAACTCGGACCCAAAGTTCCTTTTAGACCTATTGTGGGATCTGAAGTGTATTCGACAGAAATCAAAAAGACTGAAGTTTTGATGGAAAACTTTAGACGTGCTATTGGATTGCGCATAAAGGAGACGAAGGAAGTATATGAAGGTGAAGTCACCGAGATCACGCCAGAAGAAACAGAAAATCCTTTAGGTGGTTATGGCAAAACAATTTCTCATGTCATTATCGGGCTCAAGACATTAAAGGGCACAAAACAGGTGAAGTTAGATCCTAGCATTTACGAATCTGTTCAGAAGGAAAGAGTGACGGTAGGCGATGTTATATACATTGAAGCTAGTACGGGTGCATGTAAGGTGGGTTAAACATTTTGTATAGCGAAATTTCATATGTATTCAGCTTTTATGTTAGAGAGTAGGACGTTCAGACGCATATGCTACCGAATTCGATTTGGAGGCAGAGGAATATGTCCCGTTACCAAAAGGTGATATACATAAAAAGAAGGAGATTATCCAAGACGTAACTCTTCATGATTTGGACGTAGCCAATGCTAGACCAGAGGTACAGACATATAGTTATTTTTATTTTAAACTGTTTACTGAAACAAATCGAGGTTAGGGAGGACAGGATATCGTGTCAATGATGGGTAAATTAGTCAAGCCTAAAAAAACCGAGATAACAGATAAATTGAGACAGGAAATCAACAAGGTTGTGAATAGATATATCGAGCAAGGAGTAGCCGAGCTTGTACCCGGTGTTCTTTTCATTGACGAAGTTCATATGCTGGATATAGACTGTTTTACATACTTGAATAGAGCATTAGAATCGCCATTTTCACCTATTGTCATATTCGCAACCAATCGTGGTATGTGTAATGTTCGTGGAACGGATGACATTGTTTCACCTCACGGAATCCCAGTTGATTTGCTCGATCGTCTTTTAATCATCCGTACATTACCTTACACCTTGGATGAAATCAAAGTTATCCTGCAATTAAGAGCTCGCATAGAAAATATTAAGATTGATGACGAGGCCGTAGAGTCTATTGCAGAGACTGGCGTAAATACTTCATTAAGGTATTGAACTAAAATAGTCAAAAACGGGGGGAATAGTATTTAATCACATGTATTATTTCTAGATATGCAATTCAGATATTAACACCAGCAAGTATTATTTCAGAAATGAATGGTCATGAATCGATTACAAAGGACGATGTGCTTCAAATTGATGATATATTCTTTGACGCAAAGAGGTCCGCTGCACATCTGGTTCGACAAGAATCAAAATTCCTTGTATAATAAAGAATAGCGTGCTGTCTATTTCGGCCTATCCTTCACCTATAAGACAAATACATATCCTTTCATGGAAAAGAATGAAGGAATAACAATGGGTGACAAGAGAATCAATTAGGATGAATGTCCGACCATTTTTTTTTTTTCAATTAACACAAGGAAACGAGTTTATTGTCTGCACAACAATGTAAACCTAAAGCAAAGTACTATGAAAGTATTACCCGATGATCTTAACTTGTAATGTACTCTATAACTATATATAATAAGACAACTACAGGATTAATGCTCACATGTTGAGCTAAACTTAATATTTGTGGTTTGCAACTTAGTATCATCGGTAGCCTTGTGTTAATTTCGCTAATTATTTGTTTATAATTACCATGCAATTTAAGAAAATCTTCTGTCATTTATAGATCCAATGTGTGAATGGTCAAAAGCCACGTAAAAGAACGCAGCCTTGTGTTTTGAGATGTCCTGAATTGTGCGACATTCCTGATTGTTGTATTTTAAAGTGCGTCAGGACATCAAAGTTGTAAGACATCCTCTAGACATCCGTTGTCGAAAAAAGTTAAAAGTACAAAAACAACATGAACTCTTTTCCATTTTGTCAGCATTTCTTTCCTATGTTTTTCCTTGCCCACCTTACCTTTTTCATACTCAATTACATTCAAGAACACATAAGTATCTCATATGATTTTAACAGTTGTTGAGCACCGCTTTTTATAGTCACACCGTGTGCAGCAAATAAAATCAATTTAAAGAAAAATGTCTGTACCATGTGATAATTAAATCTTTATTACTACAAGGTATTCCCATACTTCTTTTTTCTCTTTTCTTTTCCATTTCAACCTTTATCCCCTTACAATATGGTTATACCTTGTTTCAGAAGTAAAAAAGAACCCGCCTCACACCAGCAACCACAACAACAACATAGACAATCCTTCTTGGACGATGAACTTCATGCGTTCGACTTAACATGGAGAAATTATTTACCTTCGGCTTCACAGTTTTGTTGTTGTCTTTCCAATAGGGGAAATATTCGACTGGAGGACGAAGATCCTCTAGTTGAACCAGCTTATTACAACGACCATACTCTCTACCGAGGGGAAGCACTACAGAACTACTTGGAGAATCCAAGAGACTGGGAATTTGAGTCTGTCTTGGGCCAAAATGACTTGCCTCAGTTCGTTACACGAAATCCATTCGGTACATCCAGTCTAAAGAAAAAAAAGTCAAAAAAGTCAAAGAAAAGCAAACGTGAAAGACCCGTCGTGATGGAAACAGATATGGAAGAAGGCGATATTATAGGTTATGAAATTGACCATCATCAACAAGACGCTGAATTCTTGGGAGATGACCAAATTGCAAATTTGGCCTATAACAGACACAGTAGTCAGGTATGATCCCTGAAAGTGATTTCATTGTATGATTTTTTCTTATTTATTAATTATTATTTTTTTTGAATTTTGAGCAGGTGATGGACCAATATGGCGAGGAACTATATTATGATCATGTTCAAGGACCAGTGGTTCAGGAGATGCAAGCTCCGCCACGCGAATTTTATGCTGCAAGATCAATGCCTATGATAAATTTCGAACAAAATGGGGATGATGAGTACGAAGAACGCATTATTCAATCCTCTTCAGCACATACTATCAAACCTCAAGAATCTCTTGATGCCGCGCAGTCATTATTAAACAACCGAGTAGGTGATTTGACAGAAAAGCTAAGCTTTATCAAAAACAGCATGATTCATCCATCCGAAGAAAATGATGATACTAATACTATGCATACCATTAAAAATAACCACGGAACAACAGTAGAAAAGTAAATATCAGGCAGACAAAAAAATTGGGTCGTACCAAACGTTAAATGCGGGGGACTAACTTTTTATTTATTTTTCTAGCTCTGATATCGACTCGATTACATCAGAAGCACTAGATGTATACGAACATACGACATCAGCATATGAACACCAACAAAGGAGATATTCCAATAGTGATGAACTTCACTTACCATCTCTTGCAGACAATACCCCGTTTGTATCGGACCATCATCCTTTCACTTATTTTACTGATGACCAACATACTGAAGAAGAAGAGGCAGTGTCTCCTGAGAACGACTCAGTCAACGTCCGAAATATCGTGTTTGGTTTTGGCAAAAAATGGCTCGGCGTCTAGGCTTATCCATAAACATATGTACATCATAATCACACAAGCTTCTCCTTTCCTTCTACTACCACTTACTCTATAATATAATAACATGTCCGTTTAATTTCTCTTACACAACGCAAGCGTTCCAAAATTTAGGCTAAATAATAAATCCTTTAAGTGAACATATAACAAATTACCATTGATAAGCATGATCCTGTAATTCACCGATTACTAAGATAAGTGTCCTGCTCTTGACACACATGTTGTTATCTTTTATTTACCGCGGTTATTCTGGGACCATTCCATTTTTATCAGTGCATAAAAAAAAGTCCGTCCGCAGTGCATAAAAGCGTTCAACATGACATAATTTTTTTCTTTATTCTTTTCTTTTTTAACAAAACACAACAACAAAAAAATGGAATATTTCAAAAACCTTTTTCTCACTCAAGAACCCTACCCTACCGTCACAGTAGATGAAGAGAACCATGTCTTCCGTAGTTATCACGCAAAAGACGGACTCGTCTCTTCGCCTCTATTTCCCAAATTAAGTAAAAATGAATGTACAGTTGGTAAAATTTGGGAAGAAACCGTAAAAAAGAACCAACTCAAACCTGTCTTTGGTCAACGTCCACTTATAAAGGTAAGTTCAATCACATCTTTTAGCTGGTGTTTAGATTTCTCAAACTTTTCTCTTTAAACAAAAAAGATTCATACAAAAGAGAAAAAGCCAGCTTCTCCCGACCAAAAACCCAAAAAATGGACCTATTTTGAACTTGGTGATTACGAATGGATGAACTTCACAGAAGCAAACGATAAGGTTAAAAAAATTGCCTCTGCTCTTCAAAAACACGGCCTTGAAAAAGGTGATATCGTTATTTTATTCGCGAAAACAAGGTATGCATTTACAATTTTTGGCTAATATGGTAAAAAGTATTAAACTTAAACTTTATAGACCTGAATGGATGTTGACAGCATTAGGTAGGAATTCGATAATGACAACGTATTTGGGTTACACTAAATGATGTCATATTTTTATTTTATTTTTTAGCTTGCTTTACTTTGGGTTTAGTTATTACTACCGCCTATGATTCGATGCCTGCCGATGCCGTAAACCACATCATCAAAGAAACTGGTGCTAAGGCTATCTTTACCGAGGTAAGTAACTTCCATTATTGCACTAAATTGAAGGCTCACATATTTTGCTGTCTAGGTATCTTTATTTGGAACTTTGAACAAGGCTTATACCAAGTTAGACAAAAAGGATCAACCTAAGTTTGTATTTTATGCTGGTAAAGACTTTGAGGCTCCCGAGGAGTTGAAGAAGTTTAAAGATGGTAAGGCTCCCGAGGTAGAGATGCTTGAATTTAAAGATGTGACCGAAAATGGCTCCACAAAAATTGAGCCCGTAGGCGTTAAGCCAGATGATCTTGGTCTCATCATGTATACGTCTGGATCTACTGGGGCACCTAAAGGTGTCGAATTAACCAATGGAAACATTATTGCTGCCTTAGGTTCTGCACAATATCTTGTCCTTGGTTTTTTAAAGGATGGTTCACACACCTATGTTGGGTTCCTTCCTCTTGCACACGTTTTGGAGTTTTTGGTGGAATTAATCATGATCTCCTTTGCAATTCCTATTGGTTACGGTAGTGTGCGTACTCTAATGGATGATTCGATTTGTGGACCTGACGGTGAAGGTAAAGGTGATGGAGATCTCAAAGCACTGAAACCTACCATCATGGCTGGTGTACCTGCTGTATGGGAAAAGATCAAACACGGCGTTGAAAGACAATTAGACAAACAACATTGGACCGTAAAGAAGGCTTTCGAAGGTAGTTAATTCCTGTATTTACATACAATGACGACATGTTATCCTAACCGCGTCCTTTTTATAGCTGCTATTGAAATGAAATGGCAAATGTTGAAATTTTTTGGAAAAACCAATGCAATCACAGACGCGTACGACTCTGTTATTTTTGGTCCTATTCGAGAGGTCACGGGTGGTAAATTAAGGTTTACCATATCGGGTGGTGCACCTGTTTCTTTTGAAACTCAAAAGTTCATCACATCCACATTATGTTACATGCTTCAAGGTTATGGGTAAGGGTTTCTTTATCAATATTATCACAATATTTTCTGATTTTTTTTCTATTTCAGCTTAACAGAATGCTGTGGTTTAGGCTCTGTTACTCTTCCTAGTCTTGGTATGATCACTGGTGTCATCGGGCCCCCTTCACCTTCTATTGAATTCCGTCTTGTGGACGTACCCGATACCGAATATTTAGCCAAGAACAATATCGGGGAGCTTTGGTTGCGTGGTCCATCACTTATGAAAGGTTACCACAAGCAACCTAAAATCACTGCTGAAGCAGTTACAGACGATGGCTGGTTCAAGACAGGTGACGTTGCTCATTTAAATGAGGATGGCACTTTCGCCATTACCGATCGCGTTAAGAACTTGGTCAAGTTGGCTCATGGTGAATATATTGCTTTAGAGAATTTAGAATCCAAGTATAGAAACTGCAGTAATATCAAGAACATCTGTCTGGTTGCCGAAAGTGACAAGTCTTACATAGTTGGTGTTGTCGAACCAGCTGATAATGATGTTGACAAGGATACACTCTTAAAAGAGTTACAAAAGACTGCTCAAGATGCTGGTTGCAGCCGTGTAGAAACTGTCCGAGACATTGTAGTCACTCGTGATGTGGATTGGATGAAGGAGTATGTTACAACAAGTGGAAAAATGAAGCGTAGAGACGTCGTTAAAGGAAACAAGGAAGAGATTGAGAAAATATACAAGTAAAATAAAGATTTGTCGTTGTGACACGATATATTATTCATCTTTGCATTTATAAGCGTTATCTTTTTTTTATTTTTTTATCCTTTTTCATTGTTTATTCCCTTTTTAAATGGTTTATTTATCCTCAATTGCTATTGCTGCTTTGGCCTTACCTCTGTTTGCCCAAGCTATCCAACAAGAACAGCAGGTCCCTTTACAAACCAACAAGATTCATTTGAAGAAAGGACCTCTTGACCACGCTCATTCCCTTCTTCGTCACCACCCTCTTATCGACACCCATAATGACTTGCCCATGTAAGGAACAAATCCCGAGATTAATCTTATCAGTCTAATGTTGAATTATGTAGGTCTTTGGCATTCGATTTCAAGGGAAAAATCAATGACATGAACCTTACGAGTTTAGATTGGGGTCATACTGATATTACCAGAATCCGCGAAGGTCATCTTTCCGGACAATTTTGGAGTATCTACTATGACTGCGAAGATACAAAGTCTAACCAAGTTTTGAAAGCAATGGAATCGATCGATGTTACCAAAAGAATGGTTGATTTGTATCCCGAAACCTTTCAGTTGGCTACAAACACCAGACAATTCCATAGAGCTATTCGTCGTGGACGCGTTGCTTCAATGATGGGTATCGAAGGAGGTCAAATGATTGATAGCTCTATGGTTGCCCTTCGTCAATTTTTTGAGCTTGGTGTCCGATATATGACTGTAAGTTTAAATTTATAGGTTTGACATCAAATACACAATAACACCCGTCTAAATGTAGCTTACACACAACTGCCATACACCTTGGGCAGAGTCTTGTTGTGATCCCAACCCACCTCCTTTTGACAAAGGCTTAGGTTTAACTGCGTTTGGTAAAAAGATTATTCTTGAAATGAATCGTCTTGGCATGATGGTGGATATTTCACACGTTGCTCATGCCACCATGAATGCAGTACTTGATGTAACCCGTGCACCTGTATTATTTTCCCATTCTTCAAGTCATGCTATTTGTGCCATTGAAAGAAATGTTCCTGATACAGTACTCAAACGTTTAAATGAAACGGATGGTGTCGTTATGGTAAACTTTTATAATTCTTTCATTCAATGCGATCCTGCTAAGGAAGCCACCCTTTTGGATGTTGCTGATCATGTTGAGTACATTGCTTCCGTTGCTGGGCGTAATCGTGTTGGCCTCGGTGCGGATTACAACGGTATTGAACGTACACCTAAAGGTCTTGAGGATGTTAGCAAGTATCCCGATTTGTTTGCTGAATTAATCCGTCGTGGTTGGTCAGATGATGATTTAGTTGGTTTGGCTGGAAAGAACCTTTTGCGTGTTTGGAAGAAGGTTGAGCAAGTCAGCTCTGCTATTGCCAGAACCAAAGAATTACCTTCCGAAGAGAGATTAGAGGACTATTAAGTAATAGTATTATTGTAAGAGTAAAATAATTTTTATTAAATGGAAATTCGTTTGTTTTGTGTCGTTTTTGTTTGATAGCTCTTTATTGATTATTTATTATTTCCCTGCAATGGAAACCAGTTTGCTCACGAGATTCAAAAAAGGTTTATCTTACATGAGAAACGAACTTTTGGTTCTGTTAATTTCCAATGCAATTGTTTGCGATAATTAGGTATGTTCTCATGGAAGATTAAAGCCAAAAAGAGAACGGATTAAGGAGTTTTTAAGAGTTTTGTACTCGATCTAAGGTTGGGAATAAACACTCCGTGTTCATACTAGCTAGCCGATACAGCGGCTCCACCCCCAAAGTTCGTTTTCCAATTTCATAAATTCGCTTTTGTCGCAGCCCAAAGTTCGCTTCTTGATTGGTCAAAGTTCGTTTTTTGTAAATCACCCAAATTCGCTTTGGTGGCACCCAAAGTTCGTTTTCACGTCAGAAGAGTTCGCTTTTAAAAATTACAGGATTATGAGATAATGTTATGAGAGATAATGTTATGAGAGATAATGTTATGAGAGATAATGTTATGAGAGATAATGTTATGAGAGATAATGTTATGAGAAAAAAAAATGTTATGAGGAAAAAAAAATGTTATGAGAAAATGTTATGAGAAAATGTTATGAGAAAATGTTATGAGAAAATGTTATGAGAAAAAAAAATGTTATGAAAAAATGTTATGAGAAAAAAAAAAATGTTATGAGGAAAAAAAAATGTTATGAGAAAATGTTATGAGAAAATGTTATGAGAAAAAAAAAATGTTATGAAAAAAAAAGTCACAACATATTATCTCATAACATTATCTCATAACATTTTTTTTTCCTCATAACATTTTTTTTTTCTCATAACATTTTTTCATAACATTTTTTTTTCTCATAACATTTTCTCATAACATTTTTTTTTCTCATAACATTTTCTCATAACATTTTCTCATAACATTTTCTCATAACATTTTCTCATAACATTTTTTTTTCCTCATAACATTTTTTTTTCTCATAACATTATCTCTCATAACATTATCTCTCATAACATTATCTCTCATAACATTATCTCTCATAACATTATCTCTCATAACATTATCTCTCATAACATTATCTCATAATCCTGTAATTTTTAAAAGCGAACTCTTCTGACGTGAAAACGAACTTTGGGTGCCACCAAAGCGAATTTGGGTGATTTACAAAAAACGAACTTTGACCAATCAAGAAGCGAACTTTGGGCTGCGACAAAAGCGAATTTATGAAATTGGAAAACGAACTTTGGGGGTGGAGCCGCTGTAATGATGATTAGAACTATTTAAAGAAACTTGCTCCGAGACTTGAGACATTGCATCTATTTTTAAAATAAACAATTTTTGGGTATGGCTATTTAAGAACCATGAAGTCTTATTGTAAGACGAGCTCAACCGGTATCCAAAAAATTGTATACAATATATTTTCAGAAACAGTTTAATGCTGAAAGCTTGTTTGCACGCATTTTTAGGTGCCGTAAAATGTGTTTCTTATTGGCTCAGGCTATGACGGACTTCCAACGTGTCGGGGTTCAGACCATCACGTCATGCAAACACTTTTTATTTTCCTAACAACCCTTTCTCTTCATTTATTACGAAAAAAAAAATGGCGTTAGCCAATGAACGGATCATAACACTTGACGACTTTTCGCAGTTGCAAGCATTACTTGATTATGAGCAACAAGAGCGTGACAAACACATTATGCAATGCCACCATAATAGATCACCTATGGCTCCTTCTCTTCATAAACGACGTCATCAGCAATTTCGTCGTGCCATTAACCCACAAGCAAGCTTACAATCTAGTCTTGAAAGGGCTCGACTGGCTGAAGCCTCCATGCGACTAAAAAGAATGCGCACTCAGTATAAACGTCGTCGTACGTTGGAGGTTCAAATCTATTTAGATAATTACCGTAGACAAGCTCTGGTTCGTGCTGTGTTACCTGAAGAAGAAGAGTTGTATTACAGACAATGCATAGCTGCAGCACTTGAGGCAAGAAGAGTTCAAGCTTGTTTGCAAGAGTACGTTGACATCAAGAGGCTACAAGACATGCAAAATCAAATCGAAACGCAGCTTTTTTTGGCCAACCAAGAACCAGTTGTTGAAGATGATACGGAGGGTTATGACGCATATCGTACCTTGCAATTAGAGACCTTGCTAAGACATCTGTTTAACCAACAAACTCAGGAAGATATTGAATTTACTCCCAAGAGCGAACTTGAGGAAGCTGAGGATATGGCGGAAGTTTGGAAGCTTTTGTCAAACCAAAAGACTAATTATGAGACTCCTCGCTCGGCATTTTTGGCTCCGGATCATGACGTACTTTTAGGCATGGATAAAAATATTCCTGATGTCGGACATAATCAAAACAAACAAGAAGGCTTACTGGATGAAAAGTTCGAAATCGAAAATCCGATAGATCAAGTATTTACACGACAAGAGCAGGTTGAAGCAAAGAAGGCAAAGGACCAACCCTCTTCAAAGTGTGAGATTAGAAACGATAAGTCAATTGAGAGTGCACCTCCAAAATGTGAAGATGAATTGGAGAAGTTACTGAAGCAAGTACTGACAAAAGGGGATGCCAAAGCAGAGGAGCCCATTTATCTCGAGAAGCCTGGCGATGAGCTGAAGACACCAAAGAAGTATGCAACTTTCGAGACAGAAGTAAAAAAAATAGATGAACCCAATTATCAGATATTTAGTCAAGACAAGGGTAAATCCGACGAACCAAAAGAGCAAGTACCTACAAAAGAACTTCTCCCAGTGAAGAATGAAGCCAAAAGAAATGAATCCGAAAAACAAAAAGAGCAAACACCTAAAGATTATGTCAAAGAAGCAAAGGGAATCCACAAGCATAAAGAACATCACAAAGAAACAAAAAAACACAAGCACCCAAAAAAAGCTGGAAAAGACGAAACTAAATCAAACTCAAATGAAGTAATTGGCAATCATCCAGAAGAACCAAACAGAAATAAGGAAGAAAAAGGGAAATATGCCCATGAGACCAACGAGAAGAAGGAGGAGGCTAACGAAAAGAAGGAAGAGGCCAACGAAAAGAAGGAAGAGGTTAACGAAAAGAAGAAAGAGGTCAACGAAAAGAGGGAAGAGGCCAACGAAAAGAAGGAAGAGGCAAACGAAAAGAGGGAAGAGACGGATGAGCAAAAAGAAGGATATGTACATAACGAACCTACAGGAGATAACAAGGCTGAAGAGATCAAACATTCAAATGAAGAAGCAGATGATAAAAACTTTGACTATGATATTGATTTCCCTCCTCTTCAAAAACATGTGGTGCCTCTGCAGGACTTGATACAGCGGTTAGCATCAGAGCCAGTATTGATCGGTGAGCAGCAAACACATTTCAGTGATGAACCCAAGCCATCTGGTATTTGGGCCAAAAAATCGCATGCAAAATCACCTCCACCTCCACCTCTGTCAACACAAACAGAAGATAAGAAGGCGACCTTTTTACCTCAACATATTTTCACCGAAGCTGAACCCACACCTACACTCGAAAATATGCCGAATACACCTTTGGGTCAAGAAGAAGAAGGAGAGGAATCACAACATTTTGTAAATTCTGTGGCTGCTGAGCAAAAGAACGAGATTGTACCACCCGATCCCAAAAAGACCAAGATGCTTGAAGAATTAGAATCTATAAAACATCAGCTACAGGACGATGATAGCGAGCTAGTCAAAAGATGGAAACATGTTCTGCAAGGGGGTGATGATGGAAGCCAGCATTTGGAATTCTCTAAACAACAGCAAGGAACATTGGTTTTGACTGCCACCACTGGCTTTAATCGACAATTTTTAGGTTCTGAAGATGAACTGGTTCGAACCTTGATAAGATTAGATGCTATTGATAGCATGGGTGATGAATGCATTCGCAAAAAGCGAAAGAGTTTAGTTAAAACTTGTGAATCCATGTTGGATAAACTGGATGCTTACAAACAGACGCAATGGGAAAAAGCAATTGTTAAATAATAACTCCGTATATGTGGGTAAAATAAAATCAGATCTCGATATTTTTTCTTTTGTTTTCTTTTTTTTCTTTTGTTTGTTAATCGGAGTTTTCCATCAATGACAAGGTTACAAAGACTGCCCTATTGTATATCACATTTTTTAGGCTATCGTGAACCAAGTCATGTTGCCAAAGCATTGCCCAAGTGGAAAATTTACACTTGGTCTTTCATAGCTGCGTGGATTGGTATTGCACTTTTAGAGATTATTTTTACATATGCTTCTTCTTTTCAGTCGCACCATACACCCATGATTATTGCATCATTCGTAAGATCAATTTAAATTACTCCTTTTTTATTTTTGGTAACAAACAAAGAAAAAAATCTTAGGGAGCAAGTGCAATTTTAATTTATGGTGTTTTAGATTCTCCATTAGCTCAACCTCGAAATGTCATTTGTGGTCAACTCATCGGATCTATTGTGGGTGTTATTATTGCACAGCTTTTTCTTAATATTCAACATGTCTGGGCTTCTGAAGAACAAAAAGTGGTTGTAGAATGGCTAGGAGGTGCTACAGCCATGGCTCTTGCCTTGACAGTAATGCAAATCACAAAGACTGTTCACCCACCCGGTGGTGCAACTGCATTAATTGCTGTCATCACTCCTAATATTGTTGAAATGGCCTGGTTCTATATCGCCATCGTATTTTTATCTTCTGTTTTGCAGGTTCTGGTTGGCTGTTTAGTGAATAATGTAGAGCGTAGATACCCTCAATACTGGTGGACCCCTCACACACCCATCCGGATTGATCCTGCCACTATATCCACCCTGATACCCAATGCAGATACCGATAGTAGGCGCAAAGAAGAGGTCGTCTCTAACAATCTAACAGCTGCTGAAGAGGGAAGGATATGTAGCGGCGATATATCTATCAGACGCTTGTCTGTCGTTTCCAGCAGTGCTAATTCTTCGTCTACAGCAATGAGTATAGATAATTCTGTAGAAAATGCAATCAAAATATTACAAGAACACGCTCAAAAATCAAACATTTCGTATACTTTAATATCCCCAGGATTACCCTTAATTACCACCTCCGGAATACTAACTGATGAGCAGTACCAATTCATGACAATTTTAGCACAAGACGTCTCTCTTGAACCTAAAAAGATTTAGTATGCAAAATAGAAATAAAAGCAAAGTTTGTTTAAAGATCTCTTGTTCAATTTGTGTGCCTTTTCTTTTTCTAAGTTTCATATATTATCCACTACATTATAAGGAAGCATAATAACGTAATGTACTATAGGAACTAAAACCTCCTTAAATTTCGAAAACAGAAATTTTATGTAGGATTCGTTCTGCTTCTACATAAAACTGTTCAACATTCGGCAAGTAATTTTACCGAACAATAGTATAATATTGTTTTGGAAAAGTTAATGTTACTCTATTGACTGCCTCATAATTATCGTTTATCCTTTTTGCTTACTTCTATTCTATTTATTCATAGTTGTTTAACACGAATAAAACTGGCTAACTACAGATTAATGAGACAAAGATTTTTATCTTTCTCTTACGATAACTAGTAGGCAAAAAATGGGCCCTGCGCTGATGGACACAAAACCCAGAACAAATGATCGATACTGTAAAGGAAGTTCTATAATTAACAATTGTTCAGCAATATATATAAAAAGCAGGAATAATTACTTATTTAGCAAATTCTGTTTATAGACTTTTTTCTTCTATTCGCGCACATCATCAAATCTGACTAAAATAGTATTACATATACACGCGTGCTTTAGAATCACTAATAGCCAAATAATGATGCTGATATTAATAGTGAAACTTCATTGCTTTCAATAATATCATCTTGAGGTGAAAACTTATTTGTAGTTTTTAATTTAGTTTGATTTCAGTTCTTTAGCTTCAACATGTAAATGTTAGCTACTAGTGGGGTTAGTTTCTCGAACAGTGTCTTGCCACCGAAAAGTTTCTGCCTGACAGGATATAAGATGCGGCGAATGCAATTTTCAACTCTGCTTTAAAAACCGTGGATATCACTGAAACATAAAACTGCTTATTACTATTTATATTTCTTTCAAAAATTAAAAAATGTCACCCCTAAAAAAAGAGGAAATGAATCTGTGATATCTCTAAAATTTTTTTGATGCTCTATAAAGACCGTACACTTTAAGATGCATTTTAACGATAATAAAAACTAAGTTAAATGCAGGAAGAGGATCATCCTTGAAGGGGAAAAACAGTTGATGATATGATATCTTTAAACTATATAACTATATAAGGCCAACGAAGCAAGGGAACATTAAGACAAAAATGTTAGTAAAGGTTTTACAAGCCAAACATATTAAATCAAATCGAAGATGGAGATTGCACTCGGTGAGCAAAAAGCATTTTTGATGATTTTTGCTTCACAGAAGACTCAACCGATAGTTTGGATTAAGATAGATGTCATTATATAGCAAAGGTTGTTGTATATGAGGTATATGTACAGAAGATAAATAAACTGGTGAATGGTGTATATCCTTAAGGCTGATACCACACTCTCGGCCATGATCTTCTTTTAGGATGTTCCGCACCGATGAAAAATCAAACTTAGGAGTAAGCAATTTAAATGCCAGTACAATATAGTGATATATTTAAATGAGCCGCCCAGGATAAAGAATTTTTTGGACAGGTCGCAATACCTGTGCATTTACCATACTCCATTAGTGGAATCAGATATTCCTTCAGCAACACTGCGGATAATCCGTGTGGTGGTTTTTGGAAAAGCTTGAGCTCGGGAATCATAATGAATCATATATGGGCATAATCAATCTCATCAAAACCAACCCTCCTTCTGTAAACAAGAAACCCTTTAATTCCGTTATGCGTGATACTAAATTTATTCATCCGAGAACATCACGCTTAAAATAAGTGATTACTAAAACCTCAGCATTGTGGCACTTGAAAAAAAAAACCGCAGCAAAGTGAATACCAGCACCAATAGAAAAACAGACGATTTTCGGGCGGATTTCGGGTTAAACAAATAGTATAACGAACTTGGATCATGATACCGTACATTTGTTTTAGAGATGGTATCTATGATAAGTTGTAATTAGAGGCAGACTAAATATAAGAAGAAAAAAAAACAAACACGGATAAAAAGGGCGTTGATTCTCAAATGATCCGTGTGCACGTCAAAATGTGACACCACATATGAGCTCAATCGTGATATAAAATAGCTGAAAATCTTTTAATATTGTTTCACCCTCTTTTCTTTCTTCATGACTAGACTCCGGCGACTACCATTTCCCCTTGCGTATATTTTGGGGTATCGTAAACCGAATCACAAGAGCAAAATTATTCCACAATGGAGAGCTAATCTCTGGTCGTTTATAGCGTCCTGGTTGGGGATTGCCTTGTTGGAGATTATATTCACCTATTCTGAATCATTTCAGTCACACGATACACCTATGATTGTTGCTTCATTCGTAAGTTCAGTATACATTCAGAAAAATAACTTTGTTGCCGTAATGTATTAAAATGGTAAACGTAATGCAGGGTGCAACAGCTGTTTTAATTTATGGTGTCATCGAATCCCCTTTAGCACAACCTCGCAACGTTATCTGTGGTCACTTGATTGGATCTTTAGTAGGAGTAATTATTGCACAACTTTTTTTAAACATCCAACATGATTGGGTTTCGGAATCCCAAAGAATTGCTGTTCAATGGGTAGGCGGTGCTACTGCTATGGCTCTCGCTTTGACCCTGATGCAAATCACCAAGACAGTTCATCCTCCGGCAGGCGCCACGGCTTTAATCGCCGTTGTGACACCCAATATTCTCGAGATTTCTTGGTTCTATATCGGTGTCGTCGTACTGTCAGCTGTCATGCAAGTCACAGTGGCCTGTTTAATTAATAATATTGAACGACGTTACCCTCAATATTGGTGGACTCCACACAAGCCAATACAAATAGACCCTTCAACTATAAACACAATTATGCCTCATTCGGATGAAAAGGGCCCAGAAGATGTTGTTGCTGATGACTTGACTGCTGCTGAAGAAGGCAGTATAACATCCTGTACATTGGTAGAAGAGGCTATTGCTACTTTAAGGCAACAAGCGGAAAGCTCAAAGATACCATTCACCTTACTTATACCAGGGTCTCCTCTGATTATGACACCAGGCTTATTCCGTTCAGAAGAAACTATAGATCTACTGAATAAAATCAGCAATTCCTCGCAGAGCAATGGTAGGTCTTGAACAGAAATAAAAGTTGAAAGAAATCAACTTGCTGATCTAATCGTTTCTAAGGTGTCCAACAATAAGGTTTAACGTTCCCAGTTTACAGAATGTGAATGGCGCGCGGTGTATCGGTTTTTTTTTTTTTTTTTTTTTTTTTTTTTTTTATATACATGTTTATTTTCACAAGAAGGTAAAAAAGGTAATAAAACAATTATCCCAGAGTTTTAACCTTGAACACGTGTAACTGATATGATATAAGCTATATTTTTGGACAGAAATCCAAGTTACCGTCATCTATTTGAAACAATTAGTCCATTGAAAACCCAAAAAATCCCTCTTAAATTTTTTTAGTGGCACATTGGGAGACTTTTAAAGTCCCGGTTTGGTTAAGGAAATATTGTAAAAATACCGAGAGAATGGAGAAAAACAGCAATGTAATGCATAAGCATAACTCAAGCGTACAAAGTTGACTTTTTTGTCAATCGGATCTCAATAATTTAGTTATTGTGGTAAGTGAACCAAATATGTCATACAAAAGTATTTGAGCACATTACCAGCGTTTACGAATAAATCATAAAGTCTCCCGGAATAGAATTTTGTAGATTCACTACCACAGAGTAATCTGTATGTGCTTTCTTCTTATATTTCTTGGCTTTTTCCTTATTGGTCTTATTGCGCCCTTAGCCAAGAGTTGAAACGTTATATTCTGTTCTCTCTTATGATGTACACTAGCGCAATTGATTCATTACCGTTCTTATAATGTGTTCTCCACAATATCCTAGTCTGTTTTTTGGTAACTGAAAAGTATCTGTTTATTTACGTCTTCTTACTGCTACTACTGACTTGGTGACCCTTGTAATAATACAACCTATTAGCATAGTATTATCATTATCTAGTTTTTCTAACAAAATGTTTGGGACACCTGCTTGTGGATGGAGGCTCTTACTAATGAAATCCCAATGCGTTCACCTTTATTCTTATCATTTAAAATAGTACCAATTATTAATGAACGGATTCTCCATATTAAACAATTTCGCCAAGATTCTTTGTGTTATTCGATGTTCTGTGACTTTTGTAGCAATATATGTGTAGTCATTACACGGAATTGTAATACATAATTGAGGTCTGACAGTGCATTCCTTCCAACTAAAGAAAAAGATGGACGAGTTTAAACAAAGTCTCTCAAGTATTAAGCTTAAAAGCCAGAGAGATCTGGTTGTCATCGCCTTTTCTTTGATAAGAAGTTTTAAGAGAGAGAAGGGTTCCCAGAGGTGGACGACTCTTTATAAGGATGAATAAGGTTTTTGCTTAAACCGTATTATTGTTTGCCACTCATCATTACCAAGAAAGGAGAGCTATTTCTAGAGACTTGCTTGGACGGATACAATTTCTTATATAAATGTGCGAATATCAAAAGCTAAAGTGCAACTTTTTTGAGAGGTTGTATGATCTACAAATTATGGTTGGTGAGCCGCCAATTGGTTCCACATCATCTGTGTGTCTATTAAAGCCATGTGTTACATTTGGCCATCAATATAGGGGTTTAAAAAGGATAAAAATAGTGTATAGGATTATAAGAAACACAACAAACTATATACAAAGTGTACCTGCAGGAAACTAAAATCGTCCACAAGATAACAATAGAATGTTACATTTTACCTTTTTTAATAATAAAAAGTAGAAAAAAAAAAAGGTTCAAATTTGGTGATTATTTCACATGTATCCTTTTTTTTTTTACTAACCCAAAAGCAATTATTCCAATTACAGCAAAATTACACTTTTACAGAAATAAACTGAATTTTTTTACCGAGCAAAAAAATAAATCCAGCTGTTTTCGGGAAAGTTCTTTCCCGAGTTTATTTTAAATAGAAATGGAACGTACCCTTAGCTTTTTTTCTTCTTCTTTCTTTTCTCTTTACCCTTCTTTTTTCTTCTTATTCCTCATACCATGTCTTGTACATATCGCTTCATGGATTCTTCTACTCAATTACCCGCTAATAGGTAAAAAAAATAGATAATCAAACAATACAATAATAGCAAGGTACTAATGCCTGAGTCAGGAGTTATGATATCATTCAAAGACAGCATCCTCAGCAGGCCAAAGTCAGTGTATCTAACGAAAGAGACAGACGATCGATTGAACCAGCACCAATTCTACAAATGAAATGGTTAAACTGTACATCAGCAGAACAGAAGTAATAATAATAACCCATTGATGAATATACGCCAAAATATTTACAATGTTTTTTTTTAATTAGAAAATCATTACAGAGTCCATTTTATTTTATGGTAGTAAATATTGTACACACTCAGAACCAAAGCGTGTTGCTACCATCACTAGAATATTTATCTGGGTCAACTGTCTGTTCATTGTACAGATTAAGGGATATCGATAACACAGGTACTACAACAATGTTATTGAAACTCATCTCTGGATATTAATTTTGTTTTTTACAGATGGTGGTTTTTTCGTATTTGGTGATTTAGCAGTAAAGAAAGCTGGTGTATATAAGCTACATTTTAGTTTGTTTGAACTAGTGGGGTAAGAAAAGATTAAATTTTAACAGATGATAAATGCTGACGTGTAACATTTAATAGAGATAAAGTGGAAACTCATAAAGCAATGTATTCAAATGAATTTACAGTGTATACATCTAAACAATACCCGGGCGTGATAGAATCATCTTTTTTGTCACGTACATTCTCAGATCAAGGCATTAAGATTAAAGTTAGAAAAGAAAGCCGCAGCAATGGAGATGATATAAAAAGGTACAAAATAGACAAAAACAGAAAATATAGTTCAAATTTGGCTAATAATTATTTTTTCGGTTTAAAGTGGGACCAATTTACGTAAACGGAAATCTGAAAATTCCAAGACGAAACAGAGAGAAGTAGTGAGTCCACCTTCATATGCTTCAGATGATGCTTACTTTGGTAGATGGCATGCTTTAAATCATAAATCTAAAAGACAAGTAGTGCCATCCCCAACCCCATCCTTATCTCCTACTCTTCCTTCCATTTCTTCACCACCGCCAAATCAATTACATGAGAAATGGATGATGATGGATGTAGATAGCTATATATCCAATGCATTGCCACCACTACATGAAATCATGAACAGAAATCATTCATACTCTCCATTCCCTTTAGATAATTCTTTTTTCAATCGTCATCATTAAAAAAACCCATATTTTGTAAATAATCAATTATCATTGGACGACGTGGCAAATTGTGTACTTTTTTTTTTAATCCCACAAATATTTCCCTCTCTTTTTTTTCCCTCATAACGAAATGGAAACAAGTTTAGTCATTCATGTTCGATCCCCTTCGCTGAACGAAACATTAATTGTAACCACTAATTTGAGTGCAACTGTACTATCCTTGAAAGAATCTATTGAACCTATACATCCTCACCACCCTACTGTTGAAAACCAACGTATCATTTACAGTGGAAAATTACTGCAAGACACCGAATTACTTTGTAACATTGTTAAAAATGTAAAATTAACAAATTTGCAGTCTCCATTTTATACATGTTCAACTTGTATTAACCTGCTTTATTCTCTAGGTTGATGATGAAGTAGCTCCAATCTTTCATTTAGTTGTGAAACCTTCTCTCCAATCTATTTCACAGTCAATTCCTGCACCAGTTCCACCTCCCATTCCAGAGCCAGTTGTCAGTGAGACTTTGCCACAGAATAATACCACCATGCCCGCTTATCCCCCTGTTTTACCTGGTGGTTATCAAGTTGTAGTTATAAAGTAATTTTATACTTCTCACTCTGTATTGGTATACTTGAAAATATTAACTTGTGTAATTAGTGGCCAATATTACCTCGCTCCTGTCCTAGTAGCCTCTCAGCCATTACCTCAGTTTCAACCACATGCTTCCTTTTACCAACAACCTACCACTCATTACCCAACACAACAAGGACAGCAAACACAAACTTCACCAGCTTCACCGCCACCAACAACACAGTTCCAACCTGCGCAGCAGTTCCAACCTGCACAATTTCCTCAACCGGCACAATTCCCTCAACCTGCACAATTTCCCCAGCCTGCACAATTTCCCCAGCCTGCTCAAGAACCTGCCCAAGCACAAGGTCCAGCGTTAGTCCGCCCAGCTAATGTTCAGCGTGCCACAACCATTTGGCTTGCATTAAAATTGGCTGTAGTTCTATTTATGCTGTGCCAAGGCGCAAGTATTGAAAGAATATTTATATTTCATATCATCGCATTTGTTTTCTTTTTGTATCAAACTGGCAGATTAAGATTTGTACTTCGTCGTGTACGCGTAGAGGATATCAATAATCGATTTAGACCTATGGCTCAGCGAGGTAAGTTGGAATAATGTGCCTGTGCTTTTATGAAAACAGGTTTGTTAACAGTCATTTTTTTTTAGCTCCACCTCCAATTCCAACACAGGCAGTTCCACAAGGACCCGCTACCTTGATTGATACCGTGAAAAGAGGTGCATACACATTTTTTGCATCTTTATGGCCTACTTATAATCAAGATCCTGCTCAGGCAGCAGATAACAATGAACAAAGAGAAGGGGTACAGTTAACATGAATTGGGCAGCCATATATTCATACTTTTATAACTAACTTTTTTTTAACTAGTTGGAAGAATTTTAGGGAGTGTATTTAAAAATTGAATAAAAGATAACTATGATTTTTTCGTTTGAAACAATAAATCACATTTTATACATGTATGATATAAATTGATATATGCAACTAGCATTTGAGTAGTTCAAACGGGGTTTTGTGTGACATTTTTGAGCATTCATTTCCGACTAGTACAGACAATATATTCAAATAGAGATGCATGAAGTTGATTATTGTCTCAAAACCTTAAATAAAACAAATCGTTTATTTCATTGGACAGTGACGTTAATTAGAATGGAGAATACATAATATATTTGGTTCAAGGGACAAGTACATGCCAATAAACGAAACAGAATGCTTAATTCAGTCTTCATAGTCCGCTACAGACACTTCATCGCTTAAAGAAGCTGGTTCTGAAATGAAGTTTTGATAATATGCATGATTACGATTATGCTTACCTGACGCACAAACATGTGACGTCAAACTGTTTGTTTACAAAGTGATAAAAAAAATTTGGGCGCTTTTTCTTTCTTTCTTTCTTTCTTTCTTCTTCGTGCCAAAAGTCTTCATTGGGGGCGAGTCCTTGGTGTTTGTACTTGAAGTCACACAGCACCACTTGCGCTCCAGGATAGTTGCTTCGTCAAGGTATTTCGTTATCGTGTGCCAATTTGGGGTGATTGTTGTCTAGGCACTTCTTTACTGGGTGCTTTTGGATGATTCCCAAGATGCCAGGTTTTGTGGCTTTTTTTGCTGGGATACTGGACGATTATGATTAGTTCTGGGTAACGTCGCCTTCCCCACTCGGTATATGTAGGCAACGATCTGGGGGAAATTATTTAACAAGCTACTCAAGGTGAATTCAACTTCACTTTTACCGTTTGGAGCATATTTCAGGTGCCCTAGCTTAAGAGTAGGAGCTGTCTTTTGGTGATTCGAAAGCAACATTCTACTTGCCGGTTGTGCACTCCTGAGTTTGGAAGAAATGGGTCCCTCGTCGTGTAAGTCGGAATTGGTCAATAAATAAGTGAAACCCCAAGGGGTAGAACGTTCATAGATTGAGAACATGGTGTTTTGACCTCCTTGTGGTGATACACGGGAGTCCTTTTTGCGAGCCATCAAAACTAATAAAAATTGGGTGAGTGCACACGGAGACTGACTTCCTCGCAGTTGCACTTGGGCAGTTTTCTCTTATAGAAACTGGCTAGCGAGTCTCCATTTTTTTTATAATAATAAAAACCACACTTTCGTTTCTAATGTCTGTCTTAATGTAAATGTCTTGTATTTTGCGTGATGGAGAAATGGTCTTTGGGGTCTTTGCTTGTAAATGGAGTATATTGTGAACATACCGACCATTCATGCTGCGCAAACTGATAAAGTTGGCGGGATCTTTCTTTAGAATAAACAGCTTGTAAATACAATTAAAACAACCACAACAAGGTTGTAGACTTTCTCTCTCTCAATCATTATTTTCTAATTGTACACTATCTGGGGCGAATGAATAATTATCTATCACTAGTTGAAAATCAAAGCTTAAATGTTGCATTCGTAACCCGTTTCTGAAGATGTATGTTTTCATCTTTAATCGAAAGAAAACTTTTTTTTTTTCATTTATTAATTCAGCTAATTAAAAACTATAATAATGCTGTTGATTCATAAAACCCCTATTTTTATAGTCATTGTAATTCCACGTAAAGTAATCTAAAAGTTTGCCTTTTTCAATCTCTACAAGCGCATCCTCTGAGGAATAAAAGAAAACGATATTGGTGTTCTTGCTACATTCGATTGTCAGATACGACTTAAAGATCCTTTCGTCTTCTCGGTAATCTTCAAAAAAGTCTGATATTTCTGATCCATATTCATACCGAACTTTTGGGTTATAAGCTATGAATTCATGATCTTGCACCGATCTATCTTCTTTTAAATAAAAATGAGCTGTATCACCGTCGTCATAATTTACAGTAATCCGTTCATACATTGTGTAATAATAAAGCGGAAATCTCCTTCTAACACGGTAATAGAGTGTTCTCATGTTTTCCAATGGTGTAACATCTACAGAATCATAGATCGCATCGTCTGATTGCGGCAATGGCGAAGCACCAACAACACAGCACTCAATATTTGGGAAAATCTTCGATAATCCATACATATCAGGTACATAGTCGACACATTGGATCACCTTCATCTTATCAGATATATTTCCAAACGCGTTTTTACTAGGCATATTCCAGTCGTCTGGATTAAGACTTGGGCTGATCATAATATTTTGGTCCACATCGTTCTTGTATGTGCTTTTAAAACGAAAGACTTGAAGGTTTTTACAGTGGGCTATTGTATATATTATATACTCATGCATTGACGTACTATATTCATATAACCGAATGGATAAACTGTTCACAATGTCGGGTTGAATTGCAAATGATGTGTTATCAAATAAAGCGGCTTCCTTTGTATATCGACTAGCAGTTGGTAAGCTTTGACAGGTATATCCGGAGTCTTTGGAATCATTCAAGTGAAAGTTATAACTCAAACTGGCGTCTGAATTCTTAGACATGCTATTGTCCTTCTTTTTTGAATCATAATTAGCCCTGCAGTATATTGGTTCGTGGTTTCCTTTAAACGCAGCAAGCAAGTTGAAGAAGACCGTCTGTACTGATCCTTTTGGGGTATTAAAAGTCGAGCCATACGCACTAGTTAATTCCTTCTTCTTTTTTATAATATGGTCCGAGAAAGTAAGAGTGACGACTCTAATTGTACCAAGTAGCGCTACAAGTTCTAAAGCCGTATCCAAGCCAACTTCATTTACCCAGTCATAAAGATTTAGCTTAAGTGACTCCATATGTAAACTGTCAAGTTGAGTGTAGGTGTGCATGAGATAGTTCTTTGGTATGGTTGGAACGAAAAGACGTAGATTTTTCAATGTCATATGAAACTTGTCATGATCGAAATTGTCTGGCATCTTATCAAGGAAATCGTTTTGGCTGGTGAATTCCAATGAAGCTAAATTGGAGCAAGCCTGGTGGAGATCAAATATTTCCATTTTAGGATCGTAAAAGTTGATTAAACGCAAGTGTGTTAAGGCCGGGAAATGACTTAAAAAGGTGAGTGTCTTGTCACTTTGAGAGTTCAATACCGTTACTCTATGTCTATGTTCCAATTTCAATTCAGTAATACTCGAGCGATACTTGTAACAGACGGAAAAGTACAGGTCAAGAAGTTCCTTTGTGAAAACTCGATTTGTAGTAAGCGAAATATTTTGTAGACGGCTCAAGGTGTTCGTAAGGTCTGTCGTATGAAGATACGTCAGGTAATTTTCAAAAAATTGAGTTTGAGACAAATTTATTCTTTCTACATTAGATGCGTACTCCAAAAGCTGGAGAAACTCTTCTTTTGTAAATGAGCATTTTTCAATCACGGTATATCCTCTATAATCTCGAATAGAATGGCGTCTAAATTTGTTGACACATGCGTCGGCTATCACCAGCTCTTTTATGTGAACACAGTTTTTGAAATAGTCAGCTTGCTCGCCATCTCTTTTTGCTAAATTTTGCTTTGCCAAGTATATTCTCCAATCATGCAACTGCAATGTTGTGTATTGTAATTTACGCGCTGGTAGTTCCCAAGCTTTACAAACAAGTGCACATCGAGAAATAGTTGCTTCGTCCAAACGCGACAATACATTATTTAAAAGCTCGATAGGAAGTGAGAGTATAATATTCATTAGAAATAGTAAAGAAGAACAAGAAGAAAAGTACTATCAGACGTTTCAGCCTTCCTTTATAAACTCTATTCCGTTAAGGAAAAAAAACAATGCGGGTTGCGTTCTGAGTGCTCATCTTTCCAAAAAAAAAAGAAAAAAAAAAAGGGTGTTACTGACAAATTTCTAAATCGGGTACGCGTTTTTCTATTCTTGTGCTTGTTCCAGTAGCCTGATTCATCTTGCATATCGCTCACTACAGTAGTCAGTAGTATTTTCAGATTGAATAATATCCATTGCCGTGATTTACTAAGTTACCTGATTAAAATGCACAAGATACAATGACCGCATCGAATGATTTCGATGGTTCGTGTAACGTGGCAAAATGTCATTCTTTTTTATTTTGGAATGGGATCTGTGGTTCCCGTATTTATTATGCTGGCTCCTAATGTCACCACGGAAATGTCAATCTTTTGCGGATCTTGCCGAGATGTTTTACAATTGATGGAACGCAAAGTAAAAAACTTGATGTCGCGGTGTACGCATAAACACCTGACTTTCTCACATTCAAGCGGTTTCATAAAATCAACATTATCAACTATACCCTTTACTGCAAGCTATTATTCACATAATTCCAATCACTAAAATACAGCTACTAAAGGATACACATACCGTAAGTGTATATCAATAAATAAAGTGTAGGAAGATTTTAAATCGCAAGTGAATAGCTTATGTTGTTCTGCGTGTAGCGCCATGTTGCGAGAAAGGCGTAAGTTTCACGTGCTATTCAGATCGGCGATAACAATGATAGAACATAAAGCGTTCAAATGTAAGCATTTGTCGATGACACCCAATTTAATAAAGAGGAAACTTTATTTAGAAAAGATTAAGCCTCTTCTCCTAAAGCAGGTATTACTAGTTTTCGACCTGGAATAACCTCGAGAAAGGCCTTTTTCCAGTCCTTGTATTCTAACCATTTCAACATGATTTCACACACTATTTTCAAGAATATCAATTTCTGCACACAAAAGATCGACATAAATATATATATATATACCTTGGTTGACTGTTAAGACTTTTCTGGTAGACATTTGGATATACTCGCCAATGGGTAAACGGGCTGTTTGAATTCCTTGTCCCATAGCTTTATTTTGACAGAGACTTTTGTATCTGTTTTTATCCACGATAGCACCAATGATATAATGCTTGCCTTGTTCTAATTCCTGGATGACGTTATCTGAATCTGCTGAGAGATACACGAGATCATTGTGATCAAAGTTGTCTAAATAGGAATTTGGTAAGACGGTTACATTTTTCCAAGAAGACCAACTAGGCAATTTTTCATTCAAGGGAGCTGTCAATGACGCATCCACCGAGGATAAGCAGAATTTCATGGATTTAGGTGCGATTTTGTTTTTACCGTAGGCGTAACCTATTTGATTGATCAACGAGTATAGTTCCTGGTTATATTAATTACAAAAAAAGAAGGTAAGGCATGTAAAAAATAAAAAACCTTTTCTTCCATCAAGTCATTGAATGCACAATCCATAATGAGACCAATATTTGTTAATTCACTCAAGAAAGCCAGCTTCTTTTTGGTGGGGGTAGGCTCAATGAGACCTTGTTCGATCTTTTGACGTTTTTCAGACCGTTTTTCAGACCGTTTCAGCTTCGTCTTTTCTCTTAGAGCCAGACGTTTTTCGTCTTTGGTGGCTTCCCATAGGTCGTGCTTTAGTAGCTTTTTAATGGCTCTTTTCGAGAGGTTTTCAAACCTAGGATCGGAAGGGTTGTATTCTAAACCGTTATAATTACAAATGGCAGGCTCCATGGAATGTTCGGATCAAGACCAAAGTTTCTTTTTTATTTTGTTGCTCAGCATTTATTAGGAACTAACAGAGAGGACCAATAAAAATGAAAGATCGAGAAGGGTATAAAACGCTGGGTCGGCAACATTTTAAAATAAAACTTGTTTCCTTTTCCCTTATCTTTTTCAAAAAAAAAAAAAAAAAAAATGTTTGTTTTCTATAATATTATCTGGATTATTTGTATAGCATTGCTATTCGCTTCATTTTTCATGTTATTAAAGAAACGAAGAGCAAGAAATCTAATGAATCAACCCGGAAATTATGCAACGAATAATCCTAATTTTGTGGTGGACATGAATGGACAACATAATTATCCACCACCACAAAGCTACGCACCTCCTCCTCCTCCTCCTCCCACAAATCAATACCCAGTACCCACTACAAGCTCTGGTCTTGAACCTCCACCACCTTCATACCAAGATTATTCTAAAGATCATCGTGTTCCTCACTTGCAATAAATGTTTATTCCCCCTCGTCTCTTTTCTATTTACTACTACTACTACTGCCATCATTACCACTAGCACTTCCACTAGGTGGTTCTTGGCCAAATTTTAAAACGTACAGCTTGTGTTTGATAGCGTGCAAACTCTGTAAACGTATACAAATAATTTAAATAAATCGCTATTTCTTTGCAATCCATGTATTTATTTACCTCGTCCAAAATATAATTGTCACATTGATAACACCAGACGGATAAATCACTAAAGCTGATACATACACAATGATCCGTTTCATCCACATGTTTCTTCATATGTCCCTTACAATATCTAGAGCAATACACGGCTTTACAGTGTAGACAGTGCCAGTTCTCGGTTGTGTCATCGCACGACTGACATGGCTTGTGCAAGTAATCTACCTCATCCACCACGTAAGCAGGTACATGGGGACAGTCTGTGATGGGCGTAACGGCGAATCCCATAGTTTCAATCAAGTAAAAAGAAAATAAAAAAGCAACAGAAAAAAAAAGATTTATACAAGGTTACGTCATTTTTATTTCGTTGATCAATTCAGGAAATAAAGCGTACACAATTTCATCTAATAAAGAGTAAACCAAGTCTTGATTTAAGCGTTTGTTTTGAAGTACAGTAAATAATCTTCGAGCTCCTTTTCGTGCATTCTGTCTGCCCACCATATTGCCAAGCAAATCTTTTTATAAAGGAAAATCTATTATTAGAAAATTGCCCACATTTATAAAAAAGCAGTTTTATATTACCCGGCAGCCATGTTGAGAGTTTACGGTTGGCTTCTTCTCTTGTATGCACTTTTTCTTCTACTTTGCGAGCTGGTTTAAATGTCAGTGGTCCTCCATTCGGCCATAAGCTATCCGTGATTTTGTTGATGTAAAATACCACCATGGAAGTAGAGCCCAAGTACTTTAGTACTTCGCGCAGTTTTCTAAATTTTTTCATCAGTAAAAAAACAAGGCACGCGTTTAAATATAAAATGATATTTCACCTTTCAATGGTGCCTTCCAAAATTTGTTGTAAAATAATCACAACTGCTTGTCTTCTTAACCAATTCGTTTTATCCTTAAGTTCAAACATTTCAATAAATAAATCACAGAGCGGTTCAGTAAATCGTGTAATGCCTTCTGCTTTTAACGAATCTGGTAAATCCGTAGCAGATGATAAAGTCGTTGAATCCGCTAATTTCGTGTTACTACGAGAGCTGCTAGAGCTAGCAGGAGGACTACCTGACTGATCATGCGAAAATTCCATCACTTGCTCACCCAGGCGTTGTGTAATCAGATCCAGCATAGAGGGACCAATCAAAATATCATCAATACCCGCAGCCACTGTTTTATAAATATGTCGCATAAATCCCTTGTTCTGTTTTTCATCGTTTGACATGGGACCGCCTGCCGCAGCAATTGATTTCTGAAGATTTTGAATAGATGGTGAAGTCAATGAATGCAACGAGCTGCTTGAACTGGAAGTAGGCATAGGAGGTGCACTTGTAAATAAACCAAATGACCAATCCGTATCTGGTGCAGGAACATAAACATTTTGTTGTGACAAGAACGACTTAAATTCTTGACTTTGACAGATATCACGGTCTTCAATTAGGCGACGTAAATACTTTTCCAAACTAATTCTACGGGTTTCCACAAACGGTTTTTGAAGCTTCAGGAGGGGCCATTTACCTGGGAATTCAATGAGTTTAACAATAGGAAAAATTTCTTTCAGCTTTTGATGTAAAGCAAAGAACTCGCTGTATCTTCGTGTAACAATCCAACCTGATGCATAATTCCCATCAAACCCCAATTGCTGAATTTCAATCACGTAAAGAGCAAAATCCCCATTTTTATCAGATCCGATGGTCGCATCCGTAATATTCAATTGAGATCGTTTAGGCGTTAAAACGTTCTCGGATTCTTGTAATTCATACTGACATTTCTGATAATTGATTTGTTGAATTTCCTGTCGAAACATACTTTTACTTATTTTTAAAATACGTAATTCTTCAAATTTATGCTGCATTTCGGCTTTTGTTATCAATGCATCTACAATCGCTTCTTGCGCAATGAGCTTCTCGACTTCTTCATTCAATTTTTCGATTTTGTGTGCCAGCATCAGATCTCCGGGTGGAGCGAAATGCACATTGGCTAATTCGCTCGAGGTATCGGGAGAAGCAGACATTTTAGTAGGAATTGCCGTGTCCAATGTATCATGTTCAATCTCTGAAATAGTATTGGTGCCACCCGACGATGTCCAGGATGGTAAAGGAAATGCATTCTCTACAGGAACAGCTGTGGTTGATTTGACGCCTTTGGCCCCACAGAGCAATAAAGCGGAAGAAGAGCTTGTGGGTTTGGGTGCTCTAGCTGGTTCGGGTTCGGGTTCGGGTATATCTACTATCTCTTCATGATTATTTCCATCCAAAATGGATCGTAATTCTGCTTCCACTGCATCCACTGTGTTACTTCTAACCAACCTATTTCTCTTGGGTAATTCTTCATTCTCCTCTTCCTCATCTTCGGTTTCATCTATTGACTTGATTGAGTTTGGCACTGAGCTACTTGTACCAATTTCTTCTGTATTTGTCCATTGAAATATGTTTGAAAATGAAGTGAGTTTGGAGGTAGAATCCGAAAGTGCTCGTTGATGACCTCTTGGCCTTGACGAGTGTAGACTTGGAGTAGGTGATTCTGTCTTGACGGGCGCAAAATGAATGGATTCCTGAATAGAAGCAGGTCTTCTTTCTTCAGGGATCATGGATGGAGCTGAAGCCAAAAACTTAAAATAAAGATCCGACCGTTTAAAATAAGGATAATGTTCCTTTTCAATCTCCCAAAAAACATGTTGTTGGATTCGATAAAGACGTGACCCTAATTCTCGTATACTGTTAGAGAATGCTTCTCCTTCTTTAGCTTCTTGTGCTGCATCGATTGCGCTTAAAAGATCGGTGTAAATTTGATCTAGCACATGAAGTCTATGAGGTGCTGTATCTGTGAAGTACATATCATTTACCATCTTGACATCCTGTAAAAATGTTTCCTGTTCCTGAGGGGTGATGACATCGGTACTATGAAAGCCCTCTACTATTAGCCAAAATTGAAGTTTTACCATATCGCCTCTTCGATCCATAAATTCCATGAAATAGGATAATCCTGATGAGTTCGTTAAGATGTCTCTGAGCGTATATCCAATACTGGATGGTATTGTACTCTGTTTTCTTGATCCAACACCGAACAACTGGGAAGTGGATTTTCGCTATTGTGTGCGAGTGAGTTAGTGGGACGATGTAACATGTGATAGAACTAGAAAAAGAGGATGACTTACGAAATCAAACTGTTCACCTGATAACGTACTAATTCTTTTATCGACTCTCTTCTTTGCTGTACTGAGACGATTGATATAGACAATAATATCTTCTACCTTTTCACCATCCATGACTTCCTCAGGATCACGATCCGCTATTCCATGTGTTAAAAAAAAAGGGTGATCCTGGATTGACCACGAAGACACGCACACACTCTCACACACAAACACGCGTTATCCTTACCTATCTGTGCCTTCTTTTTCCGAATTTGGGTCACAATATCATTTCTCACGCGTTTTAAATCCAACAAATTCTTTTCCTCTCCAATCCCTTTTAAAAAATCTTGATATGTTTTTCTACCCAAGCCAAAACCATAAGGTTTCTTCTTGGATGAACGATGCTGATCTCCTTCATCATCCCAATCATCCGTAGACACACCCGTTCCCAAAAATGCTGAAGAAAATTGAGTCTTTGGTCCCATTTTCATACGCTTGTTCACGGGTTCACTCTTGGATTTGTTGAAGACATTCATGACTTCTTCTGTATCGATATCAGCGGTTGAATGACGATTTAGAACCTCACGTAATTGACGCACCATTTTCCTATACAATAAAAAAAGTTGAGAAGGTAAAGGATCGAATGGGTTTCCTGATTTACTCTGAATGTACGTTACTGTTCAATAATGGCTTTTCCCAACTATAGATAAAAAGAAAGAAAGAAAAAAAAGAGGGGAGAAGAAAGGATGAGCAACATTCAAAAAGAAATTGACATAATAATATATGCATGAAAAATATATACAAACATAAGCATCTATTGTTTGATTCCAAAAATCAGGATCGGCCAACATATCAATGACAGGTTGCAGTACTGAATTGGAAACGATTTCACGTATCACCACACGAACGGGACCACTTTGTAATTCCTTTTGTTCAATAATGTAAGGTAGCACGCGTTCGATCATCTGTCTGAGATAAGCAATTTCTGTAGGTTTTGTTGTTACAGCAGCAGTAGTTAATGCACCATGCAATTTACCATGTCGAAAACGAGAAGCTAGCAAAAGATCCAGTTCATCCGACTGCGTGACTGATCTCTCCAATGATTTACCACGCAAGGATGTTTCGGCTGTATGAAATTCAGAGATATGTGAAGTGATCTTGGGTACAATCTTATTCAAGACGACCAATAATAAATCGGTATTTTGCAATCGTTTGGTCAGTTCCACGGTGGCAGAGCGTATAATCACATCCACTGCAAAAGGAAAAGACTGTTCGGATATCTGGCCAGTGATCTTGACAAACCATGATTGAATAAAGTCTCGAAGTAAAAATTGTTGCAATGTATCAAACGACGCTTGAATCTCGCTGTTGTCACTGATGACCTGTTTACGTTTGGTGTTGTCTAACATGCGTTGTTTTTCGAGCCGTGGCCAGAGTGTTTTATGTGTAAACCGTAAGGGTTTGAAACTATCGTTTTTTCGTTTGCCGTGCGGAGACACAAAATATTGAAGGTAAATGAAGGATACAATCGTGTTAAGTAGAAGTAACGACATTAGACTAGCAAACGGTACAGTCAATGCCCAGATAAATAAGCTCTTGTTCCATCCTATTTTAAGCTGTATTGATAAAAAGCATATTATAACAATACAGACAACTTTTTTAAAGGGAGTCATTGTTAACGAACCACGATAATAATAAAAAAAGGGGAAAAATAAAATAAAAACGAGTGTTTCGAATGGGGAGAGACAAACAGCAAACTCAGATAGTTTATGTGACAGGCATATAAATAAAATATACAAAAAAAAAAAAACTTTCTTTTTCTTTAAACCCTTCATTTATTAAAATGTCAGATCAACCTACGGGAGCATTAGACGCTGTGTTTGTAGAATCGGTTGAAATGCCCGAAGGTTCTGTCCTTATTCAAGGTCCCGACTTTAACAAGAAGCTGTCTCTTTCCCAGTTATTGGGAGCTTATAAACAAATTGGTTACCAAGGCAGCAGTCTCGGCGAGTCTATTGAGATTATCAAGGAAATGGTATGTAGTGTGTATAAGCATGTGGGGGACCCCCTATTAATAATACTAAAGCATGCATAATCAGAGAAAATGGCGCTTGTCGGACGACCCTATTGATGCGGATGAGGCTAAGGATTTCCTTGACCCAGAAATTCGTAAAGAAACCAAGTGTAAAATCTTTTTAGGATATACGTCTAACCTTGTATCTTCTGGATTACGTGAGATTATTCGATTCCTTGCACAGCACAAGATGGTGGATGTGATTGTTGCTACAGCTGGTGGCGTGGAAGAGGATTTCATCAAATGTCTTGCACCCACATACCTTGGAGATTTTGCTTTGGATGGTAAAGACCTTCGTAAAAAGGGTCTGAATCGTATTGGAAACTTATTGGTGCCCAACAATAATTACTGTAAATTCGAAGATTGGATTATTCCTATTTTAGATGCCATGTTGGCAGAACAAAAGGCTGAGAATAAGATTTGGACGCCTTCTACCATGATTCATCGTTTAGGCAATGAAATCAAGGATGAATCTAGTATCTATTACTGGACTTCAAAGAACAACATTCCTGTCTTTTGTCCTGCCATCACAGATGGATCCTTGGGTGATATGATTTATTTCCATTCGTATAAAAACCCAGGCTTGATTGTGGATATTGCTGCAGATATCAGAGCCATGAACAACGAAGCTGTCTTTGCCAAAAAGACAGGTATGATCATTTTGGGAGGTGGTATTATTAAGCATCATATCTGTAACGCCAATTTAATGAGAAATGGTGCGGATTATGCTGTCTATATTAACACAGGTCAAGAATTTGATGGTAGTGATGCAGGTGCTCGTCCTGATGAAGCCGTTTCTTGGGGTAAAATTAGATTAAATAGTAAATCCTGTAAAGTCTATGCAGACGCAACCATTGTCTTCCCACTTATCGTAGCAGAAACATTTGCTAAAGAATTGCATCAAGAAGAACAATAAATATATTATATTTTATTTCAATCCTCGTCTTCATTATTATAGCCTCTTTTAACTAATGCATCCAACAAGACTCGTCTTTCCGTACGTAATCTCTTTAATTTCTTTTCGGTTGTGGCCCATTCATCACACAACATTTCATTCTCCCGTAATATATAATTTAGTTGAGCTTTCGCTAGCTTATATTGATCCATCATGCTGTCCTTTTTGACCTTGTTTTTGATATGTGTGACTCTAGGTTGTATAACTTCGCGTTCTAATAAAAGTGGCAACTCTTCTAAATCGTCAGAATCGTCAGAGAGTTGATCATTGTAACGTTGTTGTAGTTCTTGCAGCTTGCGCTTCTTTTTTATTGACGCAGGCACTTTTTTCTCAAGTTGTTCGTGGTCTAACTTTGCATGTCGATCTAATCCTTCCATGTTTGAAAATCTGTGTTTGTGAAATAAAAGAGAAAAGAGAATAAATTATGATAAAAAAAAAATTTAAACACACAGCTTTTTTTTTTTTTTTTTTTTTTTTTTTTTTTTTTTTTTTTTACGTTTTGTGACAGTGTCCACATTCAAAAGGACTTTCGCCTGTATGTAAATGTAAATGGTTGGCAAAAGAAAACCGACTATGCCAAACAATATTCTTTCGATGGCAATCGTCCCACTGACATTTGTATTCAGCCTTTTTCCAACCAATATGTTCTAACTCAAAATAACTGTCAGTTACAAGTGCGTCTACTCTTTCTCTTTCTCTTTATTTTACCTTTGGATAAATGCAAAGAGAGTTCGGATGCAGGTAACAAACAATGATTCCACAAGCAGACGTTAGACATTAGAAGAAAAGGGACACAATTATGCAGTTGCTTTTCTTGCTGAATATAAATAAATATGAAACGTCACGGTTGCATTTACAAGTACCTTCCTTCCCCTCTATTCCTGCCCTTCTTTTTCACACATGACCCTCATCTTTGTCACGTTCATGTAAGATTACTCTTTTTTATGTCAGAGCTAATTACTATTCTTTTCTTAGGGTTCCAGTGGATAGGGTAAAGGCTTATAAAATAAAAAGCTGAGCCATAATTAAGAGCAACTCGGTGTTCTTTGCAGGAATTATGTTTTGTCTTTGTATCATCATGCAGTGTAATACAAAATAGCAATAGGCCGACCCTCTTTGATAGCAGTAGATTGGCAGCCTGAGGCATATATAGCATATTTCCTGAACAAAATCTTTGACTGAGAGCGATAAACATTACTGACAATGTCACAAAGTTTTACAGGTCTTATCATGCAACCATGGTAACTCTTTGGAGGAAATGGTTTTAGGAAGTGTGATGTAGTAAAAAAAGGCTGTAGATATTCTACGTGCATGAATTTACATGAGTACACTCGAAGGAAGGGCGTTCAATATTCACTTTTTGTCAATTTGTGATACGGTTTCCATTCTGGGGTTCAATGTTCCAGAAAGAAAAAGAAAAAAAGATCGCTCAGGCAAAATTTCCCCCCTCACTGCTTACTAAAAGATGACAGCATCTTCTTTTATAGTAGTTCGACCAGTACTATGCGAGGACACACGATATAACTCCAAAGTTTGGGAAATGATAAATGCGGCTTATAGATCCTCTGAAAGCTGGACAACGGATGTCAAGATTGTAAGCATTCCTCGCATCAGCCTGGACGAACTCAATGAAACAGTCTTAAATAGTGGAAAAGAAAATGTTCTAATGTATGCTTTCGATGAAGAGAATGTTGCAGGTTGCATTTTGATTAAAAAAGACGGTACGTTATCCTTGTTGGCCGTTTCTCCATCGTACCAGTCTCGGGGCATTGGTGGTTTGTTAATCAAAGAATCCCTTGACTACATGAAGTCTGTATTGTGCATGAAACTTGCTATTATACATGTATTCCAATGTAGACCAGAGTTAATAGCATGGTATCAACGACTTGGCTTCGAGGATGATGGTGAAGTAATGCCCTTCCCTTTTAAGAATATTTTACTTGTGGATGAAGCACCATTGGTGGTTCTGAAGAATAAACTATTTTAATTGGTCGTGGGGTATTCATCTTCAGGTATAAAAAGTATTGGCCATTTAGATATTGGGATTAGATTATCTTTTTTCTTTTTTTCTTTTTCTTCAAAATTCTCAAATCTATAATAAAAATGGTTCAGGCACCAATTACGGTCCGTTTGGTAGAATTAAATGACGTGAAGCATGCTGCTACTGCAACTGCTGTGGTTAACAACGCTTACAGAGCCGAAGGTGGATGGACTACGGAAAAAGATATTGTCGGTGGACAACGTTGTACCGAAAAAGATATGACAGAATTTATCAAAGAGAGTGGAAAGCCCAACACCCTTTTATTTGCTTTTGAAGGCGATGTTGTTGTTGGGACTGTACAAATCCAACCTTCTCATGAATCCCCTAAAGAGGCTGAGGTTGGTCTCTTTTCTGTCTCACCTTTACATCAATCCCGTGGTATCGGAGGTAAGCTTGTTCGTCAAGCTTTGTCCGAAATGTCGGTCTTGGGTTTTGATACCGCTGTCATGCATGTATTAGAAAACAGACCTGAACTTCTTTCATGGTATAAAAAGTTGGGTTTCTTAGAAACTGGTGAACGTATTCCTTTTGTTTGGCCTGAAATGTTGAAGATTAAGGATATTCACTTCTTAACATTGAAAAAACCACTTGAAAAGTAATTTAGAGCCCTCTCCAACCCCCGCAACCCCTGCCAAAAAAAAAAAAAAAAGAAACCATGGCAACCATAGACTTTTTACCCTCTATCGCCCTCATTAAGGCTAATAATAAATAATTAATAATGTTGGTTACAGATCTATTTCACTGAATGTCATGTGTTTTATTGCTGATTCATCGAGCACCTTTTTAGTAATCAGTATAATCGTATACGGTGAATATAAACTAATTGTTTAGGTTCAATACTTTATATTGGAAGGACTACTTTGACAACCCCGATCCTTCATTGGGCCATACAATGGGGTAGTATGTCACACAAGGAAGGAAAGGAAATCATGCATTTATGCACTGCAGAAGCCAAATTACTTTACCGAGTATTACAATTCTTAAACTATTGGGCTTTATGAGTGTAACTTCGAGCTATGCATTTTCTCTATTTATAATTAATTGATCGTCATAAGCATTCATTAAGGGTAATTATACCCACCTTGGACAAGAGCGAAGTTTTTTTTAGGTTGATCTACACTTCATTTTCCAAAACAAGAAATACAGGTTCTTAAAAGTTACTCGAGCATTTACGCACTGGCTAGCGAAGCATGTATATTGAAATATGCTTTACGCAGAGATTGATATGCATGTCGATCTTTTTTTATTTTTACCAGAGTAAAAAATGCCTCCCTGTGATGCTTTAAATGAAAACAAATCGATCAAGTCAAGAGTAGAGAATTTAAAGGATGTTTTCATATTATGATATCAGCCTTATCTAGCTATTAAAAAGAGTCGTGTTTTTAAGCTTTTGTATGACCAAAACGTAGAATTGTACTTCAGCTGTCTCCTCCCCCCCCCCCTTTTTTTTTTGGCTGTTGTTCTGGTGGTGGTGGTAAATAAAGAAAAATAAAACGAATGTTGATCAAGATATGGTTTGAGTGACTTTTACAGACAAACTTAGAGGAATCACAGCAGTTAAATGGGTGTTGGGGGAAAAGTAACAGTTTGTGTTAATCCTTTCATACCCGCTGATTGGGCGTAGAAACCCTTCATTTCCTTTTGAAGTTGGCACTATTTTTAAATTTTTGGTAAATAACCCCGTCGCTTCTTAATTTCTCTATATCTTTCTTCTTTTGTTTCTTCAACATTAACCATGACTGACTTAAAGAAGGAAAATACAAAGCCTCTAATTGACACAGAAGAGTCCGAAGAAGAGATTAGCCTAGTTTCATCTGAAGCAGAGGTTACCAGTAGCAACACAACCGCTACCTTAAACCCAGACATTAACGCGGAATGGGATGAACCAACCACGAAGAAAGAGCACCCTTTAGCTGCAGCGATTGTTGTCGAAGACTATGATAGTGATCCCTGGGCTCAACCAGAAAATGCCTTATTAGCTCATGAGGAAGAGGAAGAGGATGAAGACGAGCAAGATCTAGTTATGAAGCAACCACCAGCACAATCTGCAGAGGCTCCTTCAGTTGCTACCACAACTGTGTTTGATGCAGTCGATCACCTTCACGAGCCTATTGCGAGACAGGAAGAAGATCAAGATACGTCGGCTGTAAAGGTAATTCACTCTATATTTTTGTACCTATTTTAAAGTTTTTTTTCTTAAATCCTAACAACGTCGTCATTTCGTAGGGCTTTCAAAATTTCGAAGACACTGATAAAATTGATGACCTAAAAGTGTCTGGAGAACTTCCGGACTGGTTGACTGGTGAACATTTTACCGTTGGGCCTGGAACATTTAGCATCAAATATAGCCGTAAAGTAGAGATAGATGGATTACTTCAAAACTCTACAGCAGTCTATTCGTTCGGTCATTGGTTTGATGCATTACCCTTAGTGAACCGTTTCGACTTGAATGGGTCTAGAAACTCAATTACTTACCGTAACAAATTAACCAGCAAACGGTTAATTGAAAAGATCCGTGATCATCATGGCTATGCTCCTCCTCATCCTGCCGGTCTTTTCATGTCAAACACAAACCAAACTGTTTTATCAAAAATCTTGAACAATTCTTCAAAGCCAAATAAGAAGCCTGATGCAGAACCTTGTGGTGCACGTATTCTAACAAGTATACCTGGATTAGAAGGAAGACTATTAACACAAAATTATGCCAATCATGTAAGTTTTCTAAATGATTGTTCAACTTTAAATTTTATTCTTATATACATACATATCCCAGATCCAAGAATTAGATCCATTTGATTTGAAACCCACTCGTTTATTAACTTGGAGCGACATCAACCCTTTGTTTAAGGGAACTAGCTCTTGTCCTAACGGCCAATACGACTCACGAACTGGAGAATATATCAACTTTACATTGGAAGTTGGGTATCAATCGGTCAAGTATAACTTCTTTTCGATTAGTGATAAAAATCCAAAGGGTTCCATCATCGCATCCATTACTGCTCCTATGGCCTATGTAAACACATTCTCCATCACACCGAAATACATCATTTTTGTAAGTGTATTTACTATGATTACTGCTCTTTTAATAATATTAACACTACGAGGCAGGTAATTTGTCCTATTCTTGCAAATGCCGGCGGAGTTAAATTCAACTGGAATGAAAGCATCATGGATTCATTCTCTTTTAGAGCCACTGAACCTACATTATTTTATGTCATTTCAAGAGAGAAGGGAGATGTTATTGCAACCTACCGATCTGATCCTTGTTTTGTATTTAATCATATCAATGCATTTGAGATGGATGGAAGTGACACAGTGTATATTGACATGATTTGCTACCCTGATGACACCATTGCACGTCAATTGACAACTGAATTTTTGCGTAACCCAAATAACATGAAGCCATCACGATTAATGGCCTCCGAAGTCAGAAGATATCAATTGGCGAATATCCAAGAAGAGAATTTATGCTACTTGACCAACAATTCTTTGATTCCTTCAAAAAACAGTGTTTCGACTCGCATTTCTTCGGTGTTTGGATACTTCAAAAAGAATACGCCTGCAGTATCGGATAGTCTAGAATATGGTGATAATGGTAATTATGTCGCACATGCCAACAAATGGTATTCCTGGATGCCCGTCGCCTCATTTGATAAAAGAGCCCAACCTTCTATTGAGCTACCTCAAATCAATCCTAAATTTAAAATGTATAAGCATACCATCATGTATGGCCTTGGCTTTTCTGCATCTAGTTCGTTAAAGGATGGTGCTATTTGGGATAGTATTGTAAAAATTGTAAGTATAAAAATGACGCGATAATTATGTGTGTGCGTGTGCTAACAAAATGATTTAATAATAATAGGATGAGGATAAAAAACATGTTGTAGCCTCTTGGCATCAAGATTTCTGCTACCCCAGTGAAGCATTGTTTGTACCAAGACCTTCTATTGGGCCCGAAGATGAAGTTGGCGAGGATGAAGGTGTTCTTATTAGTATTGTGATGAATTCTCAGAAGGCTACATCCTTTATCCTTATCCTGGATGCAGGTTCCTTAAAGGTGTTGGCTACTGCAGATCTTGAAAGACTTGTGCCACTCAGTTTTGCTCACGGGTCTTGTAGACTAAGAGAAAATTAATCTCGTAGATTTTCAATACATGTCGCTTTTCATTATTTTATCCCGTCATTATCCTCGTTGCCATTTACATACATAAAAAAAAAAAAGATAACTGCTGCGTTTGCTTGTTTTTAGCTTTTCGTGTAATCTAAGAGACAGATGATTCTAGCAATACCAAAAAAAACTTCTAGAAATTATTAAAAGATCCTTTTTTGGTAAATCATAATTTATATGCCAAGGGTAATTTCTAAAACGTTGCGACTTAAGAACCTACACTAACTAGCCTGATTTTTGCGGTTTCGGGTACATTTATAGACGAGCTTATAAAATAAAGGCTTTTTTTTTGGCTGGGTACCCAAAAGGAATATTTTATTTTCTTTAACAATACAAAAAAAAAAGATGTTGAAGAAATTAGTATTGTTACTTACTGTTGGTATTTCCACCCTGGTGACAGCCGCCACACCTGGTACATATTTCTATGGCCTCAACTATGGAATTAATCCAAACGCTTGTCCAAGCTATGAGCAGATCAAAGGGGATTTTGAAAAGATACAACTGTACACAAACCGAGTACGTACATTCTCAATGTCTGTTTGTAACCAAGGAGCGCTAGCTTTACAAGCTGCTAATGAATTGGGCATGAATATTTATTTGGGAATGTGGATTGATACACCAGCTACTTTTGAATCTGAAATGGCCGCCTTGACAAATGTGATGCAAAGTGGAGCTTCTTTTGATAAGGTGGATGCTATTATTGTTGGATCTGAGGTTCTCTATCGTAAAGATACTGATGAGAATACATTGGCCGACTACATCAAGAAAGTGGGACAATTAGTTCGACCCAAGGGTATTCAAGTAACTACAGCGGATGTCTACTACGAGTTCCCACCTGTTGTTGTAGCTGAATTGGATTTCTTGATGATGAACGCATTCCCTTACTGGGAAGGAGTCACTGTCGAGAATGGTGCCACTACTTTAATTGAACACTTTAACTCTGCAGTTCTAGGTAAATCTTTAGGAAAGCCCGTACGTATATCCGAAACAGGATGGCCTTCTAGTGGACCTAACTTTGGTGCTTCCATTGCGTCTCCCGAAAATGAAAAGTTATACTTGTCCAATGCTTTATGTCTTACCCGTAAGAATAACATTGACATGATCTATTTCTCTGCTTTTGATGAGCCTTACAAAGCTGGTGTTGAAGCACATTGGGGTATTATGAATCCTGATGGCACTTTAAAAACCGATCTGTCTACTTCATTATTCGCAAATCCAACTTGTTAAAAAGGATAAAAAATAAAAATACACCCTCTTTTTTCAAAAAAATATATATTTTTATTTTGTACAAATGCGTGTCTTGATATTGCAATATTCTAAGTGATTCAAACTGTCTTTTCTTCCTTCTTAGCGACGGCATCGAGTAATTCGTCAATGACTTGAGTTTCGATGACGGTTTCTTTGACAGGTGCTTTAATCCATTCTTTGGGGAATTCTAATCTTTGCTTGGGCTTTGGTAAATCAAGAGGAATATCGGCAAAAGTATCCTTGGTGTCCTACACAGAAGAAGAAAAAAATGTCAAAATTTGACAGAACACAGTGCAGGTTATTTCTTTTTACCTTTGCTTCGACAATCAACTTGTTTAAAACATCGAGTAAATATTTCTTGTTTTGTTTGCGGTGAGGGAATCTTTCACTTGACATGACTAATTCTTCGGTGTTTACGTTATATCTTGGTCCACTCAATAATAAAAATTTATGCTTTTCAGTAGCACTTAATTTTAAATCAGACACCTTGACGTTTAAAACGGCTTTCTTCTCTACAGGATGTCCTTCTCCAACATAGGTATGTGACTTGATTCTTAAAATTTGATCGGATGTAGGTGCTTCAAAAGGTTTAGCGAAAGCTATTTTTTAAAGAAAAAAAAAACAGAAACCAGGGGGTGTTAATTAGTTTAAAAGAAAGAACGTCAATTTCTACAAGAATTACCATTCAATTTAGGTAATTCGAATTCAGTCTTTCTTAAATATTGACGAACTTCTCTAATGTTTTCAAAGAGACTGTGACCGATGGTGGTTTGGTCATCGAAATCAAACTTTGGCATAAATTCGACATCGAATTTCTTTTCTGCTTTTCTACGTTGAACTCCGGTACCTTGACGACCTGCAAGAGCAACAGAAGTGGTTGAAAATTGTCTGGCGGCAGTGCCCTTGTTCACAACTTGTCTCAACATGATTTTCTTAGAAGAAGAGTAATTATTTTTTTTGTATTTTTTATTTTTTGACTGGGGCCAAAAAAAAAAATGTCAGTTTTTACGTGACTACGATTTTATTTTGTAGTAGCTACATTGCTTTCATACTCTTTTTCATCAAGTATTAAATGTATAGGTATGCTAGGTGAGTATAAACAGCGATATAATGTACCGCTAGGGCACTCTTGAGAAGCACAACCAATTCGTTCAGTATCTTTCCAAACCATCGTGATAAACGTTGCTGCAGCATCTGTATAACCTGGATGATCATAGTCGTAATATTCGTTACCCTTATACCAAGCATTGATTGTCTGATTCCAGTTTTTAAAGCCGCTTGCTACATTGTCAATTGCTATAAGATTTAAGAATCCGCTGATATCACTTTTGCTGTTAAAATCGCATTTCTTAACGTATTGTTTCGATTGGAAAGCCAAAGTAGTGTCCCATTTTAGAGCGGATGTATCTTTATGGTTTTGTCGAAGCTTCTTATGAAGTGCAATGATTATATTGCGCTGCTCAATAGAGTTATCTACTTCTGAAGCTGCTACGCAATAGACAACAAAAACCAAAAACAAAATTGAAAATGAATAAAGCATTATGAGAAGAGAAAGATAATCTCTTAATATTCTTCCAGGAAAATTCTTATATAATGTTACTAGACCTAATGATTTATACGGTAGTACCAAACAGGAACATTTAGTATAAAAGTGTGCCACCTGGAACAAAAAAGTTTTCTACCTTTATTTTGGGCTCTCGATTTACCTTTTTAGTACATTTGGGGCTATAAAAACAGTGTACCCAAAGCTAAAATCAGGCACGTTGATGCTATTCTTTTTCCATTATGTGATCAATGTCCGACCCCAGATAATTGCACTAAAATATTACAGCTTTTAGTTTAAAATTAAGACCATTGTTAAAAAATGGTTAATTAAATTTGAGATGCCATGGTGTCTAAATTGTCTGAAAATGTAATAACGTAAAATATAAAAAGATATATGCTGAATACAAGATAGTGTCCCAATTTTTTAAAAAGTCATGAGCCAAAAACTCTATTTCATGCTGATTGCTGCTCGTACGCTCTTACTGCTCAATGAGAAGGGATTGTAGTCCCATTGTAAAATTGAACATGTGACTCAAATGTTTCTTTTTCTAATGATTATCTTTGAATTATATACTGATAATGATATACCCCCCCCCCCCCATTTGTAATATAAAAAACATGTATATAATCTAACCTCTGTACGAAGATTTTCATTCTAAGAGTGCATAGTATTGACCCCATAATGAACAAGCTTAAATGTATATGTTTTTTTCTCAGTTGCATCGTGCATCATATAATATAGACTCTTCTCAAAAAGACCGAATGAATCTCCTATAACACGTGAAAAGTAAATAGCTTCAAGGACAGTATTCTGAGAATGCCTACACTCAGGTCTTTTTTTTTTTCTATGTATTTTTTTAAATCACGTGGTTGGTTTTTTTTTAATTACTATGCGACCTTAGTCTACTAAATTATTTTACCTCAATTGATATCCATATCATGCTTCACTATTGATATATGCTGTTACTGGAATGCTGATAGACAGTTAACAAGTTCCGAATTGCTTGTTTATTTAAGCTTGGGGTAATTGCAGATGTTTCTATTATATGTAATACGGCTCAAACAGATAGATGATTAAATATACAATTAAACCATCCTAACATAAGCCAGCTCTTATTTATCATCCTATAAATAAGACTCAGTCACACACTTTTTTCTTCCTTCTTTCTTTTCTCTTAACATACTTATTCTTTTGTATGAAAGCAATCAAGGTTAGTTACTTAAATATTGACTTTCTTGCTTTTCAAGAAACGCTAAATTATTACATCTTCTTTTCTTTTCTTTTAAAATGCAAAAGATACATCGCGATTCTTGCGATATCTCTGCTACGGCTAATCTTTGCTATAGGATGGCAACCTCCCAGGTTGATAGACTGTAAATAACAGGGATTGCACTGTAAATATGCTTGATCAGACTGGCTGGCTAAGTGAGTGGTATAAAAAAATACGTTTGGAAAAAATTACGGAGGCCTAAACATTTTTCTTGATAAATTTGTTATCTACGTTGTTTATTTTTCTTGATAAGCCAGCACTGGTCTTTTGTCTTGACTCCACTGTTCGAGAATTATTAACCTTTTGCGAAAAGAACATTTGAAAATCAAGCTACCAATAGGCAAACAGATGCACTAGAAGACCTGATGTGCGTCTGTCATGAAACAAAGAAAAAGGCTTGCAGAGGCGATAGTAGCTCTTGGTGAAAACGAAATACCTGAGGCCGTAAAGAATTCGGTGAAAAGCCATATTGAAGGTGCTATATTGTTTAATGATGCATATCACGCAAAATACAAAGAATCAGCGGCTCTCTATTCATTCTACCATCACACCCCTCCACGTCGGATGTTGGAACAGGTTATCATCACCGGGAGACGTTCCAGCATCACTAAGCAACCCGCCCATCGAAGTAAAAGCACAAAGTGTTCGTTCTTGTAGTCAAAACTGGGGATATAGCAACAACCATTTGTCTACGCTCGGGGAAAAGGAAGTCATACCATGGGAAGCTATTTTTGTATCAGTTTTTAGAAAAGAATTAATTTTTTTTTTAGATACGTTGGTTAACCTACATTTGATTACAAGTCTGAACCATTAAAATCAGAAACTAAAGAGAAAAAAGAATAATGAATTTGAGAGTATTGTTAAGAGAAAATGTCATTACCAGTTCTTTTGCCTTGAATTGAAAGTGGCTACTTTCTATTTTACAACCGAGCGATGCTCCCTCTAATACAAAAAAAAAAAAAAAAAAAAAGTGGCGCATGATCGAGTACAAAAACTCGGTTTGAGCTTTGTTTAAACTGGCGCAAGATCGGTGCAAGCGCGAAAACTTCGAACACTACATGGGTAACATCGATCTCTTAAGCAATAATGGAAGAGAAGCTTCCCCAATAGTAAATGAAAACAATGGTTCTGTGCCCAACCTTCATCGATGGGTGACAGTTGGAAGTTATGGTTATGCATATAATGGTATGGAACGACTATTTCAAGAAGGTTCAGGAATAATAATAAAAAAAAGAGGTCATGAAATACTTTTTGAAAGGCGGCTGATATGGATGCATATAACAGTATTGGTGTTGTATATTGACGGTTCAAGTAGTGAAATACTGAATTAAAAAAAAAGGTTCAAGAGGTTTATTACATTATTGAACCGACTCCATTTGGTGTTATACTGTCATTAGGAAAAGTCGAGACATAGAACGATGACCAAGCTATTTAAAGTGGCAAGGAGCCTTTGATCAAACTTGAATAAAAAAAAACTGTTTGCTTTAGAAATCGATGCATATTGAATACTCGGAAAGGGGACCCAATTATAAAAAAAAGGGAACGGGTGGGAAAGCACCAAGACTCAAGAAGAAAGTTTTGTGCATCGTTACCCCCATTTTACAATATACCTTTTTTTTTCTCTCTTTTCTCAAAAGCTCCAGTGGCTTGACTGCTGATGGATTTCGCGTCAGTTATTGGGTCGATCCCAAATATGTGCTTTCTTGGCAACTAGGATAGGTCTGTATACATGTCTTATTTATCTGTACAGACGGTTCGAAAAGTACAAATAAGGTTACAGACGAGTGGTACGACAAAGATTTGTGTGAGTTTTAAACAAATGTCACCCAAAAAAAAAAAAGGTTCGGGTTATTCAAGTTGTACAGGTTTTCATTTATTTTCAAAAAAAAAAAAAAAAAAAGTGCAATGCAGCAATAAGGCCGAAATGCCGTAAGAGGTTTAAAAAGGCACAAAACATTTTTTGCTCTGCTTGGCATGTGAAGGGGCTGACTTCTAAACCGACTAGGAGCTGACAGCAGTATGATGATTATTTAGTACTTAGATCAGACTACAATCAATAGACCATCTTTCTTTACTTGTGTCATGTCATTTTTAGAACATTTCAAAAATTACCTTTTTGAATGAATTCTCCATTTTTCTGATGCTGATTTGTAACTGAACAAGAGAAAGAAAAAAAAAAGAACTAATGATTTAATAATTTCGTATACTATGATGATGCATCCCTAGCACTTTAATAAAAAAAAATCAATGACGACAAAGGTGCAATAAGACACAATAAAAATAGGATTGTCCCCCTTTAATGCAAAAGAGAGAAAATAAAATCGAGCCTTTTCTCTAAATGGGTTACACTGATTGGAACAAGTTTTTCCGATTTTCTAATAGGAAATAAATGATATCATGACTAAACAGCCTTTTTTAGTCACACGAAAACCGTCGTCATATTTTTGTAACTTTTTTTTTTGTTTTATATAAAAAGGGCAAGTAGGGTTTACGGATAACAATTTCTTCTTCTTTATTAAACTTTTTTTAAAAAAAAACTAATAAAAATGGCCCTTACTACTTCTGACATCTGTAAAATCATCGCTGGTAAGTAAAAACAAAAAAGATATCGTCTAGATACATATATACTCATGTGTATACGTTAGCCGTCATCTTGCCTCCTCTTGGTGTCTTCCTCGAAAGAGGTTGTACTTGTGATCTTGCTATCAACATCGCCTTGACTTGTCTTGGTTTCATTCCCGGAATTGGTAAGTTTTATATATACGATAAAAGGGAGAAGGGTAGAAAACTAAATGGTTGTCTTTTTTTTGTCTACTATAGTCCACGCTCTTTATATCATTCTCAAGTATTAAAGCGCGTTTTTCCCACAATCTCCATCCATTTAAATACTTCATAATAATATATATTGCAATGTATATATAATACCTTTTTAAATAAATTAATATTTTTTCCAACGAAAAAAAAAAAAAAAAAAGTTCGATCTTGGCACATAAAATAACGAATCATTTTATCTGCACCAGCTTAAAAAAAACTATTCTGAAACGCTTAACAAGGGTTCGAAGAAAATAGGTTTTCTTCGGGACTGATCTTCGTTACACTTGACGCATCAAATTTAGACATAGAAAAATAATGCAGCCAATCAAAAGCGATATTATTAGTTAAAAAAATCTCAAATAGGAGCATTCTAAAAATACAAGGAGGACATGTAGTCACCGTCACTAGCAACCATACAGAAAGTACCAGGTCTTTGTGTCGATGGTCCGGTTACTAGGTAACCAAATCTGGTGAGATAGGCAGGCTCTACAATGATAGTAACATTAAAGATAGTTCCGCTTTATTCTGTCATCATTTATCTGCTAACGTCTTTATAGTGATTGTACATGTTTTTCGAGTGCGTGACGACAATGCTATAGTTACATCATATTCCGCATCACGGAGTACAATACATTCTCACTTAAGCTGCAGTGGCACTTGTTCAACAAGACGAACTAAACTTTTTGAAAACTAAGAGAAACTGAAAATCTTGCCAAGACTTCAATACCGTATTACCATGGAATCATCCCACAAAAAATATATCTAAATTAAGCTTTTTTTTTTTAAAAAAAAAAAATCCCAGCCACAAAGCCACACTAAGCCAAGTCATGTAAAATTGCAGTAAAAATACAAGACAAAGTGGGTAGCATGGACGTATAATTGCAAAAATTACTTTTGAATTATTTAGAAAACTTTACGCCACAAGCACCGAAAAAAAAAGTGATGTTTATAGAATTATTTATTGATTTATAAGAGAGTAGATAGAAATGAGTGGGAGAAAATTTACTTCTTTCCAGACTTCTTAATACCACCACTGACTATGGAATGAGAAAAAGGAATTAGAATGGCACACTTTTTTATTTTTTATTCTACAATTAATTAGACTTACGCAAAGGACCCTTTCCGGCAGCTTTAGTTTGCATCTCCTTCAACTTCTTGGCTTCTTCCATCTTCTTCTTCTTGAAGGCAAGATCCTCCTATTTTTTTAAAAAACAAATGTTGATTGAGTTATTTTTGATTCTATAATGGATAAAAAATATATAATGCGTACCTCGTCTTCGTCACCTTGAGGAGCCTTCTTGGGCTTCTTGAGAGGCTTAAGCTTACCACCTTTTTTTTTTAATTACATGAGTACTTTTTTGCTTTCTAATGTATTGTTTCTTCATTTGAAAATACCTTGTCTACCGGACATATTTAATAAATGTGTAAAGTATGAATGAGGCTTTTTTTTTCTCTCTCTGCTCCCCTCTCTATCAAAAAAATTTTTGCCTGACTGACAAGTCTTGGGGGGCAGTCCGATCACTAACTTTCAATTCCGATCACTTAGTATGAACCTGATTGGCCAATTTGAAAGACAAGGATTGAATAGTGTATTGATCGTAAATATACACTTATGCTGTAATAAATATAAGCATGGCAAATAATAACTGTTAGCTACAGTGTCATCATATGAAAATCACTGGGTTGTCAATTCTAGCTGTCATGCTATTGACATTAAATGTATAATTCTATACACATACGTTACTGATGCAGCATCCCGTCTACCATCTTATAAACTTATGATCCCTATGCATCATTTTCCGTCGTCTTGCTTTATACTTTCAATTTAGGTAAATATAATAATCATTTATCTATACGTTAAACAAAATGCTACACAATCATTCTATTGTTTTAAAGTCCAAATCACGATTTGTAGTTTTGAACGAGCTGAGAAAAAGATTGAGGGATATCATGTATCCCTCACCAAATTTATATCAATCCAATAACTTTTGAAACAATTATTATATTACAAATCTTTAATTAAAAGAAGTTCACGTTTATGTTTCCTTTGTATACCTTTCAAAAAATGTAGAGCTTCCGCCCGTTACTCAAGCATTGCCCAACTCGACATCGTGAATAAGACAATAATTTCAATCACATGTAAGATAATCCTTTATTTACTATATAAATGACTTTGGTATTTGTTTGATTTGGTATCTTTATTTATAATTGATATGTGTTATATAGTTTAGACATTAAGAATAACTAGACACCATCGAATATTATGAATGATTCGTGGTATGTAGTAGAGATATTAACACAATGCGTACATAGACATCATCAAAACACCAAGTAACTTCAACACAGGCTTGAACTTTTCCCAACACGTAGCGTTTGCACTCACGTCGACACTCGTGCTGTATTCACTTCGACACTGGTTGAGACCCTGACTTAAAATCGGGTACGATGCACTTCCTTCAACACTGGAGTCTGGGCACTGACATGGACACTCGCTTCGACACAGGTTTAGGCACTGGCATGGTTGCACTCGCTCTGAACACTGCTTTGGGCACTGGCGTCTACCACTTGAAGGGTTTCTGCACTGGCGTCGATACTTGTGCTGTACTGGCTCTAACACGGATGAAGGCCCCATGGAGGGCGCAGTCGCTTTCAACACTCGTTTGGGTACTTACAGACACTCGCTTCGACACAGATTTAGAGCACTGGCATGGCAACTCGGTTCCGCATTGGCTTGCAACTTTGCTTTCAACACTGCTTTGGGCACTGGCGTCTACCACTGGAGGGGTATCTGCACTGGCGTCAATACTCGTGCTGTATTCGCTTCGACACTGGTTGAGACCCTGACTTAAAGTAGGGCGCGATGCACTTCCTTCAAAACTGGAGTGTGGGCACTGACATGGACACTCGCTTCGACACAGGTTTAGGCACTGGCATGGTTGCACTCGCTCTTAACACTGCTTTGGGCACTGGCGTCTACCACTTGAAGGGTTTCTGCACTGGCGTCGATACTTATGCTGTACTGGCTCTAACACGGATGAAGGCCCCATGGAGGGCGCAGTCGCTTTCAACACTCGTTTGGGTACTTACAGACACTCGCTTCGACACAGTTTTAGGCTTTTGGCATGGCACTCGCTAACACTGGCTCGCAACTGGCTTTCGATACTGCTTTCGGTACTGGCATTCGCAAACGGAAGGGTAATTAATGAAGCAAAGAAAAGAGAAGGATAAAAAAAAAAAAGACTACGCCCTCTTTTTCAACAAAAAAATATGTGACTGCTGTACTGCGCAACTGGTCGGAGGCCAAAATAATATAGGACGTATCTAGGTACTGTCTGGGTAAAGCCAATTGTTCTATAGTGGAACGCAAAGGGGTATCGAAAGAAGGTGTACATGGATACGGTGGGAGTGACGAAATATGATAAAATAGTGATTGGCTTAAGATCATGTCATTCTAATAGCCATGTTTAAGAAGCCACTACCTATTCTTTACCTGATTTAATCACCAAGATGTGTCATTATAAAAAAGCGGCGTCCTCCCTTTTGCGATGATCTTCTCTCCATAAGTTAATCAAATGATTAACCGAGAATCATTTCTTTAATTCTGTTTTTATCCATTATTTACATATCTTAAAACATCACAACGTTGGTTAGTCTACATTTGATTGTAAGTCTGAACCAATAAAATCAGAAAATAATGATGTTAAGAGTATTGTTAGGAGTATTCTTGAGAGAAAATGTCATTACCCGTCTTTTTGCAGCCTTAAAGTGACTACTTCACATTTTATAACCGAGCGAGCTTCGATCAATGCTCGATCTAAAGCTCGCTCGAATCCAAAAAAAAAAAAAAGTGGCGCGCAAGATCGAAAAGCGAACACTAAACACTGTATAATTATAACAAAATGAACCATAATGACAGGATTTACCCTTTATGTCAAAAATATTTATTTGCTAAACGTCAAACTGTAACTTCAAGCATAGAAAGGCAGGATTTTTGAAAAAAAAAAAAAAAAAAAAAAAAAAAGAAAACTACATTATTCAGAAGCTTTTCAAGAATGTTCTACTCTTAATTCCACACGAAGGTTGCTTAAGTTAGTTTCATCAATGTCAAATGAGAAAAAAGGGTCCCTTTTTTTTTAAGGTTTCATAAAGTGGATCGCACAAACACGAACATGGTTTGGAATATTTTTTTTGCTCCTTTCCTGTGTTAAGATATGGCGTTCAAGTATAGTGATTATGATTTAATCGTTAGCATAGGTAATAAATAAACAATATTCAACAGCAGTACGATTTATCTATGAATGCGACGTGCATAGAATTCGGCACCACAACTTCAGGGTCGTGTTACGCTGTTACTGGCAGAATGTCTCCAAAAGAGTTGAGGGAAACAAGCTACCCAAGCATTATTCATGTTACTGATTGGTAAGTTGATAAAACAAAGTCCTTTAACCTTCATATAAATATTTAAACCTTTAGGCCGAAGCAAAACCATTTACAACATAAGACACCATCTATCATTGTGTGTGATCGGAACTTCCATCTTTTACATTGGGGAATGAGTGCCTTAAACTTTATAAATCTGGTCAAGTAAAAGATAGTCATCGAGTCCTTGAAAAGTTTAAATTGCAACTCCCTTCGTCCATTGCACAAAAAGGAGCTTTCCGTCGTTCTGGAAATACTAGCGAACTCGAACTCTTATGCCTGAGAGCTACAATTGATTATTTTAGGGAACTTTTTGATCACACCGTCGACGCCATCCAAAATGCAAATATAGCTCACGGGGCAAACGGCGGCATAAAAATAGAAAAAGAAAATATTCGTTTTCTTATCACCGTCCCATCACAATGGAATGACGTTCAAAAATCGCTTATGCGTTTGATCGCTATTGAAGCGGGGCTGATTTCCAAATACGACAATGAAACCCGTTTGAAAATCATTAGCGAGTCTTCAGCTGCACTCCTCTATTGTAAACGAATACAAGATATCAAAAAAAGAAGAACTGAGGATACCGAATATGTGATTATGTCAGAGGGTGAGAAGTATATGATTTGTGATGCTGGTGGAGAAACGGTTAGCATTGCTGTCTTTGAAGTGCTCAAGCAGAGAGACCAAGATGGGAAGGAAAGTTTGCGTACCAATTCTGCACTGAGCTCCAAGAGCATTTACAATCCCTGATGACTGAATTAGAAACTCTAAAATCCTTTCGAAGCTTACAACAAATATGGGATTGGATCAAAGGGGAAGTTAAACTTTTTGTCAAGTCATTTCAACAAGAAGATCTCAATTGGAGAAAACAGCAACTCAAAAGATTACAATCCAAACGTAATCGGATATTAAGACAACAAAAAAATAGAAATTTAACATTTCCAGAACTAATCAATGTAGAAATCCAAATCGGCTCTCTCCAACAATCCATAGCAGAAATTGAAATTTTAAAAGCAGGCAAATTTTGGCGCGAGCATGGAGAAAAGTCAGCGGGATTTCTAAAGAGAATCACTAAATCCCGTGAGAGTCAAAGGGAAATTACAAGTCTGTTAGATCCATCGACCAACACTCACTGCACGCAATTATCACAAATAAAAGCAATAGCCAAGGATTTTTATTCAAGCCTGTACCTACCGGATGATATTGATGCATCGGCATTGGAAGAGCTCCTACAGAATATTGATCCGAATATTCAGCTGGGAGTCGAACAACAAGAAGCATTAATGGCTCCGATCCTGTTAGAAGAAATTGTTTTCGAAAGTAGGCGATCTCCTAAATCGAGTAGTCCAGGCTCGGATGGTCTTCCATACGAAATCCTCCACTCGATCGTAACTTATCAACCATTGCAATCATTAATCCATGAAATCTACCAAGACGCATTGATGCACAACAAATTCCCAGACTCTTGGAATATCTCCATCATGTCACTGCTTCCAAAAAAAGGGGACCTCACTGACATCCGGAACTACCGTCCCATCTCTTTGGCCAACACCGATTACAAGATATTCACGAGGATCTTGAACCATCGCATAATGAGTATCTCTAGTACTCTGATTAATCCCAGTCAGCTTGGATTTATTCCTGGAAGATATATAGCTGATAATGGAATGACCTGCCAAATAATAATGGAGGATGCTCAAAGACAGTGGGAACTAGCAAAGCACAAGAAGACCCCCATGGACGACCTGGGCAAAGACATTGGGCTACTGCTAGACCAAGAAAAAGCATACGATAGAATCAATCTTCGATACTTAATGGCGGTTTTAACGCGGTACGGGTTTCCTGAGATGTTTGTTAATTGCATAAACAACCTCATGGCCAACAACAAAATCAGTATCAACATCAACGGCTACTTTACTGAACCGGTGGAGAAGTTGCGTGGATTGAAACAAGGCGACCCAGTCTCACCAATACTGTATAACCTGGCCTTCGAACCATTCATCAGAGCCATCATCAACGACTCTTATCTGAAAGGATACAAGATGACAATGGAATCGCAGCCCAACTCGAATGAGCTCTCTGAACTTACAACAACCAAAGCTCTCTGCTATGCTGATGATGCTCTCATTTTCGTTCAAGATCGACAAGACCTCGTTCGATTAAGCCACCATATGGATACATTCTGTAAAGCGTCAAATGCTAAATTTAATTATAACAAAGTGGAAGCGTTCTCTGTATCTGGGCGAGACACATGGAGTTACTGGCAAACTTCCCTGGAAGCCATGAATATTAGCAAACTCAAGACGGCCTTAGACCCAACACCAACAATATACCTGGGCTTCCCGCTAATTCAATCTATCCCACAACGGAACCACTTTGTAGCAACTCTGGTCGGACAACTCAAGGCCTCAACTGCCAACCATTCGGCTCGATCACTATCAGTGCAGGGTAAAGCTACGGTAATCAACTCATTAATTCTAGCGAAATGCTGGTATATCTTTTGGGTGACGCCACTCCCTCTACAAGCACTACAACAAATTAGATCAGTGGCTATCCAGTTTTTAAGGACAGGTATCTTCCCTACGATAGGTTGGTCAACATGGATTCGTAAGAAATCACAAGGAGGGCTTAGTGTACTAGACCCAGCTCACCAACAATCCAGTCTCTACTTCAAATGGATTCAACCTTTAATTTCATCTAATCCAGCTAACCCAGAATCCAGGCTAAACCAATTACTACAGATACACATCAATAATCGTAGCCAGTCTGTCTACCATCAAATTCCACTATTGTTCCCAGTAACAAGAAAATTCGGAGGTCTCCCTAGGCAACGAACGGACGTGATCGACTGCATATACAAATCAATAGATCTTATTCCGCGAAAGTCTCTTATGATAGACCTCAGCCCTGCTACTTGCCTGGAACTTCCACTGCGAGCAACTCTTATTGAAATCCCAAATCATCGTAACATCAAGCTACCCAAACGTGCAGAAAATATGATCCTGAAAGATATTTTTATGTTTAACCCCCAAATAAACATTCTTCACTGGAAGAGCGGTAACACAATCCCACAACACTGGAAAAGGACACCAAGAAATATCGAATCTGGCCTAAACAATGGCTACTTCAGACTACAACCATTTCTACTTCCTTTGTGTACCCCCTCAGACAGCCCTCGAGAATTCGGTACAGTAGATTTATCACCAATCAGCAACGATTTAAATCTGCTAGGGAAATCTGTCAACCAAGAATATATCACCACCAAAACATTTCGTCAAGCATGCCAATCTACTTCGCTAGCCTCATCGCGACTCTCAAGAATATCAACAATCAACTGGCTACTATTTTGGGCTATGACTCTTACTATGGTACAAAGAAACGTAGTATACAGATTTCTCACCAATGCTATCCCCAACCGCAATATCTTACACCAGATTTTTCCAGAAAAATTCGACTCCTCAACATGTATCATCTGCAATGATGCTACAGAATCGACGTATCACATGCTGTTCTTCTGTCCGGCAAAACACTCAGTGTGGCAAGCAATCATCCTAGAATTCCTGTGGCCTACCTATACCGTTCAGAACATTTTAACAGCACTACAACAACTGGATTTTAACTTAGTCTCATATAGCCGCAAAAACGGAATCAAGTCCTCCATGGTAATTCTCATCACCCTGTCCCAAATTTGAAAATCCCACTTTCGGTCAATCTTTGATGACTCACCTTTCATAACAGCACAAGTAGTTGACCTTATTCGGTTCTCAATACAAAAACACATCAACGAAGACTCGCTCTCCCTGTATTTGTAACAAATAACTAGCCCGACACAATTTCTCTTCCTTTAGCTTCAAATCCAAAATCCAAACCTTACCTACCCCTTTTATTATCCCTAAAAACATTTTAACTTGCGACCGCCTCTTAAATAAGACATTCTTATTTTACACGGAGCAAAAAATAAACAATTTAAAAAAAAAAAAAAAGTTTGCGTCGATGTCAAATTACCTTAGGAATTCAAAAGAAATGTGGATCCGCGTATCTGGATCTAAAAATGAAGGAGGTCCTGTTGGATATTTGCTTTGGGACAGACAAGAAATCTTGGGAGAATAACGAGTCAAAAATAAAAGAACTTGAGTCATTAATAACACCTCTATCAGACCAATTTCTCATAAATAAGGTGATTACAAAAAAAGAAAGAAAAAAAATCCGCTTTTGACAATCCCAAATTGTAGACACATTTTGGAACAGCGAGAAGAGACTTTATTCCTGATTGCTGTCGTAAAATACTAGAAAGATATGGCGGCAACAATAACGATGATGATAGCGACAGCAACTACGAAAGTGATAGCGAGATTCCTATTTTTGATTGCTGTAATTTTACTGTAGAACTTGACGAAAAGTTCGTAGAGCTTGATGATTTTGGTGATGGTAAAGTTTCCAATCCAGCTTTTTTGTTGTTCTTCCTATAATGATTGTGTTTGTAGATACGGTTTTTTTAATTACGCAGGGCGAAATCTTGGACAAGTTAAAATTGATGCGAGGTCCGGACGGTAATATAGTTACAGACGAAGGTGTAACAGTCGAACGTGATAAGTATCATTTTGAAATTCGACTTTCTTACAAATTCATGCGAGAAAAGGTTTTTGATGAAGTTGTCGATAATACAATTGACTTTTTGAAGAGACAAATAAAGAAAGCTAATGGAAACATTAAATACACCCATCTGGTGGGAGGCTTTGGCGGATCACCATACTTGCGCAAACGTATTTTTAACGAGTTTTCTTTCGGGCACCCATTACACATTGGGAGTTTAATCCAGAATGATCGAGGTAATACAGCAGCAATGCGGGGTGCCTTACTGTATGGTATTGATAGCAGTAGACATGAGACCCAAACTGATGTTATACTTTACAAATACGAAAATGCTGCCACATCGAAATACAATGCTCTTGTTTGTTTAGGTAATAAATAATATCGGCATGATTTTATAAGTGACTTATACTGTCATTCTATTTGTAGATATCGGATACGACGGGATCGCGTGTTCCCATAGAGATTTGAGAAGTAGAGACGATAACATGACAGATATTGTAGATTGGTAATTAATTGGAGTATAACTTATGGGGCATATTTAACGTGTGCAAATAGGCCTGGTTTAGATCGGCATAATCCTACTATCCCTACAGCAAAAGAAACATTGGATGGGAAAACTTTATGGGGAGCCCAAGTTAAAGAGACTAGTAACCGTGAGCCAGGGTCGTTTGTTACGTTGAGTAAGCTTATGTCTGTTATGAAAGGGAACTTCAAAGCATATCTAGTTGACTTACTCAAACGCGTGCTGGAACATGTACACAACTCAATTATGAAGACTAATCCAGAACATTCAAATAAAGACAATTACAGATATGTTATTACTATGGAAAACTGTTATCAATTCTTTCGCAACAAATCCGAAATACGTGAAATTGCTCAACTTGCCGGCATCATTACAAAAGATGATTCCCCCAAACGACTATTACTTATTCGCCGAGAGGATGCAGCAGCTATATATTTTGAAAAGAACAAATTCCCTGGAAAAAAGGCGCAAAGTAACTGTTTTCTTCAAATAAGTCTTTATCACGATACCTGTCATATGTCATTACACGTATCAACCCAGATTGCCGGTAAATACACACCAGACGACACCCACGCTGATGTGTCTGGGGAATCAACTTTTGACAAACATAGAAATGTCCGAAGCATGAGGTCTGCTACATTCGGGTTTGACTTTGTTGCTAGACTTGTTACAAATCTGAGCTCGTTTATATCTAATACTATATGTTGTAAAGATCAGAAAACACATGATACAACTGACTCGGCTTATATTTTGGAGCTTAGACGAAACTTTCTCGGATATCTAAAAGTCTGTAATTACATGAGCGCCAATATTATATCGGTTATTGACGTTACTATAGAACAAACTAGATCATAATAGTATTGAAGCACAAATTATCGAAGTGACTAAATCGCCAGGTTGTCAAGTATCTATTACAAAATACGAATTTTTGGAATATGTTTTTTGGCCTGCTATACGAGATTTGACTTCAGCAATCAAGTGTAACGGAATGCAACGTAATATGTTTCGTCTTTATGACATCGATAATATCTTTTTATCCGGCTTTTCAGTAGAGGCAAAGAAAGAAACAAGTGATTTTCTTGAAAGGATTGTTATAAAAACATTGTCAGAGGCTCTAAGTATCCCAAGAAGCCGTATATGTTTGTCTGATGCCAGCTGTAAAGAAGCCTTATTAGGTGCAGCGTACTATGGTAACTACCCCGAGACCTTTACAGAGCGGGTTTCTAGAAGGTCTTATGCTATTCAGGTTTGTGGTTACAAACGTCAAAAGTTTGAAATTGGCATAGAGAAGAACATATCGGAAATGAAGCTAAGGGGAGGGAAAAACGTGAAGAGTAATATATATATAAAAAAAAGCAGCAAATGCATACAGTGATGTGGATAAACCAGTAAAGCTTTACTATCAGTCATCCTATAATTCATCTTTAAAAGATAGTAATTCTTTAAGAAACCCTGAAGATGTAACACGTCTTATCAGTAGAGGTGATAAGATTACGGAACACAATCAAATTCATGGAATTTTAAAGAGATTTTATGCCGAGGAAGAATGCATCGTTTATGCCTGTAAGTCTATATCACACATAATACCATATTGAATCCTCATATTAACTTTTGTACATTAAAGCAATTTACTCTTCTGATGATCCTACCTCAATTGAAAACGGAAGCAAACATGATTGTTCAGGCTTTTACAAGATCCACCAATTCGAGCTTTATATTAAACGCGATATAGATGACCCAACCACTGCAGCTCCTGGATCTCGACTTCATTTTGATGTAGTTCTAAAGTTTGATAAAGATGAGTCCATATTCGAAGCTTTCGCTTGTTCAAAACTTGGACAGAAGATCCCCGAATTTCGATTTGAAGATGAGTTCTTGGTAGCAAATATCTACGGCGATGAGGATCGGATAATGATTGAATAATCACAATTGACAAGGACGGAATAGCACAACACTTCCGACCTATAAATAAATATCTGTATACGCCACTTTTTTTGTGTGTGCTTCCTGCATAAAACCTTTTGGTCAATTAAATATGACTAACGAGTATAAGATCTGCCTTTGACTAGATAGCAGATAGGTACACAATTATCTACCAATAGATAGTTGAAGGCAAATCCTTGTTCGTCATTTTAACAGGACGTGTTAGGTTTCGATACAACATTCTCATATACGCAAAAAAAGATCCAGACATATGTAACAGATGATACCGTCCTTGTGGGTCACGGTTTAGTAAATAATACGAAATGCACAAGATGCCCTACCCGATATCATTTATACAGCTGTAATTTACCATCATAAAAACGGACCACCTTATAAGACTTCATTGCGTGACTTGACCACACTTTACGTGAAACAAAATGCTACACAATCAATCTATTTCCTTAAAGTCCAAATCACGATTTGTAGTTTCAAACGAGGCGCGAAAAAGATTGAGGGATATCATGTATCCCTCACCAAATTTATATCAATCCAATAACTTTTGAAACAATTATTATATTACAAATCTTTAATTAAAAGAAGTTTACGTTTATGTTTCCTTTGTATACCTTTCAAAGAATGTAGAGCTTCTGCCCGTTAGTCAAGTATTGCTTAACTCGACATCGTGAATAAGACAATAACTTCAATCACATGTAAGATAATCCTTTATTTACTATATAAAGGACTTTGATATTTGTTTGATTTGGTATATTTATTTATAAATGATATGTGTTATATTGTTTAGACATTAAGAATAACTAGACACCAACGAATATTATGAATGATTCGTGGTATGTAGTAGAGATATTAACATAATGCGTACATAGACATCATCAAAACACCAAGTAACTTCAACACAGGCTTGAACTTTTCCCAACACGTAGCGTTTGCACTCACGTCGACACTCGTGCTGTATTCACTTCGACACTGGTTGAGACCCTGTCTAAAAATCGGGTGCGATGCACTTCCTTCAACACTAGAGTCTGGGCACTGACATGGACACTCGCTTCGACACAGGTTTAGGCACTGGCATGGTCGCACTCGCTCTGAACACTGCTTTGGGCACTGGCGTCTACCACTTGAAGGGTTTCTGCACTGGCGTCGATACTTGTGCTGTACTCGCACTAACACGGATGAAGGCCCCATGGAGGGCGCGGTCATTTTCAACACTCTCTTTAGATACTTACAGACACTCGCTTCGACACAGATTTAGAGCACTGGCATGGCAACTCGGTTTCGCATTGGCTTGCAACTTTGCTTTCAACACTGCTTTGGGCACTGGCGTCTACCACTGGAGGGGTATCTGCACTGGCGTCGATACTCGTGCTGTATTCGCTTCGACACTGGTTGAGACCCTGACTTAAAGTAGGGCGCGATGCACTTCCTTCAAAACTGGAGTGTGGGCACTGACATGGACACTCGCTTCGACACAGGTTTAGGCACTGGCATGGTTGCACTCGCTCTTAACACTGCTTTGGGCACTGGCGTCTACCACTTGAAGGGTTTCTGCACTGGCGTCGATACTTATGCTGTACTGGCTCTAACACGGATGAAGGCCCCATGGAGGGCGCAGTCGCTTTCAACACTCGTTTGGGTACTTACAGACACTCGCTTCGACACAGTTTTAGGCTTTTGGCATGGCACTCGCTAACACTGGCTCGCAACTGGCTTTCGATACTGCTTTCGGTACTGGCATTCGCAAACGGAAGGGTAATTAATGAAGCAAAGAAAAGAGAAGGATAAAAAAAAAAAAGACTACGCCCTCTTTTTCAACAAAAAAATATGTGACTGCTGTACTGCGCAACTGGTCGGAGGCCAAAATAATATAGGACGTATCTAGGTACTGTCTGGGTAAAGCCAATTGTTCTATAGTGGAACGCAAAGGGGTATCGAAAGAAGGTGTACATGGATACGGTGGGAGTGACGAAATATGATAAAATAGTGATTGGCTTAAGATCATGTCATTCTAATAGCCATGTTTAAGAAGCCACTACCTATTCTTTACCTGATTTAATCACCAAGATGTGTCATTATAAAAAAGCGGCGTCCTCCCTTTTGCGATGATCTTCTCTCCATAAGTTAATCAAATGATTAACCGAGAATCATTTCTTTAATTCTGTTTTTATCCATTATTTACATATCTTAAAACATCACAACGTTGGTTAGTCTACATTTGATTGTAAGTCTGAACCAATAAAATCAGAAAATAATGATGTTAAGAGTATTGTTAGGAGTATTCTTGAGAGAAAATGTCATTACCCGTCTTTTTGCAGCCTTAAAGTGACTACTTCACATTTTATAACCGAGCGAGCTTCGATCAATGCTCGATCTAAAGCTCGCTCGAATCCAAAAAAAAAAAAAAGTGGCGCGCAAGATCGAAAAGCGAACACTAAACACTGTATAATTATAACAAAATGAACCATAATGACAGGATTTACCCTTTATGTCAAAAATATTTATTTGCTAAACGTCAAACTGTAACTTCAAGCATAGAAAGGCAGGATTTTTGAAAAAAAAAAAAAAAAAAAAAAAAAAAAAAAAAAGAAAACTACATTATTCAGAAGCTTTTCAAGAATGTTCTACTCTTAATTCCACACGAAGGTTGCTTAAGTTAGTTTCATCAATGTCAAATGAGAAAAAAGGGTCCCTTTTTTTTTAAGGTTTCATAAAGTGGATCGCACAAACACGAACATGGTTTGGAATATTTTTTTTGCGCCCTTTCCTGTGTTAAGATATGGCGTTCAAGTATAGTGATTATGGCTACATCGTTAGCATAGGTAATAAATAAACAATATTCAACAGCAGTACGATTTATCTATGAATGCGACATGCATAGATTTCGGCACCACAACTTCAGGGTCGTGTTACGCTGTTACTGGCAGAATGTCTCCAAAAGAGTCGAGGGAAAGAATCTACCCAAGCATTATTCATGTTAATGATTGGTAAGTTGATAAAACAAAGTCCTTTAACCTTCATATAAATATTTAAACCTTTAGGCCAAAGCAAAACTATTTACAATCTAAAACACCATCTATCATTGTGTGTGATCGGAACTTCCATCTTTTACATTGGGGAATGAGTGCCTTTAACTTTATACAATCTGGTCAAGTAAAGGATGGCCATCGAGTCTTTGAAAAGTTTAAATCACAACTCCCTTCGTCCATTGCACAAAAAGGAGCTTTCCGTCGTACTGGAAATACTAGCCAGCTCGAACTCTTATGTCTAAGAGCTACAATTGATTATTTTAGGGAGCTTTTTGATCATACAGCTAGAGCTATGGAAAATGCAAATATGGTAAAGGGTTTAAAAGTTGACAAAGAAGATATTCGTTTTCTTATCACTGTCCCAACACAGTGGAATGACGTTCAAAAATCGCTTATGCGTTTGATCGCTATTGAAGCGGGGCTGATTTCCAAATACGATAATGTAAACCGTTTGAAAATCATCAGCGAGTCTTCAGCTGCACTCAACAATTGTCATCGAAAACTATTACCCAAAATTTTAAGTACTGAGGATACCGAAGGTGTGATTACGTTTGAGGGCGGGAAGTATATGATTTGTGATGCTGGTGGAGGAACGGTTAGCATTGCTATCTTTGAAGTGTTCAAGCAGAGAGGCCAAGATGGTGAGGACAGTCTTCGTAGATGTCAAATTACCTCAGGAATTCAAAAGAAATGTGGATCCGCGTATCTGGATCTAAAAATGAAGGAGGTCCTGTTGGATATCTGCTTTGGGGCAGACAAAAAATCTTGGGAGGATAACGAGTCAAAAATAAAAGAACTTGAGTCATTAATAACACCTCTAACAGACCAATTTCTCATGAATAAGGTGATTACAAAAAAAGAAAGAAAAAAATCCGCTTTTGACAATCCCAAATTGTAGACATATTTTGGATCAGCGAGCAGAGACTTTATTCCTGATTGCTGTCGTGAATTTTTAAAAAACTATGATCCTGAAGCAAGCGACGATGATGAGCTATATTGCGGTGTTTGTGACTTTGCTAATGGGAATGACGCACAGTATATCGGTCTTGACAATTTTGGCGGTGGTAACTTTGACAATTCGAAAGTTTTGTATGCGTCTTTATCCTTGTTCTGATTATGCCTTTAGATACGGTTTTTATAATTGAACTAGGTCGAATATTAAAAAAACTGAGGTTGCAAAAAGGCCCTGGTGATAAAATAATTACGGAAGAAGGTGTAACAGTCGAACGTGATAAGTATCATTTTGAAATTCGACTTTCTTACAAATTCATGCGAGAAAAGGTTTTTGATGAAGTTGTCGATAATACAATTGACTTTTTGAAGAGGCAAATAAAGAAAGCTAATGGAAATATTACGCATACCAATCTAGTAGGAGGCTTTGGCGGATCACCATACTTGCGCAAACGTATTCTAAACGAGCTTCCTTTCGGGCACCCATTACACATCGGGAGTTTAATTACGGATGATCGAGGTGATACAGCAGCAATGCGGGGTGCCTTGATTTATGGTATTGATAGCAGTAGACATGAGACCCAAACTGATATTGTACTTTATAAATACGAAAATGCTGCCACATCGAAATACAATGCTCTTGTTTGTTTAGGTAACAAATAATATCGGCGTGATTTTACGAGTGACTTACATTGTTGTTCTATTTGTAGATATCGGATACGACGGGATCGCGTGTTCCTATAGAGATTTGAGAAATAGAGACGATAACATGACAGATATTGAAGATTGGTAATTAATTGGAGTATAACTTATGGGGCATATTTAACGTGTGCAAATAGGCCTGGTTTAGATCGGCATAACCCTACTATCCCTACAGCAAAAGAAACATTGGATGGGAAAACTTTTTGGGGAGCCCAAGTTAAAGAGACTGGTGTCCGTGAGCCAGGGTCGTTTGTTACGTTAAGTAAGCTTATGTCTGCTATGAAAGGGAACTTCAAAGCATATCTAGTTGACTTACTCAAACACGTGATGGAGCATGTGCACAACTCAATTATGAAGACAAATCCGGAACATTCAAATAAAGACAAGTACAGATATGTTATCACTATGGAAAATTGTTATCAATTCTTTCGCAACAAGTCCGAAATGCGTGAAATTGCTCAACTTGCCGGCATCATTAAAAAAGGTGATTCCTCTAAACGACTATTGCTGATTCGCCGTGAGGATGCAGCAGCTATATATTTTGAAAAGAACAAATTCCCTGGAAAAAAGGCGCAAGGTAACTGTTTTCTTCAAATAAGTCTTTATCACGATACCTGTCATTTGTCATTACACGTATCAACCCAGATTGCCGGTAATGACACACCAAAAGACAGCGATGCTAATCGATCTGGGGAAGGGACTTCAGATAGGTTTAGAAATGTCCGGAGCATGAGATCCGCTACATTTGGGTTTGATTTTGTTGCTAGACTTGTTACAAATCTGAGCTTGTTTATATCTAATACTGTATGTTGTAAAGATCAGAAAACCCATGATACGACTGACCCAGCTTATATTTTGGAGCTTAGACGCAACTTTCTCGAATATCTAAAAGTCTGTAATTACATGAGCGCCAATATTATATCGGTTATTGACGTTACTATAGAACAAACTAGATCATGACAGTAATGAAGCACAAACTATCTCGGTGACTCAATCGCCAGGCTGCCAAGTATCTATTACAAAATACGAATTTTTGGAATATGTTTTTTGGCCTGCTATACGAGATTTGACTTCAGCAATTAAGTGTAACGGAATGCAACGTAATATGTTTCGTCTTTATGACATCGATAATATCTTTTTATCCGGCTTTTCAGTAGAGGCAAAGAAAGAAACGAGTGATTTTCTTGAAAGGATTGTTATAAAAACATTGTCCGAGGCTCTGAGTATCCCAAGAAGCCGTATATGTTTGTCTGATGCCAGCGGTAAAGAAGCCTTATTAGGTGCAGCGTACTATGGTAACTACCCCGAGACCTTTACAGAGCGGGTTTCTAGAAGGTCTTATGCTATTCAGGTTTGTGGTTACAAACGTCAAAAGTTTGAAATTGACATAGAGAAGAACATATCGGAAATGAAGCTAAAGGGAGGGAAAAACGTGAAGAATGATATATACAATGAAGAAGCAGCAAATGCATACAGTGATTTGGATAAACCAGTAAAGCTTTACTATCAGTCATCCTATAATTCATCTTCAAAAGATAGTAATTCTTTAAGAAACCCTGAAGATGTAACACGTCTTATCAGTAGAGGTGATAAGATTACGGAACACAATCAAATGCATGGAATTGTGAAGAGATTTTATGCCGAGGAAGAATGTATCGTCTATGCCAGTAAGTCTATATCACACATAATACTATATTGAATCCTCATATAACTTTTGTACATTAAAGCAATTTACTCTTCTGATGATCCTACCTCAATTGAAAACGGAAGCAAACATGATTGTTCAGGCTTTTACAAGATCCACCAATTCGAGCTTTATATTAAACGCGATATAGATGACCCAATCACTGCAGCTCCTGGATCTCGACTTCATTTTGATGTAGTTCTAAAGTTTGATAAAGATGAGTCCATATTCGAAGCTTTCGCTTGTTCAAAACTTGGACAGAAGATCCCCGAATTTCGATTTGAAGATCAGTTCTTGGTAGCAAATATCTACGGCGATGAGGATCGGATAATGATTGAATAATCACAATTGACAAGGACGGAATAGCACAACACTTCCAACCTATAAATAAATATCTGTATACGCCACTTTTTATTTTTGTGTTTCCTGCATAAAACCTTTTGGTCAATTAAATATGATTAACGAGTATAAGATCTGCCTTTGACTAAATAGCAGAAGGTACTCACAGTTATCTACCAATAGATAGTTGAAGGCAAATCCTTGTCCGTCATTTTAACAGGACGTGTTAGGTTTCGATACAACATTCTCATATACGCAAAAAAAGATCCAGACATATGTAACAGATGATACCGTCCTTGTGGGTCACGGTTTAGTAAATAATACGGAATGCACAAGATGCCCTACCCCATATCATTTATACAGCTGTAATTTACCATCATAAAAACGGACCACCTTATAAGACTTCATTGCGTGACTTGACCACACTTTACGTGAAACAAAATGCTACACAACCAATCTATTTCCTTAAAGTCCAAATCACGATTTGTAGTTTCAAACGAGGCGCGAAAAAGATTGAGGGATATCATGTATCCCTCACCAAATTTATATCAATCCAATAACTTTTGAAACAATTATTATATTACAAATCTTTAATTAAAAGAAGTTCACGTTTATGTTTCCTTTGTATACCTTTCAAAGAATGTAGAGCTTCCGCCCGTTACTCAAGCATTGCCCAACTCGACATCGTGAATAAGACAATAACTCCAATCACATGTAAGATAATCCTTTATTTACTATATAAATGACTTTGATATTTGTTTGATTTGGTATCTTTATTTATAAATGATATGTGTTATATTGTTTAGACATTAAGAATAAGTAGACACCAACGAATATTATGAATGATTCGTGGTATGTAGTAGAGATATTAACACAATGCGTACATAGACATCATCAAAACACCAAGTAACTTCAACACAGGCTTGAACTTTTCCCAACACGTAGCGTTTGCGCTCACGTCGACACTCGTGCTGTATTCACTTCGACACTGGTTGAGACCCTGTCTTAAAATCGGGTGCGATGCACTTCCTTCAACACTGGAGTCTGGGCACTGACATGGACACTTGCTTCGACACAGGTTTAGGCACTGGCATGGTTGCACTCGCTCTTAACGCTGCTTTGGGCACTGGCGTCTACCACTTAAAGGGTTTCTGCACTGGCGTCGATACTTGTGCTGTACTCGCACTAACACGGATGAAGGTCCCATGGAGGGCGCAGTCATTTTCAACACTCTCTTTAGATACTTACAGACACTCGCTTCGACACAGATTTAGAGCACTGGCATGGCAACTCGGTTTCGCATTGGCTTGCAACTTTGCTTTCAACACTGCTTTGGGCACTGGCGTCTACCACTGGAGGGGTATCTGCACTGGCGTCGATACTCGTGCTGTATTCGCTTCGACACTGGTTGAGACCCTGACTTAAAGTAGGGCGCGATGCACTTCCTTCAACACTGGAGTGTGGGCACTGACATGGACACTCGCTTCGACACAGGTTTAGGCACTGGCATGGTTGCACTCGCTCTTAACACTGCTTTGGGCACTGGCGTCTACCACTTGAAGGGTTTCTGCACTGGCGTCGATACTTATGCTGTACTGGCTCTAACACGGATGAAGGCCCCATGGAGGGCGCAGTCGCTTTCAACACTCGTTTGGGTACTTACAGACACTCGCTTCGACACAGGTTTAGGCTTTTGGCATGGCACTCGCTAACACTGGCTCGCAACTGGCTTTCGATACTGCTTTCGGTACTGGCATTCGCAAACGGAAGGGTAATTAATTAATGAAGCAAAGAAAAGAGAAGAATTAAAAAAAAAGACTACGCCCTCTATTTTCAACTAAAAAATATGTGACTGCTGTACTGCGCAACTGGCCGGAGGCCAAAATAATATAGGGCGTGTCTAGGCACTGTCTGGGTAAACCCAATTGTTCTGTAGTGGAACGCAAAGGGGTATCGAAAGAAGGTGTACATGGATACGGTGGGAGTGACGAAATATGTTAAAATAGTGATTGGCTTAAGATCATGTCATTCTAATAGCCATGTTTAAGAAGCCACTACCAATTCCTTACCTGATTTAATCACCAAGATGTGTCATTATAAAAAAGCGGCGTCCTCCCTTTTGCGATGATCTTCTCTCCATAAGTTAATCAAATGATTAACCGAGAATCATTTCTTTAATTCTTTTTTTATCTATAATTTACATATCTTAAAACATCACAACGTTGGTTAGTCTACATTTGATTGTAAGTCTGAACCAATAAAATCAGAAAATAATGATGCTAAGAGTGTTGTTAAGAGAAAATGTCATTACCCGTCTTTTTGCAGCCTTAAAGTGACTACTTCACATTTTATAACCGAGCGAGCTTCGATCAATGCTCGCTCGAATCCAAAAAAAAGTGGCTCGCAAGATCGAAAATTTCGAACACTATTGACCAACAAAAGATTACCATCATCTTTGCAAATAAAATATGGGAAGACAGTCTTATGATAAGCTGAAGCCGGAATGCTTATTTACTGATTTTAAACAATTGACATCCGGCTATCTCAACAAGTGAATAAACTCTTGTTAAGAAAACACAATATGGATTACTCCTTTCCGAGTCATTTACAACGAGAAAAAAAAATAAACATGTTGCCCCCCCCCCCTGAAGGCTAGATAAGTAGTAGCTGTCATCGCTCCTTTGGCAACACAAAAACTTAAATGCATGAAAAGCGTAGAATAAAATAGTGACTTGTTTTACCTTTGTGGCATGCTAAAAAAGTAATTGTTTGTACAAAAGTTTTTTTTTTTTTTTTTTTTTGCTTTTAGTTTTTTTTATAAAAAAAAGCATGAGTATTCCTAACGATCTCGAGTTTGCAAGCACTTTTGCTCAGCAAGATATACCCGTTCCTGCTCAGGTAGTAGCTGAAGTGAAAAAAGAAAAAGTGTCCAACAATGAGCCAGAGGTAGACTCCAGAAAAAAAAAAAACGTTTGCCATGATATTTCCTCAACTAACCATTTAAATAAAAAAAAAAAAAAAAAAAGCCAATGCAAGTAGATTCAGACGCCCTTGATGCAGCGCTTTCTGGAAAAGCTGTCAAGGAAGAAGGGTACGAGAGTAGTGACTTGGAATTATCTTCGGATGAAGAAAGTAGTGATAGCTCTGAAGAGGAAGAGGACGACGACGACGAAGAAGACACAAAGGGGGATAAAACCGAATTATTAGACGACGACGATGAAGTATTCCCTGACGGCATTGTCAAGACTGCACATGAAATTGTAGATATTGTTGTAGAAAAACCCACGTTTGAATTAACACCACAAACTGAAATTATTTTGGCCGGCACTATTTTTCAAATGATTGATAATGTCATTGTGATTCATTGTAGACCGGGAAGTGAATACAGTACTTTGGATCAAGGATCACTTTTAGTGTACGAAAATAGAGAATTGATGGGTGAAGTGTTCGAAACATTCGGTCCCGTTGCTAGACCTTATTACTCTGTCCGCTTTAACGATGCAAAGGAAATTAATGAAGAATTCGGTAAAATTGGTGCTTCCGTTTATTATGTTCCAACCTACCAAAAGACCCAGATTGTCGAAACAGAAGCATTGAGGAAAATCAAGGGTACGGATGCCAGTAATGTATATGATGAGGAAGTCGGTGAGGAAGAGATGGAATTTTCTGATGATGAAAAGGAAATGCAGTTTAAAAAGAAGAGAAACAGAGAAAAGAAAATGTAATAGAGTTAACCTATTTAAACAGTATAAAAATTATATAGTATGCTGATGTATTCTTCATTTTAGGAGAAAGAATGGTGGTATTGAGCCAGTTGATATGGGCAGACCCATGAAATTCCAACGTCGTCAACCTAGACCACCAAGAGATTTACCCTCAGACTTTGATTCCGCCTTAGCAGCTTATGAAGGATCCCAGTTACCACCTCGTCAGCAACAAAGTTATGCTGACTTGGAAGAATACACCGCTCCAGTGGAAACACGTACGCAAGTACAATATCAAGCCCGTGTGCCACAACAACAAGCTCCTATGCCACAACAACAAGCTCCTATGCCACAACAACAAGCTCCCATGCCACAACAACAAGCATCACAGAGTAGTTATCAAAGCCCTGCCGACTTGGTATCTGCTTTATTCAAATCCTATAACGGTCAATTGCCTACACAATTACCTACATCTCAAGCACCTGCACCCCAACCATCTCAACCCACACAACCTGCACAACCCATTCCATCAGCACAACCCGTTCCATCAGCTCAACCAGCTCAACAGCATAAAGTCACGCCACTCAAAGCAGCAGTAAGATCCTTATTTGCTGCACCTCCACCACCCATTGATGATTCCAAGCATTAAAAAATAAATAAATAAATAAATGTCTATAGTCCTTTTTATTTCTTGAAAGCTCCCTTTAATTTACTAAACATGCCTCTCTTTCTACCACGTTCTTCTTCTTCTACCACTGGCTTTTTTTCATTGATGATATCTTCTTGAACAGGTGTATTCGATAAAGCTGCAAAGCTCGATTGTAATTCTTGAATTGTATTCATGTCTAATTGAATACCAGCTGTTTGCATGTCAAGGGCTAATTTCTGAACCTTTTCCTTCACTTCGGGATCATTCATGACCTTCATAATCTATTGAACAAACGTCAATCGTCCCACCCTCCTTCCTCCTATCATTTTTTTGTGTTGTAGCGTTTTTTCATACCTGTACGAAACTGGGTCTTTGTCCAGATACATCGACACCCTTTGATTGCAATAAGCCGGTAAAATCAATCAATTGTTCCATAATGTGAGGATGTTGTTGAATTTTCTCAATGAGTGGGTGTGTCACTGGTTTTTGATCGTTCCAGTCATGAGAAGACGCAGACCATTGAACTGAACTATGAAAAGAGTTGATGGGAACAAAGTTGCTGCGGTATAAAATCGAAGGCGTAGCTGCGATTGGACGTAAATGTGTATTTTTAAAGAGCTTGCGCGTAGCGGGGCGACTAGCTAAAGTTATCAATCGGTAGAGCATAGTGTGATAGACCTAGAGGGAAACAAGGGTGATAATGTTTTTTTTTTTTTTTTGGTGGGTGGGCAGGTTTTTACGGTTCTACAATTAAAAAAAATAGTCACGGCGGGTGATGCATTCTTCCTGTGCCCAATTTTTTTTATATTAGCGGATGTACTGAAGCATGACAATAATAGTGTTTAGAGAACAGTGGGATAAATTAGGCTTTTTCGTAGTAATTGACTCTTTTTTTTTTTTAGTTTTAGATAGGAAGGGAATAAAAGTACAACATGGATAAGCATTTTTTTACGACTACGCACACCCTGACTGTCCCTAAGAGACTCGTTTTTCTCAGTTATTCTTTGTTCTTTTCTCATTTATTTGTTATGTTTTCTCATTTATTTGTACTTTTTTTCTCGATTTCTTGAAATAAACCACCAGTCTTGAACATTACATCTTCCTTTTTGGATGTGCGACTGCTTAATTTTGCATAAAATCTTTCGTGTTGCGCGTTTGAGTATGGTTGCTTTTAATGATAAGAAAAGACTCACTTTAATATTAGTTTACCAGTAATGATATGGGCATATCCATCCAAAAGTTGCGTGAGATGTCCATAAACCTAGCCGCTAAGAAAAAAGCAGAAGGGGAAATGATTGCCCATGTAGTGGTCGTATTGTAAGCAATGAATATTTGAAAAAATGTATATATAGTCATTCTAATATAAAGAATTCAGCCAAAATTATAAATATATATAGCTATGGTGAACGTGTGTTGTCAAAATCAGAATCAACATTTAGAAGCTATCTATTTGATGAATGCATAAAAAAAAAATCCGAACAGATATATACACGATAACGGACGAAGCGTAATTTCTCTCCCAGGCGAAATCGAACTAGATGCAATGTTCCCTTCAACTTAAAGAACAAGTAGGTTTAAATGCATATGCGAAGTTTACCGTCAAAAAAAGTATAAATTGATGGCATTTGCAAAGATTACTGTCAAAAAGTGTAGAAATTAACCGACACTAGATATGTACAAATACAAGGCGGATGGAGTAATTTGTGTTTAACAATATCACGACCTTGAAATACTCTTGACTGAAGTTTTAAAGAAAGCTGAATAATCAGCTTCGATCACTATAAACGTCGATTGACATGCCATAGCATCTAAATTCTATAGGATGATCTATTTCTGGTTTCTATAAGATCTGCTTCACTGTCATTACAATCTATTACTGGAACGCAGATATATAACTACCAAGTTTTAGTTTGCTTGGGGGGTTTTTTTTGCATATGTTTCTATTTTGAGTAAAGGCCCAAACAGTATAAATGATGAAACACTTAGTTAAATCATTCTGACATAAGCTCTTGTTTATCAGCCTATAAATAAAGCTGATTCACACACTTTATTCTTCCTCTTTTCTTTTCCCTTAACACGCTTCTTCTATCGTATGAAAGTAACCGATAAGGTACTTTCGAATTACTTGCAATCGAACTATTATTTATGCTAATTTTTTTTTTTTTTTTAGAAGAAGCCTGTCAAGACATTGGAACATGTCGATTCAAGCACCGCGGGGTTTTATCTAATGATAAAAAGAACAACGTCTGTTGATGTGCCAGTCAAGTTTATTGCCAAGGATATCGAGCTAACCCCATTGATAGAATTCCACAAGACGGTAGCCGTCAGTGGTTTTGGAGCCATATATCTTACAAAGTGAATCAGACATAATCCCTTCTATATAACGCTTTTCAATAGGTCGCTTGTAAGAATATCATTGACACCATCACAAAGCTTAAGAAGGGAGCGTATAGTAAAGATAAGATCAAACGACGAAAACGAGCTAAAAAGATACCAGCCTCCTATACCAATTGGATATCTGTACGCAGATTTTAATCTTGGAGTAAATAGGCACATGATGGATACATCAAGCACTTTAGCTAAATGATGTATCATTCAATGATAAAATTACCCAACCATTGTGATCTAATGCCATACTTGACACTATTTAAGAAAAAAAAAAAGCTTGGCGGATCGGTCTGAAATGAAACAAAAATGATCTCGCTTGACACTTAAATGTCCAGGTATTGGCATTATAGTATGAGCAGCTTAAACAAATGACTTTAAACAGTGGGGGAAATACCATTATATATATATACTGACCGTGAAAAACTCTAGTTTTTTTTGTTGTTGTTGATATTTCACATTTTGAGAAGACAGGGTCACAATGTCATCCCTTTAATAGACTCTTTTTACCTATCAAGGCACATGTTTTGTAAGGCCCTATTTTTTTTTTAAACATGATTTGATTTTCATACTATATAAAAAAAAAGTACTTTCTGTACAACGAAGACAGGGTATTTCTGGAAAGCGTAATTATATTTTAATTAAAAAAAGTCGCACGATGTTCATACATTTGCCCGGTGTAAAAATGATAAAAGCTGGAATTCATGATTATAGACCCCGCGCAAATAAATGCTTGGGACAAACCCGTTTTAAAAAGGATCTGTATTCTGAAAAAAAAAAAAAAAAAAAAAAAAAAGATTTCTATATGCTAGATATGAATCACTTAAAAGCATCATCTATAGGTAATGTGAATATATATTACGGGCCATGTTATTTTGACAGGAATTTTTTTTTAAAAAGAAAAAACCATTATTCTAAAAATTTAGTATTCCGATAGTTTTTTTTTTTCTTCTTCTTCACATGGGACATGACGTCAATGCGAGAATAGTAAACTTTACTCATTTTGAATAAATAAATAATAAGAAACAAATGAGGGGCTCTAGAGACAAAAGTGTCCCCGTACCTCCTCAAGAGCCCTTGTCCTGTTCTATATAGATAGCAGTTGAGTGGACGCTACCCTGACATAGTTCCCGACTCTTTTATACTGTTTAAACTTTTATAAGATCTTTTTTTGAGAATCAGATAATTCTTGGGAGCGTGCCTTGAAAAAAAAAAATTTACTTTTTAAAAAAACAATAAGCAAATACATCACAGCTCTATTTTGACTTGGCATCCACCCTACTACAGTCTTTTTTTTTTTCTAAACTGAAAGGGGGGGATGGTAATTCTGTAACTGATAAATATAAAGAAAAGAGGGACCCCATTGTAATAAATGTTACGGGCGACCCCACACCTTGAAAGAGAGAGAGAGAGAGAGATAGTTTAGGGACGTCGTAGTTTCAAGTTAATTCCCACGGACCTCTTGAAACCTCCCCTCCCAAATGACTTTTGATTGGATCATACTTAAAATGTGGGGAAAAAGCGGTCCTAGCTGAAAAGCTGGGTAAGTTTAAATGAAACCCAACCTATGGCATACTTTTTTTTATTTTTTGCTTATAAAAAGAAGAGGTTGGTTTGCCTTACACACACATTTTTTTTTTTGTAGGTATACAAGATGATGATATCCTAAAATGTAAAATAAGATAGAAACTCGATCCAAAGGGGTTTAAGGAAAAGAGCATGATTTTTAGGAGCAACTCGGATTACCATTAGTTCCGTCCTATCCCGCTCTTTTTTTTTTTTTTTTTTTTTTTTTACTGCACATGTTACGGGGATTCAAATCGAGACAATACTACCAAGAACAGGTTCAAATTTGGATGTCCTCTACCCAAAACCCAAAAAGTCCGTTCCTTCCGAGGGGTTGCACCCAAATTTAAAAAACCTATATAAACTAGCTTTAGATCTCTTTAATTTTCTTTGCATTATATTTTTCCCCGTTCCCTCCTAAATATATATACATTTTTTTTTTTAATTCATTACCATGGTTGCTTCAAGACCCGGATCTCCTTATACTGGCGGTAGACCTCAATCTGCCAATTCTGTTCTTACCAAGGCTGAAGAAGAACTCTATGAATTTGCTGGTATTGACTATGATAAGGTAAAAACACACACACACACAGCTTATTTTGTATATGCAAGGTAAACTAAACTTTTTTTTTTTTTAATAAAAAAAAAGGTCACTATTATGCGTAATCCTTCTGTCGCTGTTCTTTACGAACAAGCCTTGACCTATGAACAAGGTACTGTCATTTCTTCTGCTGGTGCACTTTGTGCCTACTCTGGTAAGAAGACAGGTCGTTCCCCCAAGGACAAACGTATTGTAGAAGAACCTTCCTCTGTCAAGGATGTATGGTGGGGACCTGTCAACACGCCTATCAGTGAACGTGTCTTTTTGATTAACCGTGAACGTGCCATTGATTACTTGAATACCCGTCCTCGACTCTTTGTGTTTGATGGTTATGCCGGTTGGGATCCCAAGTATCGTATCAAGGTCCGTATCGTGGCTTCTCGTGCCTATCATCTCTTATTTATGCGTAACATGTTGATCCGTCCCACCGATGAAGAACTCGATAATTTTGGCACACCCGATTTCACCATTTTCAATGCAGGTGAATTCCCTGCCAATCGTTACACCACAGGTATGACCTCCACTACTTCTGTTTCCATCAATTTCAAGCGTAGTGAGATGGTCATTCTTGGTTCTGAATATGCTGGTGAAATGAAGAAGGGTGTAAGTTTTTATATGAGAAAGGAAACAAAAACAAAAAAAAAAAGGGATGGTTTCTGATTTTTTTTTTTTTTTTTTTCAATAGATCTTTACTGTCATGCATTATCTTATGCCCAAGGCTGGTGTCTTATCTCTTCATTCTTCTGCTAATGAAGGTCCCAAGGGTGATGTCTCTCTCTTCTTTGGTCTTTCTGGTACTGGTAAGACCACTCTTTCTGCTGATCCCAAGCGTATGTTGATTGGTGATGATGAACATTGTTGGTCTGACGATGGTGTATTTAACATTGAAGGTGGTTGCTATGCCAAATGTATTGATTTATCTGGCGAAAAGGAACCCGATATTTTCAACGCCATTCGATTTGGTGCGATTCTTGAGAACGTTGTTCTTGATGAAGAGACCCGTGATGTAGATTACTCTGATGATTTCTTGACCGAGAATACACGTTGTGCCTACCCTATCTATCATATTCCCAATGCCAAGATCCCTTGTATGGGTAGTCACCCCAAGAACATTATCTTGTTGACGTGTGATGCCTTTGGTGTGTTACCTCCTGTCTCCAAACTGACTGCTGAACAAGCCATGTACCATTTCATCTCTGGTTATACCACCAAGGTCCCCGGTACGGAAGACGGTATTGTTGAACCTCAAGCCACTTTCTCTGCTTGTTTCGGTGCACCTTTCCTTGTACTTCATCCTCAACGTTATGCTACCATGTTGGCAGATAAGATGTCCAAACATAAGGCTGATGCATGGTTGATTAACACGGGTTGGATTGGTGGATCTGCTGCTACCTCCAAGCGTTGTCCCTTGAAATATACCCGTGCCATTTTGGATGCGATCCATAACGGTGAATTGGCTAAAGCAGAATTTGGTAAGCTTGATATCTTTAACTTGAGCATTCCCAAGGCTGTTACGGGTGTACCCTCGGAACTTTTGAACCCCAAGACTGCTTGGAATGGTACTGCAGCTCAATTCGATGCCTCGCTTCGTAATGTTGGTAAAATGTTTGTTGATAACTTTAAGACTTATGAAGATAAGAGTGCTCCTCAAACTTTGGCTGCTGGTCCCAAGCTCTAAATGAAAGACAGAAAGAGAGCTCCATACCCTTACCCATTTTTTTTTTTTTTTTTTTAAAAGATTATATTTTTATTTTGTCTCTTATGTACATAAAAAAACTCTATTAAAATAAAATATATTATATTAAAAAAAAAAAAAAAAAAAATAGAGTAGTTCATTTTTAAATGTAAAGTCGGAATTTTTTAAGAGAGAGAGAACAATAGGGTTTTTTTTAGTAAATGTGAAACCAAAAGGCAGAGGTATTAAAAATAACCTTTTTTATACGGACACAAAAAAGGGGGGGGGGAAAGTATTGACACTAGGGAAACGCATGAAAAAATAATTTATATTTTTTTAAAACGCCACTTAGGGGTATTTTTTATATTACCGCGATTTTAATTTTATAAATCGATGAATCATGACAAGTTTCTATCAAATTCTGAAGCACAATGCACAGTGATTTACAAAAAGGTAAAACCCCCCCTTTAGTGTGAATTACCAATTCAACTAAAACGTTTGAAACAATCAGGGGAGGTTGGGATGAGTCATACACCCAAGAAAAAAAAAAGGTCTGCACTGTCTTGTTGCTATGAGTAAATACATGTTTTGATCTGCAAAAAAAAGGGAAATTCTGAGAGTTTATTTTTTTTTTTTTTTATCGGGGAAAAAATAAAAGATCGGTGCCTGAGACCTAAAGAATGAAACACAGGACAGATGGTCTCATAAAAGATGATCGAAAAAGCTTAAAGTCTATAAATGGAAAGGCTTAATTTATTAACACCAAAAAAATAAAGGGAGTGTGTGTGTGTGTGTGTATGATGGAAGGGGAGGGGGGGGGGGATAATATCTAATAATTAATAATAAAAAAAAAAAGAGCAAAAACAACATATAATATTTCTACATTAAAAAAAAAGGGGGACCGGTTTCAAATGAGTGGGGTTTCGGTTTTAGTTTAGATTCTCACTTGGGTTCGAAGTGCATTTAACTGTCGATTGTCTTCTGAAGACGGTAATTTTTCCCAAGGAATGTCTTGTATGCTCATGACTGCTTTTAGCGAAGGTTGTGCTGTACTCCATGTGAATAGCGGAGATAGTAAATGCTGTGATGATGATGATGATGATGGTTGCTGTTGTGTATGATGATCATTAAAATCGTCGTCCGAAGATTGTGGAGATGAGGAGGATAGAGACGGTGGTGTTGTCATAGAATCAATTGAATTTTGTCGACTGAATGCAATGGAATGCATGGAAGCAGAATGTCCGCCACCAATATCAAGTGGGTTTAATTCTGGATATAAACCTTTAGGAATCTCGATTGAGTTTAAGGTTGGATCACCCGTGGGACGTTTTAATTTGCCAGACATCACATCTGATTTGGCATAATAAGAGATAAGGTGAATCTTTTGGTTGGAAGCGGTACAGATAGAGAAACTCTGTTTGATCAATCCATTGTGTTTATATGAAAAGGCTACTTGTTTCACTCCTGTATGAACAGAAGGTCTTCTCGGTCGCCTTTTAGTGTCTAACTCTCGATAGGTGAGGAAACTGCCAAGGACTCGACTAGGGGACCAGGTACGTCCATCTGTCCAACGTCTCATACCAGCTTCCTTTTCATCCCACGCAAATACTGATCCAGAGTGAATTTCCATTCTTTCTTTAGAGGTTAATCTTCGTTGTACTCGATTTAATGCACCTCTTCGACATGCTTCAAATATCACTAGTGCGTCTTGTGGCGTCTTGATATATCCAATGAAAGATTCCATAATTTATATAAATAAAAAAAATAAAAAAAAGTGTAAGGAAAGTAAAAGAAAAAAGAAAAAAAAAAGGGATACTTTTATATAAGTACGATATTTAAAGAAATTATGTCACTAGCGAAAAAAAAAAAAAAAAAAAAAATTATGCAAAACATGCATTTGTCCAAATATAGAATTGATTAAAGTTTCTCCTCGCACACCTAAAATGTGTAAGGGGGTAATGCGATTTTCCAACGGTTAATCAGATTTACAGTTTTGAACGTATGGAACAAGGTTCAGGAAATATTTAATTTCAGCTTGTTCACCACGACGTATGACGGACTCATGACCACAAGCGACAAAGAAATAATGTAGACTAGTGCACATCTACGATTAAAAAAAGGGCAGTAATAAAAAGGGGAGAAGAAAATGATTTTAGTATAGAATAATACAGAATAAAACAAACAGGACATCTTGGAACTCACCAATACATGCCACCTAAAAAAAAAAAAAAAAAGAAGGTTTTTACATGTTATTTATAAAACAGGAAATCTAGATTACTAGCTTCAACTTTTTTTACCATGCATGTAATTGAGGGTTAGGTACATATTTAAAAACACTACATAAATTAGAATCAAATAACCAAACCATAATAGCCAAAATCAAAAACTTTGTTCCCTGATGGAATAACAGCAGAACCTTTTCATTCGACACGTTCTTGTATAATTTGTACACAAAATATAAATCACTCCACATAACAAGACCGAACCTATACATGGTTTAGTCTCTCTCTCTCTTATGAGCCTAAAAAAAAAAAATTATACTTGCGAGGTTTGAAACATGTAAAATTGGGTAGAACCTTTGTTGCGACTAGTAACAAGAGTAGCAAATAAGCAGTAGCATGCAATCGACACTGCCACCCATCTTCCTCTGTATCTAAATTCGTCCAACAAAACAAACAAAAGGTAGCATGCACACCAGATCATTGGTACCTTTTAAATAATAAAATGTTATTTTGCCTGAAATAAAATGATGATGTCTGCATATTCACATATTATTACTTCATCCCACATTTGATGCTCAAATTGTAAAGTGGCATGAAATAATACACTAGCAAAAAAAAAAAAGATTTTAATATCCACCAAGAGTCTATTTTTTCCTTTAAGATTTTAGAGCTAATTTTTTTTTTTTTGGGTACCTTCCTATACCAACCACGCAAATTAAAAGATAACTATTTGATAGTCTCCAACCCAATGATTGGTGATGAAGTGCCACACCAAGCAGCCCTAATGCAATCATTGCAAAGCTCTTTTTTTTTTAAGCTTGTTAACATATTTGGTACCATCCTACTTTTTATTATTTATTACCGAAATTGTATTCCAGAATTCTGCAATGTAAAAACAATGCGTATAATTTTCTTCACACCTAGAAAAAAAAAATTCCTTCTATCAATATCCATGTATGGTGACTTATTTTATTTAAAAAAAAAATACCAATCTACGGAGCTAGTTACGTTTCCCCAATACCCGCTCATTTGTTTAAAAAAAAAGAAAGATAAAATATAAGCTCACCAAATTTTTTTATTTTTTTTTTTAAGAAAAGCTTGTCCCTCTAGAAAAAGGAGGTCACATGCCTACTTGATCCATCCACTGCTCAAGGTCCTTTAATTCTTGACCCTTTTTCAACGGAAGATGGTCAATCCAGCCATCCAAAAACTCGGGTGGAGGACCCTTAGAGATCATACAGATAGGAAATCGAGGCTCAAATTCAGAGAGGGGAAATTCCGTCAGATCAGACACTGTATCCGAATCCATCATCACGAGACCCGAGACAGGTTTATTAGAAACAAACTTTTGTGAGATACGAGCTGCCTTGTCTCCATGACTGATGAGTAACGGTGGGAAAAAGGAGAGATCCGTGGTGGCCTTCGTCAACTCTAGATATATATATATATATATTTAATATCCTTTTTTTTTCATATGTGTGTGTTGTGTGTTATGCCCCCCCCCCCTTGTTCACGGTTTATTTATTATTATTATTATTTTTACCCTTGTAGCAGGTATCGAGTAATGATTCACCCTCCTTTTTCTCGGGTAAATCAATGGCTGCATCCACAGTGAAATAACCTAATTGGCTCAACTTGTTTTGCATTGATAAAGACCATTCATTGCTATTGGATTAGAAAATATTAATTGAATACAAAAAAAGTGTGACCTCTCCCCCCCCTTTTTTTTTTTTTTTTAATTCTCTCAGTGTTACTTTGGTTCTGTTCGAAGTAAAAGAATAGGTGTAGGTCTTTTCACACTAGCTGATGTATCCAATTTATGAACAGTAATCTTGGTACGGATTTGTTGTTGAATGAAATTTCTAAACATAAAAAAAAAAAAAAAGCAGGGGTGGGGGGGGGGAGGGTGAAAAATAGAAAAAAACAGAAAACAATAAAAAAAAAAAAAGGGTCTGTGTGATTTTTAATTTTCCGTTTGTGGTATTAATAATAAAAAAAGTAATTCTTACACGTGTAAAAAATAAACGCTTGTACAACAATGAGAGAGTAACAACAAAAAAGAGATTACATGAATTTTTTTTTAAGCTTTTTTTTTTTCTTTTTTCTTTTTTATCATGTCGAATGTATCGCGATTAATGGAATCGACACGCACTTTAGAAACCAAACGATCGGGAAGCAACCTGTTTCATCAACGTAAGGCTTCCCTAACAACCCTATGTGCACCTATCGACAAACGACAAGAGAAAAGAAAAATACTACGTTCAGGTTCCTTTCAAAGATCCTGGATAAAGGTATTTGATATGCCTGTCGTTCAACTCGTGGGTTGGTCCTATCTCTTAATCTGTTTTTGTCTTTCCACCATTCATCTGCTACGATCCTTTTCTTTACTCGATCCGAATGCAGGTAACTAAAAAAAAAAATTATACATATTAGAGTTTATTAAAAAAAAAAAAACTTTACTTGGCTTACCTCCCTTGTAGGGCCTAAAATAGACTGGGATAAAGTATTATTAGAAAAACAAAGCCAGTTCTCATCTCTGGATGAACTTTCTACACAGATTCGATTATCCAAAATGTTTAGTAAATCCATTGTCAATAATGACGTGATTCGACCCTATTGGTTCACAGCATCCATCAAGCCCAGTAAAGACGCATTGACCCTGACAACCGTTTTTACCTTGCAAGAGTGGGAAAGTCTCACACAATTAGCGGAGGCATATGAAGGTGCACAAAAAAAAAAAAAAAATTAATTATGTGTGAAAGAGTCATCTAATAGATGATATATATATGTAGGTCCGATCTCAGCAGCACTCCTGGTGCCTACAACGAAATACGTGGATAATGACCAATTGGACGAAATCCGTGTCAATTACGAGAATACGGTAGCATTGAAACGACATGTGGATATCCATCTTGTACTCCAGCAGGGCGGATTAAACGAACAAGGACAAATGATTGGTACAGGAGGATATCAAGAATCGCGTAATCTTGCACGCTTATTCAGTCGTACTGAATTTGTTGCGCTTGTACCAGCCACCACTTTATGGCTGACAGATGTCTCGGAAAGTATCAAGAAACATGTGGATCTGTTGCGAAGGGGTGATTTATTGATTGTGCCTACCTTTGGTTTCCCCAATTATCAAGGCGTTGAAACCAGGTTATGGCCCATTGATAAACAGTCTGTGATTGAATGGGTAGAGGAAGGAGAATTTGGATTGGCTGATTACAATTATGAGCTGAATAATGGACCTACCTCTTATGCGACATGGAAAGATGCTAAGGATCCTTACTTGTTGCCTAATTATGATTTTAATTATAGTCCAATCTTTGTTTCCACGCGATTAAATCATCCGTGGTGCGAAGAGAGGTTTGAGGATCATGTGTCTTCGTGTGTGTATACCAAATACTTGGCTGGTTCTAATTTATGGGTGCTTCCAAATGACTATGCAGTGAGAACAGGACAGGAGCCTGTAGACTCTCTCTTACCTCATGTAAGTTATTTCTTTCTTTTTCTTTTTTTTTTTTTTTTTTTTTTTTATTGGCAGGACAGAAGTAGACTTAAATTGTATTTTACAGCAAAAGCGGTATCAGAATAAGCTAGCCAAGAAATATCGCTTAGAACAATGTGTGTTTTACGCACGACAGTATGATCAAGACGGTATCTTTGACACTGAACGAGCCAATCATGTCAAACAAGAATGTTCAATTGCCTTGTTAAGTTTACAAAAGCAAAAGATGATTTCAGATATTATTGAATAACGCCCTCCCCTTTTATTATTATTTCTTGTACATATCCCCCCCACACACACACACACTATATAAATTTAGCACCCAACCCATTACATATACCTTACCCTTTTTTTTTTTTTTTTAGTCTGACATAAATTATCCAATCAGAGATTATCATCTCTTTTACACATACAAAAAAAAAAAAAAAATGACTTTGAAAAACCCTCAAATTTTTTTTTTATTTTTTGTTCCTTTTTTACCCCACTCTTCCCTCTTTTTTTTTTTTTTTAAAAAAGATGTCTGCACCCGTACAATCAGCAGCAACAAAGACGGTGTTCCGCAAATTTCTTGATTCCCCTGCAGGACCCAAGACCATTCATTTTTGGGCACCAGCCATGAAATGGGTAAGGATATATATATATATATAAAAAAAAAAAAAATACAAAAAAAGACTTTTTATATCTAAAAACACACGGGATTTGTTCAATAGTGTTTGGTCATTGCTGGTATTGGAGATATGCAACGTCCTGCCGAGAAATTGAGTGTGAGTCAAAACCTTTGTAAGTTTAAACCCTTTTTTTTTTTGTATTTTTCCCATGACGTTACATCAAAAGTGTGTGGTCTTAAATGTTTTACTATTTTAGCTTTGATGTTGACTGGCCTTATTTGGTCTCGTTATTCCATGGTGATCACACCCAAGAATTACTCATTATTAGCTGTCAATGTCTTTATTTTCGGTACCAGTAGTATTCAATGTAGTCGTATCTGGAAGTAAGTTTCTTTTTTTGAAAAAAGCAAAAATAAATGTGTAGAGGCTGAATAACTCATCTACTACTTAGGTATCGTCAATCCGAAGAATACAAGCAAAAACAATTATTAGAGGAAAAAGCATAAATCTTTTTTTTTTTTTTGTTATCATTAAAAAAAAAAAAAAAAGAAAAAAAACCCGATTTTTACCGTGCTTTTTGTGTTTATTTCGGACCCCAGGTTTATAGATGATTATAATATAAATAAAAAAAAAAAAAAAAAAAAAAAAAACTTTTTTTTATTTATTTACACTACCAAGAAGTATTTGATTCATCATCACTTTGATGACTGCTACTGCGGTCTCTGATTTCACCAAAGATAGATTCAGAAGGATATTCCACCTCATTATCTCCATCAGGTGAATACACGTCCTTTTGTACAAGTTCATCCTCCTCCTCCTCCAATCGGATAATATCTTCCTCTTCTTCCTTTCCCCCTTCCTCTTCATCATCATCAAATTGAATCAAGGAGCTATGTTCCATCATCATCATCGTATTGTTGTTATGCATTGAGGGTTCCGGACTAGGTCCACTACCCATATGGATCAGGTACGCATCCTCAAACGATACAGACGAATTCTTATCCATAAACGATTTATGATTATTCATGGATGAAGGTGAAGGTACCCCACCGTTCATTGCTGCATTCGCACTGGATGATAACCATTTTAAGCTGCCTGCTGCTGGGCTATTGTTCATGGAGTTGGATGAAGGTGAAAACGAGGTTTGCATCGCCTTGGATATATTGTCTATATATATATATGTGTGTGTGTGTGTGAGTGAGAAAAAAAAAAAAGGTTTTTAGCATGAAGGAATAAATGGATAACCCCCCATTTTTATATATATATTACCTTCTAGTTCGGCTAATGCGTCTTCCATGTTCTCCTCCACATTATCATTGGCAATTCGAGTGGTTGTCTTGCGTACACGATCAATACGACTGGACACAGGTTCGGGCATCCCTTTTAACAATACCATGGTTTCGGTGGGTGGAATGATCCCCGCGTTCAAGATCCTTTGTAAATCCCCCACCTTTTCAAACGTTTGAAAACGAAACTGATGTAAACCCCATAGAGGTGGTTCATCATTGGCATACGTTGTAATCTCTGCATTCGAAAGCCATAACTTTTTCTTATTCCCCCTTACCGCTAGGCCTCCTTTGGGTTTTTTGTTCGTCGTATCAAGGACCAAGTTTAATTTGACTTGTTCCCAATCACTGTTTCTGGCCACACGCCATTCAGCCACATCTTCTTCCTTTAACGTCAAATCCAATTTTTCCATGTTACGTCCGTTCTCACGTTTCTTGACCACGGTTTTAGCTACCCAACACCGATGAAGGGTTAAAATGCCATCGGGATGAAACGAGTAGAGATCTTGGTAACCGATTTCGTCATTCATCATCTTGGCAGCATCATCGTACTCCTCATCAAAACCAAACATGAGGGTATCACTTTTATCGTTCCATTTTGTCTTTGTCTGTTGTTGTTGTTGTTGCTGTTGATGTTGCTGAGATGGGGATGATCCGTTAGGTAGATATGGGATATGGCTCATACTAGAACCAAATGAAGATAACATACTTGTCGCCTGTTGTTTAATAGAACTCGAGGGTAAAGTCTCTGAAGGGGATCCCTTTTGATGCTGATAGACATGACTGTGATTAACGAGATAAGGTGATTTCGTGGCTGTGACAAAAGCACAAGTGATTTTCGCACGTGGGTCCTTGGTATTGTTAAATCGAGATGGGGGTATAGAATGCGGTGGTGTGGGACCATAATAGGCATACTGATTGGAGAATTTGACAAGGTCGTCTTGGGACATACTGAGATGTTGACCCGGCATCTTGCGTCGTTGCTTGATACGTACCACCGAACCCAAGTTGGTGGCCTTGGTCTTGGTCTTATTGGCTACCAAGGGGTGGAAGGTCGGATTATTGACTTTGGCATGGACATGGCCTGCAATCTCGGGTTTACCACCGTATGGATTGATAGCGTAGACATGGGTCGTACCCCGTGCTGTACTGATGGCACACCAAGTGGAGTCAACAGAGAATTGACAGTCTTCCACTTGAGCATCCGTGATACCGCGAGACAGGCTGTACAGATGCGAGGCATTACCGATCGTGGTATGGTTGGTGAGAATTGAAAAGATGTGGAAAGTATGACCCTGTTTGGACGCTGACATGAGTAACGTCCCCGCTGCGTTCAGGGTCAAACAATTGATGGGATGCGTATGAGGTCTAAAATGAGCAATGGTAGAAAGTGAGAGGTTTCTTGTAGGTGTAGTAGGGAGTTTATATATATCTCGAATCATGATCATGCCAGAAGGTATGATTTTTTTATTTAAGGTGGTGGTGGTGTTGGTGGTAGAGGAGTTACCGATGTGTGGTGGTGGTGGTGTGGTGATTGCATTGAAATCGGGTTGCGGTGAATGACTAGAGGATCTTCGGTTATGACTACTAGGACTGGAACCGTACATTTTATCGACGGATTGAGGCGTGGATTGACTTGTGTTACCGAAATAATTCGATAAAGTGTTAAAACCAAATTCGCCCAATGTCTTCATACCGCTCACGACTTCTTTGGCAATATCCTTGGCTGCTCCCTTCACATCTTTTTCTCCTTGAAGTACACCGAAACCTGTATAACTGATGCTCTTATTGGTGAGTGAGGTCATGATAGGATCTGAATTTAACACTGCAGCATGGGTGGCATAAGCAATCAAGCGAGTGCCGAGTGTAAAGATAGGACCTGTGGATGGATCATGAAATACGTCGGTCAGAGGACTGGCAAAAGGTGTATAATCCTCTGTTTTTAGGATATGAATTGATGACTTGTGACGTGATAAGCAACCCTATAAAAGAATCAAACGAAAAAAAAAAAAAAATTATTATTAAGGGGTGAGGGCGAGGCGGAGGGGGCGGAGGAGGGGATATATATATATATATTTTTAAATAATTTACCAGCACGATGACCTTGTGGTTACTTTTGATGCATGTGACGACGGTCGTATCATCCTCTTCCTCTTTAAAGTCATCGATCTCCTTGACGACCGATTGTGTTAACAAGGAATAGATCATGACATTGCTTGTGGTTGTACTTGTGTTTGTAGTGGAATTGGAACTATTTGAATCCATGCGATGATGCTTTGGCAATGGCGTATCTTTTATCATTGCATCTTTGACAACAGATTCCGAACTAGATTAAAAAGGGGTGTGGGGGAAAAGATGAATTTAGTGTGAGAAGAAAAAAAGTGACTTTCTGTTTTTTTGTTTTTTGTTTTTGTTTTTTTTACATGATGGCTAATAAAGGACCTCCCTCCGCCTTCACGATATGAATCAAAGATACGGTACCGAATTTTTCTTTATCTCTGATAGAACATAATTCATGCACGTTATCTGGGTTAGTGATATCCCATAATTGAAATCCGTCATGGTATCCAAGTAAAAGGCAAGACAAATTGTTATCCTTGTAATCTAATTTATCAAATGAAGCATACGTAATTGTATCAAATCCTTCCATATCATTGACTTCATCTTCCTCCTCCTCCTCTATTCTTCTCTGCTGCTGTTGTTGTTGTTGTTGTTGTTGTTGGTATTGTTGATAGTGTGGATCAAAAGGAGATGTCATGCTTGACTTTCTTTTAGGTAGGTTTGATGTAACATACGAGGAAAGTCTGGATATACCTGAAGAGATGGATTCAAGCGAAGTAGGATCCCTATAAAATCCAAAAAGTAATTTTTTAAAAAAAAAAAATTCATGCTGCTGCGTAAAATAAAAAATAAAAAATAAAATTATGGGCTTTCATACCTGAGAAACTTGGGTTCAGCTCGAACTCCATTGTACAAATTGGTGTCCATGTTTCTGTAAGAGTTGAAAAAAGAGTTAATCACCACTGGTATCACACACCTTTTAAGAAAAGATAAGAGTTGCCATGAAACTATTTTTTTACCTGCTTGAGTTTGTTAATGTTTATATAAAAAGGGTGCTAATGTGAAAGAAAGGGATGGTGTAATAAAAGCTTTTTTTTTTTCCCTCGTTCAAATGTGGAATAACAAAAAAAAAAAAAAAAAAGGAAAAATTAAGGAGACTGAGAAAGAGAAAAGATGGCTATTTTTTTGCATTGTGCTTGTTTGTGTGTGTGTTTCGATTGACCAATCATATGATATGTCATGAACCCAAACTGCGAGCCAATCAACATGCATATATGCTCAGGACTCATTTTTTGAGACTGAAAATATATAAAAGGGAAATTAACCTTTTTTTTTCTTTTTCTTTTTTTTCTTCTTCCATCCCCTTTCTCCATGTCGACAACTGCTGAAAAAAAGCCTCAGAGTAAGGCAAAAGAAACTGCCATTGGTTTTATTACTGGTGGTTTAGCTGCTTGTGGTGCTGTTACTTTTACAAACCCTTGGGAGGTATATATGCTAAACAAATAAATAAATAAAAGAAAAAAAAAGCTTAAAAAAAAAAAAATCCTACTAGGTAGTTAAAACACGTCTTCAATTACAAGGTGAATTAGTCCGAGCAGGAGCTCTTTCAAAGGCAGATAGACCTTATCATAACAGTTTTCAAGCATTGAAAGTAGTGCTTCAACATGAAGGCATTCGAGGAGCACAACGAGGTTTGAGCGTAGCTTATCTCTATCAAATCTGTTTGAACGGTAGTCGTCTCGGTCTCTATGAGCCCGTGCATCAAGGTATCATTCAAACATTCAACCTGACATCCGACTCGAGTATTGTAGCCTCTGGTGTATTTTCAGGTGCATTTGCCGGTGTGGTAGGTGCAGTTTTAGGCTCCCCCTTATACTTGATCAAGACTCGTCGACAAGCGTACTCGCCCGTCTTCAACAATGTAGGACATCAGCACGAGATGAATTCTGCATTCAGTACATTAGTGGGTATCTATAAAAAGGAAGGTATCCGAGGTATATATCGAGGTGCAGATGCAGCTATGGCAAGAGCAGGTGTAGGATCTGCCGTTCAAATGCCGGTCTATATGATGGGAAAGGACGTCCTGTTGAAAAAGTTTGGATTCCATGACACTTTTAGCACTCATTTTGCCACGTCAATGTTTACGGGTGTTTTGGTCTGTTTAGCAATGAACCCATTTGACGTAATTTCCACTCGTATGTATAATCAGGGCGTGGATGCTTCAGGTAAAGGATTACTCTATAAGAGTTCTCCTGATTGTTTCTTCAAGATTGTCAAGATTGAAGGTGTGCGTGGTCTTTACAAAGGCTTCTTGGCTCATTATCTTCGTATTGGGTAAACTTTTTTTTTATTTGTTTTATATATACTGCGTGATACTAACTTTCTGTCGATTTCAATAGTCCTCACACAACACTGATGTTTGTCTTTTTAGAACAATTGAAAAAGATGTATGCCAATAACTTTGCTGCTTAAAATAATCCCAAATAGACTTGATACAATCCTAATAGAAATTTAAAATATCCCCCCCTTCCTTTACCTTTTGTTGGGCCCGGGAAAACGATATAGAGTACCTTTGTTGTACAGAGCAACATGAGAGGTCTATACAGAAATGACTAAACAAAAAATTCATTGTCCGTTTAAAAGCGATCCCTTTTTTTTTTTTTTACTGGGTGTACAGATCTCGGCATGAAAAGTTGTAATTTGTCAGAGTTTTGGATCTGGTTTGTGTGACGAACATCATCTCGTGGGGATGCAAACACTGAGATTTAAAACTTAAAAAAGATTTCATTATTTTGTTAGATATTTTGTTAGATGAAATACTTTACCTATCCCCCCCCCCCCCCCTGGATGTGGATGAATCTTTTAGCAGGGAAAAGGGGATACAGTATCTTTTGGTTGTGTTTGAGACGATTGGAGTCCTAGGCATAAAAGTTCAAGAAAGAACATGCATTGGTGTGCCCCCATATCATCTTCACTTTCTCTAAACTTCATCAATTATTGTTTTTCATTTTAAAAATATGCTTCAACTATCAGTACATGCTACTATGGAAACAATGGTAGACCATGCCTACAGAGAGATATTTGCCAATGTTTCTATTCTAAGTAAAGGCATAAAAACATAATGAAATGATTAAATAATCAAATCATCCTGACATAAGCTCTTGTTTAACAGTCAGGACATAAACCAGCTCTTATTTATCATTCTATAAAACTCAATCAAACACTCTTTTTTTTCTCTCTCTCTTTTGTCTTTCTTTTCCCTTAAATTTTTTGTGTGAAAGTAATCAAGGTTAGTTAAATAATGACTTTCTTGTTCTTCAAGAAACGCTAGATTATTATCTCTTCTTCTTTTTTTTTATATATAAAAATGCAAAAGATACATCGCGATATCTCAGCTACGGCTAGTCTTTGCTATAGGATGACAATTTGTCAGGTTGACAGACTGTAGAAAGCAGGAATTTTACTGTAAACATGTGTAATTAGACTGGCTAGTCTTGGCGAGGATTGCTAGCTATGTACAGCAAGTTTAATCCCCCACCGATATTAAAATGGAACTATGCAAACACGTGAGTCTAACGGTGGTGTGATTTGGGTGTCTATAACACCAGAGATGCTTTATGTGGTTGGTGGTAAGTCTCTCGGGGCCATCTATAAACCTGTCATTGCTATCAACGAACTTTTTTTTTTGATGGAGAGCTAACAGTTCCAGTCCGAGAAATGATTTGGCTATCAAATTTCATTTGTGTTACCGCAGAAAGTTCTCGTCCTGAGCTGAAAAACAAAAGATCACAAAAGATGGTATCTTCAATAGCAGCGGAATACGCCCACCGAATCCGAATTGTAATCGCAGCAATCGAAGCATATTAAGAATTTATAACGGAAAGATGACTTCAGAAACATTCTTAAATACCTTTGCTCTTAGCGGCCAGATAATGCCTTCAAGCTGAGCAATGATACTAATTGATGTAACCAAAGGGTTTAAATACAAGCAAGACTGACAAAAGGGTTACTTTATTAAACAGGTTAGTAATATATAGATATTTAACATGGATGGAAGCGTGCGCCCTCAATGATGACAATCTATAATTGTCTTTTGCCCGTAGCCAGTGCGTCAGTTCACTTGTAATTAAATCTATTGTTTAACATTTTATGAAACCTAACAAGAAATGGGTTCCTGCCATATCGTATTAGATTTTGAACTTTCTGTAAAAGTGTAACAATAGAAAGTGTGATTGTGGAAATCATAAAAGAGGAATTATTACTGGTAGGTCAGGTATTGAGCGCGTATGTATAGTAAGAGCTAATAATAATGGTTTGGTTTGAATTACTAATGCATAATAGTTTAAAACCTTATTATGTCAAGTGCCATTATGCACATTCATAGCAGCCCTTACTCATGGTATTCACATCCTTTTTTTTTATTATTATCGCTCTGACTAACATATCATGGATGAAAAGTACTTTATATATTATGTCCCAACTCAGTATATGAATCTTTATTGTTTGCGCTTTTGTTTTAAAGTTGGGCAACAATTAAACAGTTTGAAATCATTGATATATTTAATCACTCATAATTATTGAACCCTCATTTTGATAATAAAAAAAACGGTGAAGTCTATATATACGTCTAGAAACAGGTTGAGATAATTAGGTATGTGAATATCTAGACTTAGACGTCGGTATGTGTAGACTTATTACCTTGGGCAGACCTTGCAAAAAAAAAAAAAAAAAATGCGGAGGTGCTGCTTTAGAAAAAAAAGTGTCCAATAGGCAATATGGCCAATAAAAAGCATGCATCTGATTACGCTTTAAATTTCAAAATTAGCAACGACGGAGAAACAATGGCGCAATTTAATTCTGTTTTTAGTGGTTTGACTCGAATTATAGATGTAAAAAGAAAAAAAAAAAATCGACATAATTTTTTTCTTGTTCCTTATTCCTCTCTACCTAACAGAAAGAATAAAAAATGTTTGCTTCTGTAGCTTTAGTAGCATCGCTTGTAAAGAGTAAAGCTTTCCCTGTCAATAATACTCCTGTTGTAGACAGAGAGATCAAGATTTCACCTGAACTTGTGCAAGCTGTCACCGCCGAATTAAAGAAGGAAATCGATGCTGCTTCCACTGCTGGCAGTCAAAGCACCATTGTAGATGAAGACGCATCTATTTTATTACAGTCCAGAGTCAAGAATGCAATCGAATACCTCTTGACTTCAACCAGCCAAGATTCTCAAGTGCGTCTTGTCGATGCCAATCATGCTGTGGATTATGTCACTTACGGCCTTTCTGATATTGTCTTTGTGTACCCCGGTGCATCCACTTCCGGTTATCTCGGTCAAGAGTTATCTGCATGGGCTCAACACTCAATTCGTAACGCTCATCAAGATCTTGTCAAGGTTGTTCAAATGGAAACCCGTGCTGGTGCTCTTGGTGCCGTTCAAGGTGCTCTTGCTGATTCTCCTCACAAGAACTTGACCGTCTTGGCTTCTTCTCAAGCCTTGTTATCTATGATCCCCAACTTGCATCTTTTGGCTTCTCAACGTCAACCTGTTGTCTTCCATGTTGCTGCTCAATCGGTCGATCAAGATTTAGTTGCTTCTGCCAACGTTGACGCTGTCCTTGCTGCTCGTAATACCGGTGCTATCTTGTTGTCTTCTTCTAATGCTCAAGAGGCTCATGATATTGCGATTGTCTCTCATTTACTTGCTCGCTCTGTCGGTTTACCCGTCATTCATTTCTTCAACGGTGTTACCGCCTCCAAGGAAATCGAAAAGGTAAACTTGACATCTTTTGCTCAACTTGATAAATTAGCTGGTTCTGTTCCCACCACCATTGCTTCCTATACCGAATCTTATCAAGTAGCCAAAAATATCCTCAGCCAACTCAACTACAAGCCTTTTGAATATACCGGTGCTGCTGATGCCGAAACTGTCTTGGTCACCTTGAGTGCTTCCAACCGCCCTGTTGAACAAGCTGTTTCTCGTGCTGCCTCTTTCTTAAAGGCCAGCGTCGGACTTTTAAGTGTTCGCATCGTGCGTCCTTGGTCCGAATCTGATTTCATCAGTGCTTTACCCAAATCGGTTCGTCGTGTCATTGTTTTGGAAGAAGGTGCTGGATTATATGCTTTCAATGGTCCTCTTTACTTGGATATTGCTGCTTCTATCCGTTTCGGTTCCATTGCTCGTGATCAACGTCCTCGTTTGGTCAGTGCCCAAGCCACTGATTTCTCTCATCTTCATGCCACACATATTCCTTCTCTCTTAACAGAAGCTGCCAATGAAAGTTTCATTAACCTTGCTGCTGAACCGTTCAGCGTCTCTGTTTCTGATGAAACTCTTGCCCTTGAGAAGAGTGATGCTGCTTACAGTGCTATTTTCTGGGATGTGGAACAAGATGGTACTGCTACTGCTGCTATTCATGATGCTCACTTGGTTCATGCTATCCAACCTCAAGCTCAAGTTTCTGCTCGTGTGACTCGTGATGCTTATCGTGTTGGTGGAGCTGTGACTCATACTCAATTGACTACAGGTGCCACTTCCGGTCCTCACAAGTTCATTGGTATCCATAACGTGGGTGTGATTGGGGAGTATAACACTTTGGCTAACGCTGCCAAGAATGTGACCGTTGTTCTTCATGGTCCTTGGAAGCATGGTGATGAAATTGAAGGTGTCTTATCCAACGAGTTTAAGTTTGAGTTAACCGAATTAAATGCCAAGCTCTATACCATTGATGCTGCTCGTATTGCTCAAGAGTTGGGTTTGAACATCAAGTCTACACATCTTATTTGGGAGGCTGTGTTCTTGATCTTGGGTCAAAAGGTTGCTCAAGCCGATCAACATCTTGCTCGTCTCTATCAAGAATTGGAGGTCTCCAAGGATGCTGAAGTCAAGCACACATTGGCTTCCTTAACCAAGGATATCGTCACCTCTGTTACCAATGAATTGACTCCTGTCGAATTATTGCCTCCTTGGACTATTCTTGAACTTTCTGATAACGTCTTGCCTGCTTTGCCTGTGGATCGTTTGGTCGGTGCTGAAGTTGAAGAAGAGGAAGAGGCTCAAGTTGTTGGAGAGGATGAAGAGGGTGCTGGTGCAGAATCTGGAAAATGGCACAAGGCTGCTTGGCAATTAATGTTCAACGAAGCTTACAAGACCGAGAGTGCTGTTCGTCCTGATTTACATGAATCTACCTATGTTATTCGTGTTGGTGAGAACAGACGTTTGACTCCCGATTCTTATGATCGTAACGTTTTCCATATCGAATTTGACACCACCAACTCCAATCTCAAGTACGAGCTTGGTGATGCTCTTGGTGTTCATGGTCACAACGATTATACCGAGGTAGAAGAATTCTTGCAATGGTATGGTTTGAACGGTAAGGATGTTGTCTCTGTTAACCATGGTGAAGATGGTCAAGAAGTCAGATCCGTTTTCCAACTTTTCTCTCAAACTTTGGATATCTTTGGTCGTCCCTCCAAGAAGTTCTATGAGAGCCTCGCTGAATTCGCTACTGACCCCAAGGAAAAGGAACAATTATTGTTCTTGGTCTCTCCTGAAGGTAAAGAGGATTTCAAGAAGCGCGTGGATGACACTGTCACTTATGAAGATCTCTTGCGTGAATTCACCTCTGCCAAGCCCTCTGTTGAAGCTCTCGCTAGTATCATTGCCCCCATCAAGCCTCGTCATTACTCTATTGCTTCATCTCAAAAGATGTTCAACAATTCTGTTCATTTATTGATTGTTGCTGTCGAATGGAAGAACGCTAACGGTAAGGCTCGTTTCGGTCAATGTACTCGTTACATGACTAGCTTGAAGGTGGGTGACAATGTGACCGTCTCCATCAAGCCCTCCGTCATGAAGTTGCCTCCTCTTGATTCTCAACCTGTCATCATGGCTGGTCTTGGTACCGGTATGGCTCCCTTCCGTGCCTTCATTCAAGAACGTTACATGGCCAAGGCTGCTGGTAAGGATATCGGTCCTGTTGTGCTCTACTTTGGTTCTCGTAACAGATCTATGGAGTACCTCTATGGTGAAGAATTAGAGGCTTACCATGCTGATGGTGTTCTTTCTCACATGGGTCTTGCTTTCTCTCGTGATCAAAAGGAAAAGGTCTATATCCAACACAAGATGATGGAAGATGCTGAGTTATTGAACGAGTATTTGATGAAGCAAAATGGTCATTTCTATCTCTGTGGTCCTACATGGCCTGTACCTGATGTCAAGGATGCTGTTGTCCATGGTCTTACCAAGTACAGTGGTATCACTGCTGCCAGAGCTTCTGAGCTTATTGAAGAGTGGAAGGAGAAGGAATCTTATATCCTTGAAGTTTATTAAATTCATAATAAAATCATCATCATTTTTAGACTATCATCTTTTCTTTTTTTTTTAATATACATACTTTTCAATATATTTTATAAATAATAGGTGTATGACAACGATAGGCCATAATGTTAGGCTTTTATGAAATGTATTTTCAGTTTGACAGGTCGGATAAAAAATATCAATGCGACTGTTTGAAAAAAAAAAAAAAAAAAAAAAAAAAAAAAAAAAAAAAAAAAAAAGGAAATGTGATCGATTTTGTGTTTCTTATTATTTAAGTTACAATATAGACTGTTCATTCTGATAAAGCTTTATATCGATGTATATATCTTATCACCTAAGCGGCCATAAGAGAGTCTTAATGACTAGATCGAAAAGGCAAATCGTATTTCATGCAAGCATGTCAAGCTGTTACATTAAAATACTTTTCCTAGTTTTCGGTGGGACATCAAAATTTTAAAGCATGCACATGATTTACGTTCATAATTTATTAATCAGCGTTTGTCATAAAATTTTATACCTTAAATATATACATTTCCTATATCTAGTATAAAAGTGTTGAAATCTATTTCGGATGTAACTTAAAAAGATTCTGTGTAGTAGACCTCCTCACTGCTGATCTTTCAAACGCATCAACCATTACACGAATGTAAAGAGATATTTTGAATTTAAATGACAGATACTTTATTATTTGTAAGGAGAATCTATGTATTAAGTATCCTAGTTCTTTCAAAATAAATCCATTTTTAGCTTTAGATATTTGATATAGAATCTACTACGGCAATAAAAACAAATAAAAAAAAGGCTCATCTTTAGTTTATTGAAAGGGACAATGTTATTTTACGATAGGGACTTAAATATTACCATCATGGTTCTATTGCCAAGTTGAGTTGATGTTATACAGAAACCATCCATCTAACCCTTTTTCCCGCACATTACAATTACTGGGGTTTTTAGTTGAATCGGTTATAATTTTAAATAGAATATAATTATACGATACTTCAAATATAAATCTATCAATACAGATGCAAAATAGAATATCGTGTTGAAATTTTGAGAGCACTTGAAATGATATGTGAACTTTATGAATGAAGATTATTTTTGCATCAACTAATGAATACACAGCATTCATCAAACGTAATACATCAGCTTCCTGTATGAATATTTGAAGTAAAAAATACCTGATTAGGATATAAATACTTGCTTGTGATATAAATAGGTAAAATAAAAATTCTATACCGTTCTTTGCGTCAGACAAACAAGTATCAATTGATAATCACAAGTTCATCGAGGGGAAAAAAAACACTTTTTATCCAGTACCAGTCATAATACGGTCTAGATCAGCAGCAATATGTACTATGAGCTTTTATTGCTGTAAACTATTTAAATTTCGGAAAGTCTCGCAACGAAGTTGATCTACTTAACTGACAAAATAGTTCCTAAAATAAATAAAAGATGCTCATTAGACTATTAGTACACAAATGCATCTTCAAATTTAAAGTTATTATTTAGCATTAGTTCATTATTATTAGCTTAACAGTTACAATTGCAGCACGAATAAATCTTATGTTGGGACCTTAATCATAAGTAAAATTTACTAAATGAAGTTTACTTATAAATATTCAGTTTGATTCAGAAAAACCATCTAAATTGTCAAAAAAAACTAAATTATGAAAGTGAGGGCAATTATACTTTGAGTAATCAAAATCAGATACATTTTGTATGAAATAATGGCTATGCTATAAATTATATTGTAACTGTCCAAACCGTTGATTATTAATCACTATATCGCTCATAATCTGGGGTAATATTACAACATTTGGATTAAGGTTCTTTTTCAATAAATGTATTGTTTCAGAAATTTGTGTGACTCGAACGACAGCAACTGATTGCTTAACTGTTTATTAAAAGTACAATTGGGATTAGTGCGCCCAGCGCAACGATGCAAAAATTTGAGTCAAAGGTAACTTTTTTCATGAAGAATATTGATACGTGTTTTGCAATCATGGGGATCGATTTTTAAAATAACAATACTTCCTATTTCAGCATCTTTTTCCTTGGAATCAACGACTTGGAATATAGATTCCTTGTGTGCTTTTACCAATTGACTGCCGGACACATAGCTTAGTCGCGCCTTCATGATATATTGGCTTAGTAACCACTCCACAGATATAACTCTACTCTCTGGCGCGATCCTCAAAGAGACCATACTTGCTAACCACAAAACCAAGGTAAAACCAGCGAGCATCCAAAATGGCCATCTCCATAATATCCGATAAGTATAGAAATGAAACGGCTGGAAATAAGTTTGAAATGTTGTATAAAAAATTGGGTGCACCACGCCGACGTCCGCGTCCATGTTATTGTAATCGCATAGAATTCTAGCAGCAACTGTTCCTAGGATCTCCAGTCTACTCGTAATAACTTGCTTGTTTTCTCCAGGAATATGCTTTTCTACCGAGTATATTTCCGTCCACTCGCCTCCCGCTATCCAAGTCATTAATGAATTTCGGTAAATAGAACCCTCGGGTTGCGTGATATTAAACATTTTGTAAAGCAAACTAACAAAGCCTCCATTATAATCCTCTTTACTATACGAGGTGATATTTGATACCCGTTTTGTATGGCATAATGTCCCATTACACTTTGTCAATGCAGTCGCATGTCCCAGATGGATTGAACAGTCTATAGAGTTTTTCGGAAGTGATTCACCGTAATTATCTTGATATGGCATGGTCATAGATCCAGCCCAAGATAATTCGTATAGCGGAGATATAGATGATGGAACTCCTAAGATTAATGGCCCTGTGCGTTTATAATTATTCTTGTACTTTATTAATCTGCAGGATACATTGGCATATGGCAATTCACGTCGGAATATGGATTCTCCGATCAGACCTGCAGGTATACTTCGGTCATAGTATTCATTTGTATACGAATTATTTGGATTTCTAATGCTATTAAAAGTATCCATCGCTAGAGTAGGAAAGACTCCATGTATCATGGAGCTTGAATTGGTTGCTATACATGTTGAATAATTCCGTACGGAGAAAGAGGCAGTTTCATTTCCCGATGATACATAGCTCATACCCATGGACATAAAAGTAAGCTGTTTGATAAGCGAACCGATGATTAAAATCAAGATAATCAGAAGGATACTCGACCACTTCTTTCCAGTAATAAGCATAGGAAGATGCCCAGGAGAGTGACCACCTATCACGGTAACAAGATGTGAAAAATGGGCTCCTCGATGTCTGATAACGGTATATGAAATGCTGGAAATTGTTTTCATAAGTGTTGCCAAGACACACCCACTAATAACCGTAGATATAAGAGAGACGACGATCTTTGATTTAAAAGACTGGGCCTCATTTGCTGTATCCCCTGTCCAAGTCCAAAAACGCTCTTGTTCTGTATGTAAAAAACAAAATATAATTCCAATGACAGGTATAATTGACCAAACATAGAAATCAAATGTCCCAATAGATCCAGGTTTATCTTCTAGTGTAAAATATGATTCAACGGATTCCAGATCAGAGCCCTTTTCGAATTCGTGTTTATCTTCTGCGGCAAATGTCATAACAGAAATAATTTACGGGTGCTTACAAAGAAAAAACATTTAAAAAAGCATTTTCTATTTATTTAATCAGATAATAGGTGTCACATCATAATGTTATTTCTCTTTCGCTCACATTTTATTGATAAGCGTGGGCAATAAAAATACAAATCCTTTTATAGACATATTTAAATATGGTTTGGGTATTTCGGTTATATTGGTATAAAATCAGTTATTTCCAGGGAAAAGTAGTGATCTTTCTGTATCACATCTTATTGTTCAAACTACTGCTGGGTTTTGAGGCTTTTTGTTGTAACGAGATATCTGTTAAATTTGTACTACTTACGGCTTTTATCATATATGTACTTTAATTTGTTTCTTTTGAGATAATCCCTTTTGGAAAGTAAACCGACGGGATTAACTAATCCCTGTTTATACACATATAAAGGAGAGTCCTACAGTATCCAAAAAAAAAAAAAAAAAAAAAAAAAAAAAACAGAATACTGGTTCATCAAACTGACATTTTCTAGCATGTGGATTAGATTGTAAGAACGTAATCCTAGTATTGGGTATAATTATTAAATACCAAGTCGGTGTAATGTTATTCCGCACGTAATGAACGTTTACGATGCAACAATATTCCGGTGGGAAGTAACATCACACAATACCCTCGCATCTTAATACAAAAATTTATCACGCAACATTTTTGAAATTGAATGAAATGTATACAACTTAAAATCTCTCGGTAGTAGGACCATTTGTTCACGCTCATAAACATGCTTGATATGATGGTTGACTGTTTTCAGATGTTCGTTCTCGCTACATGTTGTAGTGAATATACATATTACAATAAAAATAGACTACTTGTTAATATACAGCTTTTAAACAAAGAAATGCATTCAACAAAGTCACCCGTTATTAAAACAAACACTTATCAAACAAGAGATCTCTCGTTTTGATATCTTTAATATCAATGACGGTTCGTAAATAGTATTGCAGTAAGTGCGAAGTATAAGGGCTAAATCATTGACGCCTTAGTAGCCATTTCTCCCAGGACAGCGTGGGAATTTATGAAAAAAAGCCACTCTTATAAGAGGACTTAATATCCATGAATAGATATTTACATGGAGGCTTATATTAGCTTATATTATTTTTAAACATAAAAAACGATAAGAATATTGGTAGCCGTTTTTCGTATTTTGCTTTGTGAAATAAATGGCCCGCCTTGCCTTATAAAAAAGAATCTATTTTTCTTAAACGGTATACTCATTGGGATTTTGCGTTTTTTTTCAATTAGTCCCTTCCCCCTCAATGTAATAATTCAAAAAAAAAAAAAAAAAAAAAAAAAAAAAAAAGTTGAATATCAGCACTATAAAACGAAGTCCTCTTTTGGTTCAAATATTGTACGACAATGCAAAACAGTTTAAAATCGATTGAACAATAACTTTATTTCGCTTTATCTCTCACTATCTAGTATATCCTACAACATCTAGATCAACTGGTGATTCTAAAAAAGATATTGTTTTAGATATTTAAACGACACAAACATAATAAAACTGATTTAATTTCATTTTTTATTAACTGCTTGATATATCATCGTTTTTAATGCATCCAGCGCAACGATACAAAAAAAAAATGAGCTATTGATATCTCTTCTTATGAAGAATTCTGACATGTGATTTGGAACCATAGGGATCTATCTTTGAAATAACAATACTTCCTACTTCAGCATCTTCCTTTGAATCAACGACTTGGAATATAGATCCCTTGTGTGCTTTTACCAGCTGACTACCAGATACGTAGCCTAGTCGCTCCTTCATAATATATTGGCTAAGTAACCATTCCACAGATATAACCCTACTCTCAGGCGTAATCCTCAAAGAGACCATACTTGCTAACCATAAAACCAAGATAAAACCAGCGAGCATCCAGAATGGCCATTTCCATAGTATATGATAAGTGTAATATTGAAAAGGTTGAAAATAAGTTTGAAATGATGTTAGAAGAACTAGTTTCTCTTTTGATCTATCTTTGTTATTATAATCGCATAGAATTCGAGCAGCAACTGTTCCTAAAATTTCAAGTCTACTCGTAATCACTTGTTTATTTTCTCCAGGAATATATTCATCCGTTCCGTATATTTTAGTCCAGTCACCTCCCGCTACCCAAACCACTAATGAATTTCGGACAGCAGTTCCATAGGGTTGTGTGATATTAAACATTTTGTAGAGTAGATCAACAAATCCACCATTAACCTGTTCTTTATCATACGGAGTAATTTTAGATGTACGTTTCGTATGGCAAAGTGTACGATTACATGATGTAACCGCCGTCGCATGCCCCAAATCAATTGTACAGTTTATATAGTTTTCTGGCATTATATAAGTGTAGTTATCTTGATACGGTATGCTTATGTGTCCAGCCCAAGACAACGCAAGTAATGAATTTTCTGACGATGGGACCATTGAAATCATAGGCTTTGAGTGTTCAAAATTGGGTTGGGTCTTGACAATTTTACAGGATACATTGGAATAAGGTAATTCGCGCTGGAATTTAGATTCTCCAATCAGGCCTGTAGGTATACTTCGGTCATAGTATTCATTTGTATACGAAGTGTTTGGATTTCTAAGACTATTAAGAGCATCCAAAGCCAAAATTGGAAAGAATCCATTCACTGCATCTGTGATGTTTGTTGCTTCACACGTTGAATAGTTTCGTACGGAGAAAGACGCCGTTTCATTTCCTGATGACACATAGCTCACACCCATGGATATAAAAGTAAGCTGCTTAATAACTGCACCAATAATCAGGATCAAGATGATCAGAATGATACTTATCCATCTCTTTCCAGTAATAAGCATAGGAAGATGCCCAGGCGAGTGACCACCGATCACGGTAACAAGATGCGAAAAATGGGCTCCTTGATGTCTGATAACGGTATATGAGATGCTGGAAACGGTCTTCATAAGTGTTGCCAATACACACCCACTAATAACCGTAGATATAACAGAGACAACGACCTTTGATTCAAAAGACTGGGCCTCGTTTGCTGTATCCCCTGTCCAAGTCCAAAAACGCTCTTGTTCTGTATGTATAAAACAAAATATAATTCCAATGACAGGTATAATTGACCAAATATAGAAATCAAAGGTCCCAATAGATCCAGGTTTATCTTCAAGTGTAGAAGACGATTCAACGGACTCCAGATCAGAGTCCTTTTCGAATTCGTGTTTATCTTCTGCAGCAAATGTCATAACAGAAATGATTTGCGGGTGCTTACAAAGAAAAAAACGTTTACAAAGACCTTTTTTATATATATAATCAGATAATAATAGGTGTCACATTATAATGTTATATCTCTTTCGCTCACGTTTTATTGATAAGCGTGAGTAATAAGAATACATATCCTTTTATAGACAAATTTTAAATTTGGTTTGGGTATTTCGCTTATATGGTACAAAATCAATTATTTTCAGGGCAAAGTATTGATCTTTCTGTATCACCTCTTATTGTTCAAACTACTGCTGAATTTTGAGGCGTTTTTGTTGTAACGAGCTATCTGTTGAAATTTGTGCTACTTACGGTTTTTATCCTAAATATATTTTAATTTGTTTCTTTTGAGATATTTTCTTTCAGAAAGTAAATCGACAAGATTACCTAATCACCCTGTTTATACACATATGAATGGGAGTCCTACAATATCCAAAAAAAAAAAACTTAGGGTACTGATTCATCAGACTGACATTTTATAACACGTGGATTATATTGTTAGAACGTAATCCGAGTATTGGGTATTATTATTTAAATGCCAAGTCGGTGTAATGTTATTCCGCACGTAAGGAACGTTTGATGCAACAATATTCCGGTGGGAAGTAACATCACACAATACCCCTCGCATCTTAGTACAAAAATTTATCACGCAACATTTTTTGGTATTTGGAATGAAATGTATAAAACTTAAAATCTTTTGGCAGTAGGACAGTTTGTTCGCGTTCATAAACATGCTTAAAATGATGATTGACTGTTTTCAGATTTACGTTCTCGCTACATGTTGTGGTGAATAGATATATTCCGATAACAACAGACTACTAGTTAATATACAGCTTTTAAACAAAGAAATGCATTCAACAAAGTCACACATTATTAAAACAGACACTTACCAAACAAAAGATCTCTCGCTTTAATATCTTTAATATCACTGTTCGTAAATAGTATTGCAGTAAGTACGAAGTGTAAAGGCTACAAGTAAGTTAGCATTGACGTCTGAGTAGCCATTTCTCCCAGGTCAGCGTGGGAAATTATAAAAAAAACGCCACGCTCTCAAGAGGACATAATACCCATGAATAGATAATTACTTGGAGGCTTGTATTGGTCTTTATTATTTTTAAACATAAAAAACGATAAGAATATTGGTAGTCGTTTTTCGTATTTTGCTTTGTGGAACACATGGTCCGCCTTACCTTATTAAAAAAAATCATTTTTCTTAAACGATATATTTATTGAGGTTTCCGTTTTATTCAATTGACCCCCCCCCCCTCCGATGTAATAATTCAAAAAAAAAACTTTGAACATCAACAATACTAAACGAAGTTCTCTTTCGGTTTAAATATTGTACGACAATGCAAAACAGTTAAAAATCAATTGAACAATAACTTTATTTCGCTTTATCTCTCACTATCTAGTGTATCCTACAATATCTAAATTGACTGGGGATTTTAAAATAATATTGCTTTCTATATTCACGCGACACAAACAGAATAAAACTGATTTTTTATTTTATTTTTTTATTAACTGCTTAATATATCATCGTTTTTAATGCATCCAGCGCAACGATACAAAAAAATGAGCTATTGATACCTCTTCTTATGAAGGATATTGATACGTGATTTGGAATCATAGGGATCTATCTTTGAAATAACAATACTTCCTACTTCAGCATCTTCCTTTGAATCAACGACTTGGAATATTGATCCCTTGTGTGCTTTTACTAACTGACTACCGGATACATAGCTTAATCGTTCCCTCATAAGATATTGACTGAGTAACCATTCCACAGATATGACCCTACTCTCGGGCGTGATTCTCAAAGAGACCATACTTGCTAACCATAAAACCAAGATAAAACCAGCGAGCATCCAGAATGGCCATCTCCATAATATACCATAAATATAGTAATGAAACGGCTGGAAATAAGTTTGAATTGTTGTGTAATAAATGGGGCGCTCGTCGTACACGGACACGTCCATGTTATTGTAATCGCATAAAATTCTAGCAGCAACTGTTCCTAAGATCTCCAGTCTACTCGTAATAACTTGCTTGTTTTCTCCAGGAATACGCTTTTCCATCGCGTATATATCAGTCCATTCGCCTCCTGCTATCCAAGTCATTAATGAATTTCGGTAAGTAGAACCCCCGGGTTGCGTGATATTAAACATTTTGTAAAGCAAACTAACAAAGCCTCCGTTATAATCTCCTTTACTATACGAAGTAATGTTTGATACCCGTTCTGTATGACATAATGTCTTATTACACTTTGTCAATGCAGTCGCATGTCCCAGATAGATTGAGCAGTTTATAGAATTTTTCGGAAATGCTGTACCGTAATAGTCCTGATATGGCATGGTCATAGATCCAGCCCAGGATAATTCGTATAGCGGAGATATAGATGTTGGAACTCCTAAGATTAAAGGCCCTGTGCGGTTATAATTATTCTTGTATTTTAATAATCTGCAGGATACATTGGCATATGGTAATTCACGTTGAAATATGGATTCTCCGATCAGACCTGCAGGTATACTTCGGTCATAGTATTCATTTGTATACGAAGTATTTGGATTTCTAACACTATTAATAGTATCCATCGCTAAAGTAGGAAAGATTCCATATATCTTGGTGCTTGAATTGGTTGCTATACATGTTGAATAATTCCGTACGGAGAAAGAGGCAGTTTCATTTCCTGATGACACATAGCTCACACCCATAGATATAAAAGTGAGCTGCTTAATAACTGCACCAATGATTAGAATCATGATAATCAATATGATGCTTAACCACCTCTTTCCAGCAATAAGCATAGGAAGATGTCCAGGCGAGTGACCACCAATTACTGTAACAAGATGAGGAAAATGGGCACCTTGGTACTTGATAACTGTATATGAAATGCTGGAAATTGTCTTCGTAAGTGTTGCCAAAACACACCCACTGATAACAGTAGATATAATAGAGACAACGACCTTTGATTTAAGAGATTGAGCTTCACTTGCTGTATCCCCCTTCCAAGTCCAGAGGTGTTCTTGTTCCGAATGTATAAAACAAAATATGATTCCAATGGCAGGTATGATGGTCCAAATATAGAAATCCAAGGTTCCAATGGATCCAGATTCATCTTCCAATGTTGAAGACGATTCGACAGATTTCAGATCAGCATCCTTCTCAAAGTCTTGCTTATCTTCGGAAACAGATGTCATTATAAAAAGAATTTACGAGTGCTTACAAAGACAAGGAACTTACAAAGATTTTATCCTTATATATTTAAATCAGATAATATGGTGCCACATCATTTATACTTTATATCTATTGTACTCACGTTTTATTAATCAGCGTTAGTAATAAAGGTATGTACTGCTCACTATGGACGTATTCTATATGCGGTTTAAGTGTTTGTTTTAAGATCAATTACGTTCAAGGCAATAAAAAATTGACTGTGTACGAAGTACTGACCTCTGTGTCACCATTGATTGTTTCCATCACTGCTGACTTTCTGAGGCGTTTTGACTACGTTGTGAAATTTATTGGGGGTTTGTATTACTTCTTTTTATTCCAAAATGTTCTTCTTCTTTTCCTTTGAGAATACTCACAGTCGGGATAAAAAAAAAATTAAAAAAAAAAAACCAATGGGGCGACATCATTTCTCAATTATCTTACTTTTTGACAGATGGGCGAGACAGTCTTTTAAAATGAATTACACTGATATTTCACAGCTTAAAAAAACCATATGGGTCAGATAGTAAGAACATAATCCAGGTATTGGGAGACAATTGTGTAATAAACGCCAAATCGGTTTAATTTTACTCCGTACAGAGCGAGCCATTTTGGAAACACTCTCTCGTCCTAAACTTTCTATCACGTTGTATGTCTATTTTCGAAAAGATAACGATAACAATGAAAAAAAAAAATTAAAAAAATGTTACTAGAGATCTTTGCGATGTTTGACCAAGCCTTCTTTATCGGGACTGACCATTTTTGGTACAAATTACATGTAAACGCTAGGACTCTTTCTTTAAGTCGTACTTTATGCACAATCAAACCATATCAAACATTATAATAATCTCTTGCGCTCTTAAAGTAACAGGTTCATTACAGCACTGAGTGTTAAGTTAGATAGAATGGTAGTATGTAACCAATCATCAATACTAACGTAGACAACCTTGATTGTGTAAATTAACGTGGGAGCATGTTAAAAAGGCAAATACGCAATCAGTCACCCATTCCCCCAGATAGATTATGTTTTACACATGGTCATGTGGATAGAAGCTTCTAGGTGTTTACTTATTCCCTTAAATATTTTCAGGGAAACCAGAAAGAATCACCTAAATCTTTGTCCATTTGGCCGTTAATAAGTATGCAAACAGAAAAAATAAGTGTTCAAATTAGCCCAGAGGTTTTTTCAAAAAAAAAAAATTAGAAAATACATCTGTTACGGAACGCAAGCTTTGTTTGTTTAATTTTTTTTTATATATATATACCTGAGGAATTGAGCACAAAAAGGATTCTTCATCTGTTTCCTTATTTATAATTGTCCTCGACTTCTGCAGCCCCGATCAGTCTTACATTTCAATCCATTGATCATCGAGGATATAACTTTATTTCCTCGCAACAATATCTACGATCTAATTTTGTGCCTGTTCAATTTAGGAACATCTTCGCTACCTTCAACTACTTTTGAAGAAAGTACTCCTGTACATGTCAATTTGTTACTTTTAGCTCGATTCTTTGATAGAATTAATCTCTATCGAATACGAAAAGGGCACGTTGGCACTTAACTATGTTAATAAAAGAAAAAATGTTGCAATAAAATATATTCAGCATCACACACAATTACATACAATATATGTAAATGCTGATTTTATGAGAGATATGTAATCACACTTGTTTTTAAAAGTATTGACACTTATCATCTCAAAAACCAAAAATAGCCAAAAAAAAAAAAAAAAAAAAAAAAAAAAAAAAAAAAAAAAAAAAAAAAAAAACTTAGAGTACTGATTCATCAGACTGACATTTTATAACACGTGGGTTAGATTGTAGGAACGAAATCCGAGTATTGGGTATCATTATTTGAATGCCAAGTCGGTGAAATATTATTCCGCACTTAATAAACGTTTACGATGCAACAATATTCCGGTGGGAAGTAACATCACACAATACCCCCCGCATCTTAATACAAAAATTTATCACGCAACATTCTTCGAAGTGGAATGAAATGTATTAAACTTGAAATCTCTCGGTAGTAGGACCATTTTTTCACGCTCATAAACTTGCTTGAAATAATGATTGACTGTTTCCAACTGTACTGGTTCTCACTACATGTCCTAGTATATAAATATATTACAATAAAAATAGACTGCTCGTTAATATACAGCTTTTAAACAAAGAAATGCATTTGACAAAGTCACCCGTTATAAAAACAAACACTTATCAAACAAGAGATCTCTCGTTTTGATATCTTTAATATCAATGACGGTTCGTAAATAGTATTGCAGTAAGTGCGAAGTATAAGGGCTAAATCATTGACGCCTTAGTAGCCATTTCTCCCAGGACAGCGTGGGAATTCATGAAAAAAAGCCACTCTTATAAGAGGACTTAATATCCATGAATAGATATTTACATGGAGGCTTATATTAGCTTATATTATTTTTAAACATAAAAAACGATAAGAATATTGGTAGCCGTTTTTCGTATTTTGCTTTGTGAAATAAATGGTTCGCCTTGCCTTATAAAAAAGAATCTATTTTTCTTAAACGGTATACTTATTGGGATTTTGCGTTTTTTTTCAATTAGTCCCTTCCCCCTCAATGTAATAATTCAAAAAAAAAAAAAAAAAAAAAAAAAAAAAAAAAAAAAAAAAAAGTTGAATATCAGCACTATAAAACGAAGTCCTCTTTTGGTTCAAATATTGTACGACAATGCAAAACAGTTTAAAATCGATTGAACAATAACTTTATTTCGCTTTATCTCTCACTATCTAGTGCATCCTACAATATCTGGATTAACTGGGGATTCTAAAAAAAAATTGTTTTCTATATTCACGCGACACAAACAGAATAAAACTGATCTTTTATTCTATTTTTTATTAACTGCTTAATATATCATCGTTTTTAATGCATCCAGCGCAACGATACAAAAAAAAAATGAGCTATCGATATCTCTTCTTATGAAGAATTTTGACATGTGATTTGGAACCATAGGGATCTATCTTTGAAATAACAATACTTCCTACTTCAGCATCTTCCTTTGAATCAACTACTTGAAATATAGATCCCTTGTGTGCTTTTACTAACTGACTACCGGATACATAGCTTAATCGTTCCCTCATAAGATATTGACTGAGTAACCACTCCACAGATATGACCCTACTCTCCGGCGTGATTCTCAAAGAGACCATACTTGCTAACCATAAAACCAAGATAAAACCAGCGAGCATCCAGAATGGCCATCTCCATAATATACCATAAATATAGTAATGAAACGGCTGGAAATAAGTTTGAATTGTTGTGTAAGAAATGGGAGGATTCTCGTCCACGTCCACATCCATGTTATTGTAATCGCATAAAATTCTAGCAGCAACTGTTCCTAAGATCTCCAGTCTACTCGTAATAACTTGCTTGTTTTCTCCAGGAATAAACATATTTGTCAGGTAAATTTCGGTCCACTCGCCTCCCGCTATCCAAGTCATTAATGAATTTCGGTAAGTAGACCCCCCAGGTTGCGTGATATTAAACATTTTGTAAAGAAGACTGACAAAGCCTCCGTTATAATCTTCTTTACTATACGAAGTAATGTTTGATATCCGTTCTGTATGGCATAATGTTCTATTACACTTTGTCAATGCAGTCGCATGTCCCAGATAGATTGAACAGTTTATAGAATTTTTCGGTAATGTTTCACCGTAATAGTCTTGATATGGCATGGTCATAGATCCAGCCCAGGATAAGTCGTATAGCGGAGATATAGATGATGGGACTCCTAAGATTAAAGGCCCTGTGCGATTATAATTATTCTTGTACTTTATCAATCTGCAGGATACATTGGCATATGGCAACTCACGTTGAAAAATAGATTCTCCAATCATGCCTGCAGGTATACTTCGGTCATAGTATTCATTTGTGTACGAAGTATTTGGATTTCTAATACTATTAAAAGTATCCATCGCAAATGTAGGAAAGAGTCCATATATCCTGGAGCTTGAATTGGTTGCTGCACATGTTGAATAATTCCGTACAGAGAAAGAAGCAGTTTCATTTCCTGATGACACATAGCTCACACCCATGGATATAAAAGTGAGCTGCTTAATAACTGCACCAATGATTAGAATCATGATAATCAATATGATGCTTAACCACCTCTTTCCAGCAATAAGCATAGGAAGATGTCCAGGCGAGTGGCCACCAATTACTGTTACAAGATGAGGAAAATGGGCACCTTGGTACTTGATAACCGTATACGAAATGCTGGAAATGGTCTTCATAAGTGTTGCCAAAACACACCCACTGATAACCGTAGATATAATAGAGACAACGACCTTTGATTTAAGAGATTGAGCTTCACTTGCTGTATCCCCCTTCCAAGTCCAGAGGCGTTCTTGCTCCGAATGTATGAAACAGAATACGATGCCAATGGCAGGTATGATTGTCCAAATATAGAAATCAAAGGTTCCAATGGATCCAATTTCATCTTCCAATGTTGAAGACGATTCGACGGATTCCAGATCAGCATCCTTCTCAAAGTCCTGCTTATCTTCTGAAACAGATGTCATTATAAAAAGAATTTACGAGTGCTTGCAAAGACAAGGAACCTACAAAGATTTTATCCTTATATATTTAAATCAGATAATATGGTACCACATCATATACTTTATATCTATTGCACTCACGCTTTATTAATCAGCGTTAGTAATAAAGGTATGTACTGCTCACTATGGACGTATTCTATATGTGGTTTAAGTGTTTGTTTTAAGATCAATTACGTTCAAGGCAAAAAAAAAAAAAAAAAAAAAAAAAAATTGACTGTATACGAAGTACTGACCTCCGTGTCACCATTGATTGTTTCCATCACTGCTGACTTTTTGAGGCGTTTTGACTACGTTGCGAAATTTATTGGGGTTTGTATTACTTCTTTTTATTCCAAAATGTTCTTCTTCTTTTCCTTTGAGATATACTCACAGTCGGGATAAAAAAAATTACAAAAAAACCCCAATGGGGCGACATCATTTCTCAATTATCTTGCTTTTTGACAGATGGGCGAGACAGTCTTTTAAAAATGAATTACTCACTGATATTTCACAGCTCAAAAAAAAAACCATGTGGATCAGATAGTAAGATCACAATCCAGGTATTGGGTGACTATTGTATAATAAACGCCAAGTCGGTTCAATTTTACTCCGTACAGAGCGAGCCATTTAAGGAACACTCTCACGTCTTAAAATGCAAAACTTTCTATCACGCTGCATTTCTAATTTCAAAAAGATAACGATAACAACGCAATTTTTTTTATTTTTAAACGTTAGTAGAAAGTGTTGAGATGTTTGATCAAGCCTTCTTTATCGGGACTGACCTTTTTTGGTACAAATTACATGTAAACACAAAGACTCTTTCTTTTCTTGGAGTGTACCTTAAATCGTACTTTATGCACAATCAAACCATATCAAACATACTAACAACCTCTCGCGCTCTTAAAGTGACAGGTACATTGCAGCACTGAGTGTTAAGTTAGATAGAATGATAGTATCTAATATATCATCAATGCTAACGTAGACAATCTAGATTGCGTAAATTAACGTGGGAGCATGTTAAAAAGGCGAATGCGCAATCAGTTACTCACTCCCCCAGATAGATTATGTTTTACACATGGTCATGTGGATAGAAGCTTCTAGTTCGCGTATCCCCTTTAATATTTTCAGGGAAACCAGAGCGAAAGAAACACCTAACTCTTTGTCCATTTGGTCGTCAATGAGTACACAAAGAGGAAAGATAAGTGTTCAAATTAGCCCAGAGATTTTTTTTTTTAAGAAAAATTATAAGATACATCCATGATTTAATTTTGTGTCTGTTCAATAATAGAAACATCTTCGCTACCTTCAACTAATTTTGTAGAAAGTGCTTCTGTATATGTCAATTCGACATTTTTAGCTCGATTCTTTGATGGGATTAACTTCTATCGAGTACGGAAAGGGAGGGCACGTTGGTACTTAACTAAATGTTAATAAATAAGAAAATGGTGCAATAAGATATATTTAGCATACACTATATGTAAATGCTGAATTCATGAGAGATATGTAATGGCACTCTCTCTACAAGTAATGACACTTATCATCCCAAAACCCAAAAGTAGCCAAAACACTCTTATAAAACAGTTGAGAAATACTACACTAGACTTGCTTTGAAAACAAAATTGTGTCTTCTTGGATAAAGCAGACTTTGTCAAACACATGCGCCACTCAAGAGCCTAATTACAGCATGAGGAGTGTATCCCATACAATGATAAGTGCTGTTTTTGGCATTTGTCGTGGTGAATGTGAAATCTGGACAAATGCCAGTAAAAGAAGAGCTGTCAAGTGTTAAAAAGTAAGAGGCACCTAGAAGATGTTACTGCTGTAATATACTAAAATAAATTATGCCTGGTCATTAAAAACATTTCATCACAGCAGTACTGGAGAGCGCACTATTTGTATCCACGTCGTTTCGGTTGGTTAGTAGTATATGTATGACATGACTTACCGCCTAATCTCCTTTATAATATTCTTTTTACACCAAAAAAAAAACAAAACAAAAAGGTGTACATGGATAGTAATCCACAAATAAATCTTCTTGGTGAACATATATGATCATCCAAAAAGGATAACAAGTAAAGAAGAAATGGTATTGGCTTGCCCATTTAAACAGGTTATCATTCGAGAACAGATCTTCAAATGACTTGACTGAGTCCAAAAAGATCATTGACTTTGTAGACAGCATGTGTCACAGCTGAAGTGTGGGTGATATGCCGTCTGTTAATGACATGAAACTCTAATTAACAAGTGATTTATAATTTTATCTCATCACAAGATACCCAAAAAGCATGGGTTTTGACGCCCTTTCGTGTGACCATCATTCGTTCCAAAAAAAAAAAAAAAAAAAAAAAAAAAAAAAAAAACGACGGAATTCCAGTATTCAGCCTGTCATTGCATAATTTTAATATCCTTGTTGCCTTCTTATTGCCTTTTATTTAGATAATGATGCTAATCCATGCAAGTGTGTGTGTGTTGTAGCAAAAAGCATGTGGTACTGGAAATAATGTCTACATTTCGAATCATCCAAAGATTTATCACTTGCTATTGAAAAGATAGAACATGTTCATGGTGCGTAAACTATCTCTTGAAGCATCCAAAGCTGTATTTGGAAAATCTTCAATTTGTAACGAAAAGAAAGAGAAAAGGAAAATAATAAATCTGAGAACCAGATTTATTTATATGACAAAAGGTAAACATGGACTGAGCTTACGTCAGAATGAGACAATTTAATAACTGCGCATTGGATAAACATACATCGGCGTCAGATTTGTTTGACAGTAATACCATTGGTTTATGCGTCATGAGATTAAGATTTATTAGATTAAGTATTTTTAATTATTGTATTAGAGAAGACGGTATTAATTAATTTGAAGGTGTTTTGTGTGAGTGAGTTGGGTAGGCTTGGGGTATTATAAGTTTTCTACTTCGGAATCAGAATCGCCAGTATGATACAAGGTTACTAAAAGATGGAGAGAGGATGATTAAAAAAAAAACAAGAGAAACTAGATGGCAAATGTGTGCTAATACTTACAAGAGTCAAACTTTTCAAAGGGGTTTGATTTCTCTACAGAGCCCATGACTTTTAATCCATCAGCTTCCAGATCCAAACTGGTACTTTCTTGAATTTTTCTAAAGTTGACTGCATCCATACCATTGGAAGTAGCCGGTATAATAGGTGGTGTCATATTTCTTAATAATGCAAAGTTGATATTTTTGAAAAACACATGTTGTTTGACATCTGCCGCGCCTGCACGGGATCCAAGTCGACAATTCTCGTCCTTGTGTAATAATTTACGTATTAAATTCTTTCCTGCGTTGGTGATACTAGCATTATGAGGTTCAGGTTGATAAGGGAAATTAACATCGATATGAAGGATTTTGGCAAATGTATCATTACGACCAGCCCCTTTAAATGGAGTTGTACCATACTAAATAGGATCATGAGTTAATTTTTTTTTTCGATCATATAAAGTTCTTTAGTGTTCTTACCAGCATCTCATAAATAAGAATACCTAATGTCCACCAATCCACAGCACTGGTATGTCCACACCCTTTAATCACTTCAGGAGCAATGTATTCCTCTGTGCCAACAAAACTATTGGTACGAAGGCCTTGTACACAGCTTTTGGTATCGATGGAAGGAGGCTTGATCATACAAAAAAAAAAATGAGTTTAAAGTCTGAATGTAATGTAGAATGCAACAACTAACCTGATTAGGAGACTTTGACTTTACAACACCAGGTCTACCAGGTGGACTTGAGCCTTTACTAAGATCAAAATCGGTCAACATGATATGCCCACTCTGATGCAACAGGATATCTATAAAGATATTTAGCTTCATTTTATAATATAAATAAAGGGTTGACTAAATTTACTTTCTGGTTTGAGATCTCGGTAAATATGTCCTTGAAGATGAAGGTATTCCAGAGCTGCAGTAACCTCGGCTGCATAGAATTTTGCGCCTTCTTCGTTCAAACATTTACCTGGTCTCAATTGTAACGCTATAATAAATACTTTTTTAGTTTTACTTTCTGGGAGGGGGGAGATTTTGTTTAGAAGAGTGATTTATTACCTCGAAAGAATTCACCTCCCATACAGTATTCCATGACAAAGTAAAGATACTCCTGACTTTGAAAGCAATGATATAATGAAACAATGAAAGGATGATTTGAAGTAGACAAAATCTCTTGTTCAGCCAAGGCGCGTTTGATCTTGTTTCTTTTGATCATTTCTTTCTTTGATAAGACTGAATATATGATAAGTACAAAGGAGAGGTGGGTAGGGCAATATATATGTATATACAGAGAGTACTGTACCTTTCATGGCAAATAGTTTATCAGTGCCTTTTTGTCTAACCATGTAAACTTTTCCTACATCACCTTTTCCCAACATTCGAACCTTGACAAAACTAGATGGACCTACTTCGACTTGTCTTACTTTAATGCTGGCAGACGAATAAGTTCTTTTACATAATTTCATTCGTTCGAAATGTTGTTCTTCTCCTTGTAAATATTGTAATGAGGAAGGTTTGGATAATGTCTGAATATTGTTTGCATTGGGAGCAGAAGCAACTCTACGAATTGCCTTGTTACTTGGTCTGAAAGCAGTTGTATTAAACCAAGAGTTGGATTTAGGTGTTGTCATTACTTTTTCGGTCGTTTGAAAATTATCGGGTACCGTAAAGGCATTCGTTATCTCTGTTTGACTACTATTATTACTACTACTATTACTACTATAATGTAACCCAGGTGAAAAATGCATTGGCTGTGGCGCACTTATTGACTGATCCATATTGTTTATTTATTATTATTATTAGCGGAAAAAAAAAAAATAAAGCCCAAGAAAAGAAAAAAGCCCAATAATAATAAAAAAAAAAAACTCTTTTGTGCACATATCTAGCCCTTTTTTGGTGAAACCATAAATTAAATGTCCGGATGGACAGCTTTTTTTAAATAAATAAACAGAAAAAAAAGGGCACCCCTCCCCAAAACGTCATAACTCTCAAGCAAGCATATATAGATATATATATAAACGACGGGGATATTATCGACTGATTATTTGTTAAAGTTGCACATGAAGGGGATATTAAAAAACCACCCAATGGTCCCAGTATCACCTATAAGCTAGTACACAGATCCCCCCCGCACACATGATACTTTTGATAGCTCTATATCGTTAATAACAAATGATGAACCATTAAAAAACGGATGATTTACCCTCAGTGTGAATGTTCCGAATATAGATAATATTTTAATTTGATTTGTATACATACGCTCGAAAGGTAAATATTGAATAAAAGGGAGGGTGTGAGGCCCCTTAATTTCCCTGGATCAATGAGGTACTAAGAGCAACGTGGGCTCAGTAGCACCAAACGGCTTCGGATATACAAGCTCCGTTCTTGCCTGCGCCTAAATCTAATATTCTCTGAAGCTTTCACTCATGTTCTTGATGCTAAAGTATATAAGCAGAAATATACTTTTGTTACCTAGTTACAGGTGAAAATCCTTCAGCCCCATAAACTCAGAAAGGGGATATTAACCAGCGAGTTAAATACTATCTCGCGTAAAACCCAATCACGCACTTTTACTGGGCATCCACCCTTTCTCTTCCCACTTTGAGCAACATTGCTATCTCTGTACTAAGATGAACAGTTATTTCTCTACCAAGTTGAGCACATATTTCTGTACCAAGTTGAACAGCGATTCCAGTGCTAAGCAGCCTCCAATATTAAGCTTCAACGCGATGAAAAAAAGACATGGGAATATTAAGTATCAAACATATCAACGTGTGCTTAAAGCTTTTTCATCTAATATAAACAAAAAAAACAAAGTAGTATTATGCATAAAGGGGACAAAGTTCCAATGAACAATTAATGGGGGGAACGTAAAATGATGAACAATAAAATCTGACTTTAGAAAAACAAGAGATTAGGCCAAAATTTAAACAGTCGCTTTAAGCCAATCAAAAGATAACCCAGTCCTTTTTTGCCATGTCAAAAAAAAAAAATTTTTACAACGGAGGATAAAAAAAAAAGGTTTAAAAGGAAGACAAAGTGAAGCAGAGTTTAGGAAGCTTATCTCTTTTTCAACACAACTTGTAAGTACATTCATTCCAGAATCTAAATATTTCTTTCCGGAATTTCATATAAAGATGATTGTATAAAATGGGAATCTCTCTGAAAAAAAGTGAAAGAGAACATTTATATTTATTACTGATATATGAAAGAAAGAAAGAATATTTCGAGTTTATCATCTCTTTGTATCATTTTTATTAATTTTTTTTTTCATCTTTACAGATATTCCTTCTAAGAATTTATGTCGTGCCTGTAAAAGAAAAAACAAGGTTATGAAAGTCTTAATTGGTAAGTTTCTTATTCTTTTATTTTTTAAAGAAGTAAATCTTTTTCAAGTGATGATATAAATGGTTTCAATCTATACATGCACCACCACGCTTATATGGGGCTCCGGCCTCTATGAAGATAGCGAAACATTAAATAAACTGACATGAAAAAAAGATTTATTTTTTTAAAAAAAAATAGAAACATTTTCTCTATGTATTCATTTTTATTAACATTTCTATCTTTATCATTAGACTTCTCTGCCTTTACTGTATATATTCATTTTTAAAAAATTTACTATAATAAAAAAAAAATCTAAAAAAAAAAATCTTTGACCCCTGTCTTCTTCTCAGTGACAAAGCCACAGGCATTAAACCATATTCTATCACTAAGAAACATGTATATCCCTCCAATGATTGGGTTATGATGCTGAGCATCAGATTATTTGACACATGGTATCCTTTCAAATACTTTGATGTTCATCAACGTACTCCTGTTTAGAGATATTCAAACACCATTTAAATCTATGTATAAACAAATGTTTTTGGTACACAGATAATTACGTCTATCAATATTAAAAAGTCAAGGTGAACGAACCATCCTCCTTTCCCCCATGTGGCGTCTGCTTTATAGACGCATTCCCAGGGCAATATACAATAAATGACCGTCAGTCAAATCTACTGCCTTTTGCAACAATAATCATTTGAGACCTGTCAGAGGTATCAAAACAGGAATGTCATGGTTATCTTTTACATGTCATGTCTGTACGCTCTTACACGACAGTTCCTTATAACATCCATGTAAACTCTAATAATTTAACACATTGGAGTATTTAAGGGAGATAGAGGGATGATTAGCTACCCCTCCTTGGTGAACACATAAAAGTGTTGAGAAGAGGAAAGAAAAAGAAAATAAGGGCGTCATCACTATTTATATAAACACCCTTCTAAAAATAAAAATAAAAGTACACGTCATGATGTTTACTTGACAAATACACATCGTATGCATAATTTTTGTAACAGTTTCTCATTGAATATACACCGTCCATTTTTATTTATATTTTTTTAAAAAAAAAGGAGACTAATTATGCGGAGATGTTTTCGCAAAAGTCCTTTCCTTCTTCTACATTTCTCTCATGACTGACATGTGGTTTAAAGGGCCCGTAGCAGAAGCAGTGCAGACTGTAACTACGAAAAATCTCGTATTTCTGGTCTTCATTTACGGTAACTTAACCTTGACCAAGAAAGCTTTTTTCCCTTATTTACAATGCCATTAGATGACTCTGAACAAAGTCAGCAGTTATACACCACACTCGCCAATGAACACGTAAAAAAAAAATAGATAAAAAGAGGTGTATTTTAGAGTCATTCATGCTACCTTTTTTTTTTTTAGCTTGTTCAATTAATAAAACAAAAAACAGTAGCATTCAAGATGCAAAAGAATTCAGAAGAAGCCGCCATGTTTGGTCAATTATGTAAGAATGCATGACAAAAGAGAGAGTCATTTTGTAACAATTCTTTTAGATCCTATTTCTCGAGTACCTGTAGTGTATTATCTCTTGTAAGTCAGTCTCACTACAAGAGTTGTGATATGTCTTAACCATGTAGATTATGATTTAGGCAAGGTATCCTCAAGGAGTTTAGCACCGAGAATTCAACAAGCGATGAAATTATGCAAAAGATTAATACACTTTGTCCCGCACAACCAGTCAAACAACGCGCTGCAACAGACAGGAAAAATCAGAATCAACAGTTGAAGAAGGAAAAGAAGGCGGATGAAGACTATAAGAGAGAAATTAAGCAACAAATTGCCATGGATCGTACTGCTTCTTCCTCTAAAAAACCCAATCCTTCCTCATCATCCCAACCATCAGTACAGGTGATACAGCACAATCAATGCAATTTAAATATCAAACAATTGGATGGCACCAGCTTAAAACATAGTTTCGCATGTAAGTAGTCTCTCTTTTTTTTTTTTGGTCTGGTTGTTTTTGTTTCTTAGGTTTTTTTCTCTTTTAGCTTCGGATACGCTTGGCCATGTATCCCAGTGGATTGATGCGGTAAAAAAAAAAAAAAACCTGCTTTTTACCCGTTTTTTTTTTTTTTTTTGTGTAAATTAAACAACGTGTTGTACATGTAGAATAGAACAGATGGAGATATGCCTTTTCAGTTATTTGCTCAATTTCCCAACCGAGATTTCAATATTGGAGATGAACAACAACGATTGATTGATTTGCGACTGTGTCCTAGTGCCACATTAATTATGAAGCCAATTAAGAATGCCACTTCTGCCTATCACCGCCCGAAAAAATCAAGCGGATGGCTTGACTCGATTTATTCAGCGGGAGATACAGTCTATCAGTCTGTCAGTGCGGCTGCTGCCTATCTAGTGACGCCCACCCATGCACCCGAGCCAGGACAACGACTTGGTGGTGAAAGTCGAGAAGAAAGGCAAACATACAATGGGAACTCTGTAAACCAAGAAAAAAAGTCCCGGGGGTGAGAGACTTTTTTTTTGTTGGGTTTTTTAATTCTCCCCGTTGCGGGAAGAAAGCTTTTTTTTTTTTTTTTTTTTTTTGCTTTTTTTTTTTCATTTCTTCATTTCACACATTAAAAAAAGAAAAGAAACAACTTCAATGATGCAATGAGTACAAGTGAAAAGAGACCCAAAGATATTTCAAATCGCCACTTGAGCGCTTCTTTTACTCGACAAGTGTCCGAACCGAAACGTAAGATAGTTTTTTTTTTTTTTTTTTTTTTTTTTTGCGCATGGGGGTTGCTAAATTAAGACAAAATCCCAAAATCATCATTAGCAGTAGCAGGCTACTTTTATAAACCAACGCCACCACCAGAAACTGTGGTCGTTCATTCTGTACCCAAAAAGACAAACGACGCTTGTTGTTGGGGATGGTAAGAAAAGAGGGACCCTCAAAAAAAATGAATTGGACATTTCCCATTGATATTTCTCTTTTTTTTTTTTTTTTGTAGTGCTGCTGCCTTATGCTTGTGCTTTGGACTAGAAGAATGTTGCTCTTCTTAAGGCACCCTTTTATCGCATTGATTTGATTGGCTGGTACAATCAAGGAGAGGGAGAGATAGAGTGTGTACAATAAAGCGATTCTTTTTTTTTTTTTTTTTTTTAATTTTATTTTCCTTTCTTTTCTTTTTTGTTTTTAAAAAAAAAAAATTATGACACAGGATAACAAACTAGGGATTTCTTTAAATAATGACCATGATATTTTCAAGAAGCTTAATTTTCCTCACTTAAAGAAAAGAGCTATTTCGGTTGCCATGGCATCCCCTACGACAACAATCACTAAAAAAAAGGAAAAAAAGAAGAAGTTATTGGGCTCTCCTGCAGCTTCCTTTCTTGCTGGTTATATGAATGATTTAATACAAGATACCCAAGTCGTGGGCATGGAAGATTACAAGATACTTGATCTTATTGGCTTTGGTGGGTTTTCCATCGTGCATAAAGTCTCCCATCTACGTACACATCAATCGTTCGCTGTCAAAATCATTCATCATGCACTCATGAATCGTCTTGAAAAGTTACGACTGGGACGAGAACTGAGCATCTGGAAATCTTTACATCATCCACGCATCCTGCAACTCGTCAAGATCGTCCAAACCGACACACACACTTATCTACTCTGCGATTACTGCTCCCGTGGTACTCTCTTTAAACTTTTGCACAGTCAAGTTCGTTTCTCTGAAGCCAAAGCCAAAAAGATCTTTAAACAAATCTGTCAAGGCGTCTATTATTTGCATGTCGACTGTCAAGTCAGTCATAGAGACCTTAAGCTTGAAAATATCTTGATCAATGACCAAGGTCATGTCAAGATTTGTGATTTTGGTTTCGCCGTCTTGTTGGACAACATGCAACAAAATCGGGACGAATTGATGGGAGGTTCATTACCTTATATCTCTCCTGAACATATCTTATCCCCCTCCCCTTATTGCTACCCCAAAGAAGCGGATATTTGGGCGTTAGGCGTTATCTTATTTGCTCTTGTCACGGGCTATTTACCCTTTGATGATGCCTATGAACCTCGTCTACAACAAAAAATACTACAGGCAGATTACACCATCCCCTCCTCTCTCTCTTTACCCTTGACCCATTTGATCCATCATTGTTTGAATTATCAGGTAAATGAAAGGTTTACTATTGATCAGGTATTAAATTCTACTTGGTTAAAAAATGTCTAATGATTATCATTGACCAATCCATCATAACCATCTATTTAAATATGAATATTAATATCTTTTTTTTTTTTTCACATAAATAAAACTCTTTTTTTTTTAAAAAAAAAAAACAATAAATAATACTTGCATGCACAAATGCCTTGCATGTAACAAGCCAGTACAATCCCTGCGCCTACCTGAGACACAGGATGCGTAAATCTACACTCGTTATAAGTTTGACCTAATGTAATTTAGATTTTTTTTTAAAATAGGAAACGAACCTTGTAAAAAAAGCCAAAACATAAAATATCTGCCAATGATGAATATGTAAACCCAGTGTCCCTGGATACGGACTCGCTTGTTTTTCCATATCCTCCTGTGTTTTCCTTCCTAGTCGAGTTCGAATCCAATTGGTATTGACTTCCTTGATCAATAGGACCGAAGCTGTTAAAAAAAAGGCAGGGATCAACAAGGCGCAGACATAATAAATCACAAACGGTAATTCCAAAAGTGTCGCCAAGTAAATATGAATTCCAGCAAAAACTAGAATGATCCTAGTTATTGGTAGGGAGTAAAAAAAAAAAAAAAAAAAAAAAATCAATTTTAATTAAAAACAGAAACTATTCAATTAGAAATGACTTTTTTTTTTTTTTTTTTTACCCGACGGCCACAAGAAAGAGGATCCACATGCCTTTGGGCCAACTCTTGATATTGGGCAAAGAGGTCTTAGCATAAGGTTGTTCAGCAATTAAAGCGTACCCAAATAAACACGGGTAAAAAGTCACTACCGTAATCCAGCTTCTAACACATCAGTCTCACTACTTCTTTTTCCCAAAATAAAATAAACAAACAAACCTATACGCTTTGGTATAATTTCCAAATATAAATAAAATGACACCATAACTAAAGGCAAGCATCGTATCACTCCAATGCCTCGCCATTGTCTTGATCTTGGTCTCCCATCCATACCTTTTGGCAATCCATCGGTACATTGGATAAGGCACCATATAAAAAGACAGCATAAAGTACAAGAACACGAGCGGGTGAAACGAAAACAAGGCTGATTCAGGTACTGAGGCTGGATCTGATAATGCTAATGGGTTCGGTCCTTCTACCCTTGTCGTATACAAGGTCATAATTTACAAGAATTTTATATAAAAAAAAAAAGGAGAGAGAGAGAGAGAGAGAAAGAGAAACAGGAAAAAGAAGTGAAGGGTTTTTCTTATTTATTTTTTTAAATGATGATGATTCATTTCAAGGCCCGCTTACGAGGCCCTAAAATTGTTGTTTGTCGTTTTTTAGTTGATGTGTATCGAATCACGAAGCGGAAGAAAAAAAAGACAGGTCCATGTCTTCCCCCACTCTCCTGAACAGGCAACGTGACTTCTTCTTTTTGCAGTATGGGAGGTTAACGTTTTAGTATATGCGGTACTTTGTTCTTTGGATTCAAATGAACAAAATGGTAGTAATGAAGGTCAGGCATTGAGTTTTACCACCAATACAAGCTCTCTCTCTTGTTGTAATATTACATCTTGTGGCATGTTTTACAGTCTTTTCTTCTTCTTTTTTTATGATACAAATATGGCTTTCAATCATCCAAACAATATAATAAAACGCAAACCTTTTTTACTGTCAAAATGAAAACGTACTCGTATTTTAAAATCAACACCCGTCACCTCTAATTTAAAACACCGTAAACCCTTTTTTCATGCAACTCTGTCCAACGTCTGTATTACAAATGCACTATCAAACACACTTTTATAGCCTAACGGGTGTTCACTCTATAGACAATGAAGGTTTCATTCTGCACCACACCCCCCACGTCTCGTTTAGCTCTAAAAAAAAACAAGCACTGAGCGGGAACAACTCGCCTTCTTAACATTATTCATTTAGAGAATGAAACTTTTTTTTTTATAAATAAAAAAAGACGCTGTTGTGCATCGGATGAGTTAGCAGTTTGCCATATATATATATATATATATACAGAGTAGCTAACGTAGGCTCACTCATAGCTTAGATGCACACATTTTGAAGGGTCGTTGTCTGATAGAAGTAACGGGATGAATGGGAAGAGGCAACCATGCTCCCACTTAATTTGGGGGTGGGATGTATGTGTAACAGAAGCCATCTAATTTATTTTAGATAAGAAGGTTATGCAAAAAAAAAATGAAAGTAAATATATATATATATATATATATATAAAAACGATAAATATGTGTGTGTGGACAAAATAAATTAAATGGCCGCTTATGAAGCCATGGTGGGACTTTGATGCATAAGAACTAATAAATGCGCAGCATCTTCATCATCAGAAGACAAAGTAGCAGACAATTTCCGGTTATCATCGAGTATGTGATGATGCTGTAACCGTGTTTCGGATAGAGGAACGTGATGAACGGTAGCACGGGACGCGTTTTTCTTGATAAGTCTATCCATATCATTATGTTGTAGTGGTGGTGAAGTAGGATAAAAGCGATGATGTGATAATAGCAATTTACGACGTTTCTTGTCTAGCGTGGGTTTACCCGCTCCTGTTGTTGTTGTTGTTGTTGTAATCGAGGCGGTCGCTGTAGGTAACACCTTGTGTTGATACAGACTGGACTCCAATGTTCGTAGATCGACATTCTCGTAACCGTGTTCTCGTTTATAATTAGCCAGCGCTAATCGTGCTTTTAGACGATGAATCAACTATACACTCAGGCAAGCAGAGAAAGAAAAAAAAAAAGAGAAATATTAGGGTTTCTTTCAAGAAAAAAAAAAGGGGGGGAAGGTCAATAACGACATACGTTGGACATGTCGGCTGTTTGCATGGATTGAGACATTTCAATATATAAAAAGTTAAAAAAAAAAAAAATTCACACAAAAAAAAAAAAAAAAATTAATAAAAAATCAACTGGCTATTTATTATTGTACGCATAAAGTCGAAATTAACCAACAAGAAACAACCTTTTCGCGTTCGAAAAAAAAAAAAATATATAAAAATGTGAAATAGGGGCGGAGTTAATAAGAACCACTCAAGTTTGGCACCCACGAGGCTCAGAACCAACCAAAAGTTGAGGGGCGGAGTTGAAGACCAGTCCGGGTAAAGGGTAACTTTTGATTGGTGGAGATTTGAACCAACCTAGTCCCAGACAAGCCCTCTTTTAGATACACTCGCCCCTCACCCCCACCCCAAGCAAGCGGACCCAGCCGACCAGCCAGCCGATGGGGGGGGGGGGGAAGCTCAGCTCAGCGAAAGCAGTAAAACAGGAAAAAATTCAATACGAGCGGGGAGGGGGGCACGGTTGGGGAATGAACGTAAATCCTCCCTTTTTCTCTTTTCCTCACATTTAATTAGACATGGGATCTGATCGGTAAGTGCCATCCATCCATCCATCTATTCTCATTTACAGGATAACATTCACCAAAAAAAAAAAAAAAAAAAAAAAAAAAAAAAAATCAACGACCACCAAAAAAACGCACGACGAAAAAATAGATGCATAACGAAATGAATACGATTCCCGAATAACAACATTACATTGACACCCAATACAACAACATTCACTTTTTTTTTTTTTTCTTTTTTTTTTTTTTTTTTTTTGGTGTTTAGTTGTCTTGGGAAAAATAGTTTAAAAAAAGAAAAAAAAAAAAAAAAAAACTGACCCTGTTGTCATTGTAGTCTTTACAGTAAGGGCCGTGTTTTGGGCTTTGAACGTGCTATGCGTACCCAAAACCCCAACGTCTCTCTTATCCAAGTAGAGGGTGTTCAAACCACCAAGGACGCTCAATTCTACCTTGGTAAGCGTATTGCCTATGTCTACCGTGCTCAACGTGAGATCAACGGCTCTAAGCTCCGTGTCATCTGGGGTCGTATTGCTCGTACTCACGGTACCAACGGTGTCGTCAAGGCTCGTTTCAGAAAGAACTTGCCTCCCAAGGTCTTTGGTGCCTCTGTCCGCATCGTAAGTTTTCTTTTTTTTTTTCTTTTTTTTTTTTTTTGGTTTAACCTAATTTAAACTTTTTGTCATTGTAGATGCTTTATCCTTCCAACATTTAAAATCATATTCAGCCAAAAAAAAAAAAAGCATGGATTCTATTTTAACAGCAATGTGGAAATATTAAGAAATAATAATAAAAAAAAACAGTGATTTTTTTTTTACTATTTGGAGATAGAAAATACAACTATTTGTAGAGAAAAGAGAGAGAGAGAGATAAATACTTCTACTAGCAGAGAGAGATGAATTGGGAAAAAAGAAGTGACACGAAAAGTGTGATTGTATAAAAAAAAAGGGGGAGATAGGACTAAAAAAGGAAGGACAAAACATAATTCATGCGTGAGAAAAAAAATATCGGCCATGAGGAGATTACTTTTTGCAGGAGAGGCGTTAGGTTTCATTCCAGTCAAAGCAATGATATCACCCGCATTGACAGGCAGGAAACACAAACTGGCATTCAATCTTAACCTCCTGATGAGCGAGACAAAACCGCTGTTCAGCATTTAATAATTGGCAACCGTGGGAATCACTCCATGACATATAAATAGGGAACTTTTTTTTTTCTACCTTGTACATGTTTATTCCCTTTTCTCTTTAAATATTCTCCCGACTCTTTTTTTTAAATACAAATGGTAAATGAAATAAACCGTCTTTTTTCTTCCCTCACAACTAACCACACTCTTCTTAATAAAAGACTCCATCATTAAACCACGTTACCAATGGCCGCCCTGTCAACCCATATTCTGGCTTTGATCACCTCCGATTCACCGTCACCAATGCAAAGCAAGCCGCCTCTTACTATTGTACTCGATTAGGCTTTGAACATGTCGCCTACCGTGGCCTCGAAACAGGTTGCAGAGAAACAGCTGCTCATGTGGTCAAACAAGGCGATGCTATCTTTGTCTTTGAAAGTCCTATTCATCCTGATTCCATGCAAGACATGGCCGCCGAAATCGCTCGTCGTGGTGATGGTGTCAAGGATGTTGCCTTTACCGTCAAGGACTGTCGGGCCGTCTACACCGTAATGTCTATCCCCCCCCCACTTCTCATATAAATATATCTTATACTAAACATTTTTATCACTGATTAATTAGAAAGCCATCGCTAGAGGTGCAAAGTCCATCAAAGAACCAGAAGAGATCACAGATGAAGATGGTACCATCATTATGGCTACGTTAGCTACCGTAAGTTTTTAAATTTGACCAAAAAAGCCCATTGAGGTCATCGTTTTTTATTTTATTTTATTTTTTCTTATCTCTCTCTCTCTCTTTTTCTAACTTAGTACGGCGATGTTCAACACACATTGATTGAACGTAAAGATTACAAAGGTGTATTCTTGCCTGGTTATAAAGATACTTTAACTGCACTCCGATACAAGGATCCTCTCCAATCCCTCTTGTAAGTCTTTTTTTTTTCTGCTTATCCCAGTATGACTAATATATAACTCCTCCTCCTCCCAGACCTCATGTGCCACTTCAATTTATTGATCATGTTGTGGGTAACCAAGCTGATGGTGAAATGAACCCAATTGCCGACTTTTATGAAAAGGCCTTTGATTTCCATCGTTTCTGGTCTGTGGATGATAAACAGGTCTTTACCGAATACAGTGCACTTCGTTCTGTCGTCATGGCTGATCCTGAAGAACGTATCAAGGTGCCTATTAACGAACCTGCATTAGGTCGTAAGAAATCTCAGATTCAAGAATTTGTGGACTTTTATGGTACTTATCTTTTTTTTTTAAATGGTTATCCTCTTATCAAGACTAACCCTCCCCCCCCCCCTTTATTTTATATATATATATGTAACATGATAGGTGGAGCAGGTGTTCAACATATTGCTATTAATACCAATGACATCATTACGTCTGTTACGAATATGAAACAACGTGGTTGTGATTTCTTGACGATTCCTTCAAGTTACTATGATACGCTCCGAGCTGCGCTTGTCAACCATAACAAGGTTTCGAAACGACCTGTGATTGAAGACTTGGATGTATTGCAATCCTTAAATATCTTGGTCGATTACGATGAAAATGGTTATCTTTTACAAATCTTTACTAAACCTCTCGAGGACAGACCTACTTTATTTGTGGAGGTCATTCAACGTAACAACCATAATGGGTTTGGTGCTGGAAACTTTAAGAGTTTATTTGAGTCGCTTGAGATGGAACAGGATATTCGTGGTAACTTGACTGATATGGAACAACCTTCCTCTTAAAAAAAAACACATTTTATATATATATATCCCTCTTTCTTTTTTTTTTTTTTGTATACACACACACACATTTTCAAATAAAAAAAAAAAATTATTCATTTTATTATTATTCGAGCAAAAAAAAGACTAGGTCGCATAAGGCACTCTGTTTTGTAAGGCTCGGTTATCAACATACTCCAATTCAACAAACCTACAGACAATTTTTTTTTTTTTGTTGTTGTTGTTCAGTCTACGTGTGTGTAGTATACGATATATATAAAAAAAAAATTCCTTACCCAGTGAGTGAATTCTTAAACCTGCCTAAATGATCAGCCATTTGATTCACCTGTTCCTGAGGTACGGGTAAAGAAGTCGCTTCAATCACCCACATATCTGCATCTCCCACAAGCACTGCTGAAGATAAATCCACCTTTGTCTTGAGCTGTTTTTTTCAAATGAGTTTAAAAAAAAAAGGCACTTTCTACGTTCAATCTTTCTTTTAATCTTTTTTTTTAGCTTACCCTGTACAGTTGAGACACTGTGATACACAATGTCTTGTCATAGGCTAATAAATAACCTTTACGCACCACTTCAAATGAATACCTTTTTTTTTGGGGGGGAGATTGCATTAACATACAAGATAAAACTGTATCTTTTCTTTTTCTTTTTTTTTTTTCTTTTTTTTACCCGTAGCCTAAGGACTTCATGAAACGAAAGACATCGCCGGATAATTGAACGCGAGCATGAGGACGTACAGTGACTGCTCTAGCACGTTGAGGCTCTGGATTGCCTTGCATGCACAAATACCATTGTCGAAACCGAAAGCTCCTTTCCTTTTCATTGGCAATGCGAGACTGTACTCGTAATACGACATCGTCATTACGTGCAGGACCCACGGGTGTTTGAGCTACATTTGGATTAATGGTCTTTTTATCGTTGGTTGTGTGTGTGTATATAAGGGGGCTTACTGGAGGGTGTGAATACAATTTCATGCTCAAAGAGGTCGACTAAAGCATCGTTACCACAAATACCCACAAGACGTTGAATAAGTCTATCCTTTTGTTCAGGGCCAATGACAATGCCTTGTAAGCTACATTGATAATTAGACATTGCACAAAGGAAAAAAAAAAAAAGAAAAAAGAAAAGGGAAGGTGCGGAACAAAAAAGAGTCACATGAGGTGATTTGCATGTTTTTTTAAATACTCTTTTTACTCATGCAACACTAAAGAAACTGTCTTTCTTTTGAATAAGAAGAAGCTCTTTTTTTTTTTTTGGGCAGCAAGTTTTTGTGCAGTGCCAAAAAAAAAAACTACTCCAGTATGTACTTGCCCTGACGACCTTTTTTTTTTGGGGGGGGGGTATCTCCACCAAAAAACGATTGGCCCTCTCCCCCCAAGATTTTTTTTTAATTTTTTTTGTTGTTGTACAGCTAGGGCAAAAAAAAAAAAAAAAGAGAAAATCTTTCTTCCCTTCTTTTCAACCTTTTTTTTTTTAAAAAAAAAAAAAAAATGTCACAAGAAAAGATCAGTACATGGATTGATACACAATCTAAATCAGCCTATCCCATGTGGGCACTTTCAGCTATTTGTAAGAAGAGAAGTTGGAAGGGGGGAATGATTGAAAAATAACTGACGAAAAAAAGAAACAAAAAATTAGCCTTGGCAACATTACCGCTTGCAGTTAGAAAATCCCCTGGTGTTCCATCCATGTTTCAAACATTGGCATTTTCAGGTATCTTTGCAGGTGCTGGGTAAAGGATATTAGATTCATGTAAATGAAGTGCATCTAGTTCACTGATGATGATGATATATAGGTATGTGACAAGTACGGGTGATCTGGAAAATGGTGCTGGTATTGCCACAGGTAAAATTGGGGGGAGGGGGAGGGAGAGAACTTTTTTTTTTTTTTTTTTTTTTGCATGATGGATACTAAAAAATGAAGGGGGGGCGGGATGAAATCTAGCTTGGTGTTTATCCTGGTCCTTTTTAAACGCTAAATCTGCTATTAAATCAATGAGACCAGTACCTATTGCATTATTAGCTGCAGTCACGTTAAATACAGTCATCTATGGTAAAAAGACACTGCAAGTGAATGGATATATTTAGTTTAGATATATCAGCAGTCTGTGGACACATATATATATATATAAAAAAAAAAAAAAAAACCCTAAATTTTTATGTATTTATTTTCTTTCTTTTTTTTTTCTTTCCCTTTTTTTTTTTTCTTCTTTCTTTTTTTCAAATAAAAAACTAATTTCATAATTAAAATGGATGACCGAATAATGTACAAAAGATCACAAGCATTACGTGAATATGTTGCTTCATTTCATCTTACACTCATGGTAATAATAATAATAATAAAAAAAAAAGGGTAACTCGCCCTCTCTTGTTGAGGAGTTTGCTAATCAGTTTCATAGTTTGTGGGCCTCTTTGTAACTTCAATAGGTACTCTAAAAAGACACACACACACATACACACACACACACATACATACATACAAATCATTAACCTGGTGTAGGCGCATATCTGATCAACTCAAACACCAGTAGGACAATATCGATTCTATTATTAACAATAGGCATCATGATCACCACAACCAGTTTCATTGGTTGCTTTGGGGCACACTTGGAACATACGGGATTTCTCAACACTTATAGTAGTATCACTGCAATTGCACTGATCCTCGAACTAGGTAATAATATATATATATATATATATATATAAGTGATAAAACGAAAGCTCATCTTCTTTTCTGTACTAGTTGCAATGGGTCTTGCTTATACTCATACATCACAGGTAAGACAATTTTATTTTATCTCGAAAGTAAGGAGTATAAATAAATAAAAAAAAAAAAACTCCTCTATTATTATGCGGCAGTTGGATTATTATGGCAGTCTAGCATGGGACTTCTTTAAAGACAATGACTCGCAATTCCTTGTTGATCTGGAACAATCGTGAGTGATTGGGGAGGAAGGAGAAAATGAAGAGAAATGAAATTATTAATCACACACCTGTTTATTGTAGAGTGAAATGCTGCGGATATGGATCCGTATCCGATAGGGCTGTGCCAAAGACATGTTCCGTAACTTTAGGAGTTAATATCGGATGCAGGGAATCAATTATGAACAACGTGCAAGCACAACATCAGTGGATCACCATCATTATCCTCGTTCTATTGTCTGTTCAGGTAAACTTTTTATTTATTTATTTTTCTTTTCTGATTCATTACTGATAGACTTCCATAGTTTATAGCCTTACTGGTATCTGTCGTCTTGAGCTGTATCATGGATCGTGAGACAAGAGAAGAAGAAACCTACATGGCTCTATTGAGTCAAAATAACAATTGGTCCAACAATGGCGGTGAAAGTTCATTGGGTTACATCGGAAACAGTGGCTATTTTGGAAGAAATACTCGATCCAGTCAAAGATCTATTCCAAGGTATGGAAGCACACCATCAAAATAAATAAAAAATAAAAAAAAAATATTGGCGCGCAGCTTTTTTTTGTCGGCTGACAAAAAAAAATAAAATACCATTTTTTTTTTTTTTTTTCTTTCTTTCTTTTTTTTCTTTTTTTTTTTCCCTTCTTTTTTAAAAAAACCACACTTTTACATTATGCCTAATACAACGACGACGGGTGATATTCCACTACTTACAACACCGTTTCTACATTATATACCCACTTCACCTCCCTCACAAGAACTGGACTTTCATTTACCTTCTCGTACTCCACTGCATGGCCTCACTGTTTCTGAATGGGCAGGTTCAAAAACAAGGCTTGATTGTAGGTATCCCATAAAAAAAAAAATTAAAGAGAGAGAGAGAGAAAGCTATAATTAGACATAGTTGACCCAAATCATAATAGCCTTGACAACGAATAACATCTCACCCAGCATTACCATCACTACCACCAATAACACAACGGTCCCTATTACCTGCTCCAACATGAGTTCGACTAAACCCATCGTCCTTCTCGATGCCACAGAAGACAACTGGAAAGATGTGTACCGTAACATCAAATGCATGGACCAATTGTATGATGCTTCCTTTTATTCTTGGCTGAAATCAGAAGAAAACGTCCTCGTCACTGCCATGTATTTACATCGTATTGCCAACGAATACCCTCTCCTTCGCATCATTAATGCCCTCAAATGGCTTATCAGCGACTGGAGACTAGAGAGTATTAGTACCCTAGTCAGGCATGTGACCGTCGACTGGTGTGATGAAGCAGGTAATTATCATTTTTTTTCCCTTTTCCTCTTCCTCTTCCCCCCCCCCCCACACACACCCCCCTTTTATTAAGTAAAGTGACCCACTAAAACCCCCTCTACTCTTTTATTTAAAGGCGACCTACGGCGAGCTCATCTTTTACGTCACTTAACACAGAGTTGGGCAACCCAATATACAACTACACTCATCACCATGGTTCTCTCTTCAGCACCTTACACTACAGGCGACAGTTTTCAAAGAGAGAGGTTTCTTAGAGCCTTTACTAAAGAATGGGATTTTTCCAAACTATCCGAATTCTTCATGTATCTGCAAAGTCCCGCCAACATTGATTATAAAGTCAAATGTGTGATGCTTCAAGAAGCGGCTCGAAGAGAACGAGAAACCTTGGGTGCTAAACTTTTGCGTAAAAAACGTGTGGTAGTGATGGATGAATTGGATGAGGAACTACCAGTTGAAGGTTCTCAAGATCAAGATCATCATCATCATGAATCCGACGACGTGGTAGTACAAATGGAAGAGTCCGCTGCCACCACCGCTGCCACCACCACCACTGCTTGTACAAATCGAAGACATCATCGAAGAACTTCCAGTAATGATGTGAATGATATTAAAAGGCTAAGGTTATCTACGCCTGATCCAGATGAAGATCATCCTCACTCACTTAAATATCTGAATGAATTATCTCATCTTCACCTAAGCAATGTCGATGCTAGTGGAAGTAATAGTAGCAGTAGCTGTAGTAATAGTAGTAGTAGTGGTAGCAGCAGCAGTAGTAGTAGTAGTAGTAGTTGTGCTGCTGGTAGTAGTAGTAGCTCATCGACAACGGTGGTGATAGGTAGTAGAACAAGATCTGCTTCGATCGAATCGTGTGATGATCCCATGGAGACGGATTCGACGGTGAATAAAAAGAGAGCGATCACTGCCCATTTTACAGAAGAATAAAAAAAAAAGGGAAAAAAAAAAAGTAATAAAAAAAAAAAAAAAAAAAAAATCAAATTAGAATCTTATTGAATCGTTGGATAGCAATTAAAGCATGAACACACGATCGCCATTTAAATAAAGGGTCTCTCTGATGGTGTGTACCAAAATAAGTATCCATCTCCTTTTGGCTTACATACAAAATACAGAAAATTTAAATAAACCTTTTTTACTTTTTTGTTTTATAACCTTTTTTTTACCTGTCGGAAAGAGCCTTGTTTTCTTGGATTAAAAACTGCTTTTGGAAAATCAGGTCCAAGAGCTGGTCTTGGCGGGTATTTGCGCTGTCTTGTTGTCGTTGAATGAAATGTTGTAATTCTTCATTCTCCTTTCGAGCATGCATTAAATCGGTATTTGTTTCGTGTAAAGATTGAACCAGTGTTGCATTTTCTGCCTGTAAACGATAAACAAGGCTTTTCCAGTCCTAAAATAAATGAAGGGGGGGAAGGGAAGGGAAGGGAGGGGCAGTTTCAATAATCTATCTTTTTCCACCCGGGGTTATACAGATAATTTTTTTTTTTTGTACATTATTTTCTTGTGCTGACTAAATTAAAATGAGTAAAGCCAAAAATTAAATAAAAAAAAAACTCCCACCTACTACTTAAAAAAAAAAAAAATTCAGTAACCGACCTTGAGAGAGAGATAGACTTGTTGTTCCTCTTGTCCAATCTCGTCATACATTGTGCGTGGTGGGTTCGTGAATTTATCTAAACACAAGTCTTTGTCTTGACTTGTTACAGAAGCATGTGGCAAAGCGTTATTCAATTGTTGGCTCATGCGTCGCGTTATTTTCTAAATTTAAAAAAAAAAAAAAAAAAAAAAAAAGGAAGAAATAATAATAAAAAAAAAATATTTTTTTTTTCACTCTCAAATCTTTTTTGGACCACCACAAGCCCGAGTTTTCCCGCGTTTTTTTAGTGACGTTTTTTTCCGAAATTTTTTGTCCCAATTTTCCCCCTGATTTAAAAAAAAAGCTTCTTCCTCCTTTTCCCTTTTTCTTTTTTTTTATTTTTTGCTCTTTCCTTTTTATTTATTAAAAAAAATGTTCTCAGCTACCAAGGCCTCTTTGCGTACAACTCTTAACGGTAAAAAATCTTAATTTCTCACTCCACAAAAACCAAAAAAAAAAAGCCGTGTATATTCATCTTCTTTTTCTTTTAGTTGCCCGTCGTGCTTATTCCAACAACAGTGGTTACGACTCTACCTACAAGAACTTGTTGATCAATGCTGATACCAAGGTTATCTGTCAAGGTTTCACCGGTAAACAAGTAAGATTTCACGTGTAAAATAAAAAAAGACGGGAAAAAATGAAAAATTAATTTTTTTTTTATTTTATTTAGGGTACTTTCCACTCTCAACAAGCTATCGCTTACGGTACCAAGATGGTCGGTGGTGTTTCTCCCAAGAAGGCTGGTCAAACTCATCTCGGTCTTCCCGTTTTCGGTACAGTTCGTGAGGTAAATAAATAATTTATAGTGTGTGTGTGTGTGTGTGTGTATATATATATCTAACTGTGGGTTGTTAGGCTGCTCAAGAGACCAAGGCTGATGCCAGTGTCATTTACGTTCCTCCTCCCGGTGCTGCACAAGCCATTTTAGAAGCCATTGAAGCTGAGATTGGTCTTGTTGTTGCTATCACTGAAGGTATTCCTCAACATGACATGATCCGTGTCAAGCAAGCCTTGATGACCCAAAGCAAGACTCGTTTGGTGGGTCCTAATTGTCCCGGTATGATCTCTGCCGAACAATGTAAGATTGGTATTATGCCAGGTACTATCTTGAAGCGTGGTAAGGTGGGTATTGTCTCTCGTTCAGGTACTTTGACTTATGAAGCTGTTCAACAAACTACCGATGTTGATCTCGGTCAAACTTTATGTGTCGGTATTGGTGGTGACCCCTTGAACGGTACCAACTTTATTGATTGTCTCAAGGTCTTTTTGGAAGATGATAACACTGAAGGTATCATCATGATTGGTGAAATTGGTGGTACTGCTGAAGAAGAAGCTGCTGATTTCTTGACCCAATATAACTTGACCAGAGCTGTTCCTAAGCCTGTTGTCTCCTTCATTGCTGGTTTAACTGCTCCTCCTGGTCGTAGAATGGGTAAGTTCATTTAATGCGTTTGTCCTATATTTTTTTTTTTTACTTATTTTATATATAAAAAAGGTCATGCTGGTGCTATTATTTCCGGTGGTAAGGGTGGTGCTGGTGATAAGATTGCTGCTCTTGAACGTGCTGGTGTCTTTGTCACTCCCTCTCCTGCCAAGTTGGGTGTCAGCTTAAAGCAAGCTATGCAAGAAGCTGGTTTGGTTTAAATCTTTTTTTTTTCTCGTGCAATTATATAAAAAAAAACTCTGTATAAAATATATAAACAACCCTTTTTTTTAATTTAATATTATTATTATTATTTAAATATATATATGCCCCTCCTCCCCCTCCCCCTTTCATCCCATCCTTATCAGTAAAACTTAGAGTAGCGTTTTGCGGCTAAAAAAAAGGAATCAAGATTACAAACAATTAAAACTAAAATTATTTTTCCCTCATTAAAAAAATACGCGTGCATAAACCAACGTGAGAAAAAATATTAAACTTTTGAAAGTGTGTATCATTGGACGACAGCCATAACATGGAACCTCGTTTTATATTCTATTGTTGTTGGCTATGATTTCTAATAAGCAAGCTGCGTTCAATTAGCTTTCATAAACGATTGTTCACGGGCTCTCTCTCTTTCTCTCTCTCTCTCTCTCAAAAACTACATGTAAGACACGCGTTTTTATCGTCGTACAAAGTAGACTAATTTGACATTCAGTCAATACAGTCAGGAACAAATCAAACTAAATTTTCCCTTCTTTCACCCAAACGTGACCGACCGTGGGCCAAACAACAACGGGGGGAAGGGTATGTTTTTTTGTGGTTATTTAAAACGACTATGAAGTTGCATCACCATCTCAACCAAAAAAAAAAAAAAAAAAAATTTTAAGGAATCGAAATAAAGAGACCGTGGGTAGAACTGAACTGACTTTTTTTGCCAGTAGGTAGCACTTCATTTAACAAAACCTATATAAGTGGTAATAATTTAAGACCCAAAAAAAAAAAACTTGATTTTCCCTTTCTCACCCAAAACCCTCTTATCTTAGTATACAGTCTTTAAAAAAAAAAAAAACGGTCTTCGAAACAAGTTTACTCTTTTACGTCAAAATGATATCATGATTTTTTTGCTTCTCAGTAACCAATCATATTAAACTGCGTTTCAATTTAACTCATATATAAATACAAAGCCTTTTGGATGCGATGAACAAACACCCCTTTGCTTCTGGTTGACATTCCCTCCAGCTCTAACTGATTATACCTTTTGGTCTCTCAACAGTTTGGCACAACTGTTTGTGTCTGTAAATCCAAAAAAAAAATTAAGTGGAACAACTGCTGTCACACGGAATGTATTTTGACAAGAAATACTTCCGTTCAAGGCAGATCATGGTACATATCCCCCACTTGTTTTTCAATTATTGTAACTAAGTGTAAACAACAGACAAAAAGTACTGTTTTCAAAGACTTGGTCAATTGGCTCAGCTCTCCGTTTATTCCAATCGACAAACTTCACCATTCATTCAAAATGGAATCACATGAACATGAATGGCG